AAAGGAGGTGGCTTCAAGGGCACGGTTATTATGTAAGGATTGTACAAAGGATAGCAAACTTTCAGGACTTAACTTTTCGATCTCGCAGGGTTCCTCTGAAGATCTACGAGGCGAGCAATGCCCGGGATGCCCTGGCAAAGGCCATCTACAGTCGTCTCTTTGACCGCATCGTGGGCCTGATCAATCAGAGCATTCCCTTCCAAGTATCCAACTTCTACATCGGCGTGCTCGACATTGCTGGATTCGAGTACTTCACTGTGAACTCGTTCGAGCAGTTCTGCATTAACTACTGCAACGAAAAGCTGCAGAAGTTCTTCAACGACAACATCCTGAAGAACGAGCAGGAGCTGTACAAGCGTGAGGGACTCAATGTGCCGGAGATTACATTCACCGACAACCAGGACATCATCGAGCTGATCGAGGCCAAGTCGAATGGCATCTTTACGCTGCTCGATGAGGAGTCCAAACTGCCGAAGCCCTCGCCCTGTCACTTCACCGCCGAGGTGCACAAGTCCTGGGCTAACCACTATCGCCTGGGCCTGCCCCGATCCTCGCGCCTGAAGGCCCACCGCACTCTGCGGGATGAGGAGGGCTTCCTGGTGCGCCACTTTGCCGGAGCTGTTTGCTACAACACGGAGCAGTTTATCGAGAAAAACAACGACGCCCTGCACGCCTCGCTGGAGGGCTTGGTGCAGGAAAGCGAAAATCCCCTGCTGCAGACCCTCTTCCCCTCGGGCAGCAGCACTTCGGTTCGTGGCAAGCTCAACTTCATCTCCGTGGGCTCCAAGTTCAAGACGCAGCTGGGCGAGCTGATGGAGAAACTGGAACAGAATGTGAGTCCAATAGTCAAGCTGGTTTATAAGTAAAAGGTTTTAAAGTGCCTGCTTTCCATTTCAGGGCACCAACTTCATCCGTTGCATCAAGCCCAACAGCAAGATGATCGACCGCCAGTTCGAGGGCAGCCTGGCGCTGGCTCAGCTCAAGTGCTCGGGCACCATTTCGGTTCTGGAGCTAATGGAGCACGGCTATCCCTCGCGAGTGCTCTTCGCCGATCTGTACAGCATGTACAAGTCGGTGCTGCCGCCGGAGCTGGTTTCTCTGCCGGCTCGCACCTTCTGCGAGGCCATGTTCCAGTCGCTCAACCTGAGCGCCAAGGACTTTAAGTTCGGCATCACCAAGGTCTTCTTCCGGCCGGGCAAGTTTGTGGAATTCGATCGCATTATGCGCTCGGATCCGGAGAACATGTTGGCCATTGTGGCTAAGGTCAAGAAGTGGCTGATTCGCTCTCGTTGGGTCAAATCAGCCCTGGGAGCCCTCTGCGTCATCAAGTGTAAGTATAGGCGACTCTTGAATATTACAAGATCTTAAGGATTTCTCTCTTTTGGTTTTAGTACGCAATCGCATCCTCTACCGCAACAAGTGCGTCCTGGTGGCCCAGCGCATTGCCCGAGGCTTTCTGGCCCGCAAACAGCATCGCCCACGATACCAGGGCATCAGTAAGATCAACAAGATCCGAACCAATACGCTGAAGACCATCGAAATAGCCAGCGGCCTGAAAATGGGACGCGATGAGATCGTTGGTGGAGTGAATGACATCTACAGGCAGATCGACGATGCCATCAAAAAGATCAAGGTGAGTGAGGCCTAAACCCTGTTCCCTTTTTCTTGCTAATCCCGAATGCCTTGCAGATGAATCCTCGCATCACCCAACGGGAAATGGACTCTATGTACACGGTGGTAATGGCCAATATGAACAAGCTCACCGTGGATCTAAACACCAAGCTAAAGGAGCAACAGCAGGCCGAGGAGCAAGAACGTCTGCGCAAAATCCAAGAGGCCCTCGAGGCCGAACGGGCGGCCAAGGAGGCGGAAGAGCAGCGACTCCGTGACGAAGCCGAGAACAAACGACTGTGAGTAGTAGTCACAAAACTCATTTATATCATCTCTTTTATTATTTGTTTAATTCTCAGCAAAGCGGAAATGGAAACTCGCCGCAAGGCAGCGGAAGCTCAGCGCCTGCGCCAGGAGGAAGAAGATCGACGTGCAGCCTTGGCTCTGCAGGAACAGCTGGAAAGAGAGGCCAAGGACGATGCCAAGTACAGGCAGCAGCTCGAACAGGAACGCCGCGATCACGAGTTGGCCATGCGATTGGCCAACGAGTCCAACGGTCAGGTGGAGGATAGTCCGCCAGTTATACGCAAGTATGTTATAAGATATCCAAAAGCAAGAACGAGTCGGGGTTTTAGCTAATTTAATAAGGTTCGGTGTAGGCATAATATAGGGATATTGTTTTTATATGGATATTATGTTTTAAAAATTAAAAAAGGTAATATTTAAAGAAAGCGAAAAATAGTTATTTAAAGTTTATAAAATGTTTTTTGTAAATATGCGTTTAAAGACGTTAAAAAGAGAGATTATTTGATAACTAAATTCAGTAAATTTAGATACATGAGAAGCAGAATTTTTTTTTAAATTAATATTAGTTTGTTACAAAGTTTTACTGTAAATATTATGCCCTCGAATATATCTTAAGATTTGAACTATTTTGTTTATATACTCACAAAATTTTTCCCTTTCCCCTTACACGCAATCTACTCGACACTACCCACAACAATCCACACAACCCACCACAACACCACCCACTCCAATCCAATGAACACAACACAGTGGTGTCAATGACGCGTCTCCCATGGGTTCCAACAAACTGATCAGGTATAGCACGCTTTATGATTTATCTATGTCTACCGATCTTGTAAATTTTGTCTACTTTTTCTTGCTTTCTTCAAACACTAATTGGAAAATGACTTACCAAACGAAAAAAAAACAAAAACAAAAAAACAATTCTTTACCTCCTATAACTTCTTTACTTTCTGTATATTTTTGAAAAAGTTTTTCACAAGTTGTGTCAAACATTGCTTCGCGGTACTTGAATAAGTGAGTTGGTGCTGGTTTTGAAATCATTTCGTACTAACCGAATTGCTAACACCGAAAGTAATTTGCTCATTCCCACTAATCCAAAGCATCTGTAATATACTTACTACTTAGAACTCCCATTGGCCTTTAGTAGTTGACTCTTTCGAAACTCTCTTGTGTGTCCTGTCACTATGATCATTTGATGCCATCAATAACTCACTTTGTTTGCTTGCGCTAAGAAATATGTCTGAAATGCGGATTTACCCAAGGTTCTAATCAATATTTCCTTCCCTGTGCCAGATCGGAGAATGTTCGGGCCCAGCAGCAGGCTCTGGGCAAGCAGAAGTACGACTTGTCGAAATGGAAGTACTCGGAGCTGCGTGATGCTATCAACACGTCCTGTGATATTGAGCTGCTAGAGGTGGGTTTAAAGACGGAAAAAATATATAAAATAATATAACAAAATATGTGTTATTTTTTAGGCCTGCCGCCAGGAGTTCCATCGCCGCTTGAAGGTGTATCATGCCTGGAAGGCAAAGAACCGCAAGCGCACCACCATGGACGAGAACGAGCGCGCTCCACGCAGTGTCATGGAAGCTGGTGAGTTTTGAGAATAAAAAACATGATTTAAATTAACCCAATAATTTTTAACAACATTCCCATTTACAGCCTTCAAGCAGCCGCCCATTGTCCAACCCATCCAAGAGATTGTGACGGCCCAGCACCGATACTTCCGCATTCCCTTCATGCGGGCCAATGCACCGGACAACAGTGAGTGTCCTATTGTTCTTGCTCAGCTCCAGTAATAATAACAACAATTTATTTCCAACAGCCAAGCGCGGACTGTGGTATGCCCACTTCGATGGCCAGTGGATTGCTCGGCAGATGGAGCTGCATGCGGACAAGCCGCCCATTCTGCTGGTGGCCGGCACGGACGACATGCAGATGTGCGAGCTGAGCCTGGAGGAGACGGGACTGACGCGCAAGCGTGGCGCCGAGATCCTGGAGCACGAGTTCAACCGCGAATGGGAGCGCAATGGCGGCAAGGCCTACAAGAATCTTGGTGCTAAGCCGAACGGGCAAGCAGCCGGCATGCAAAAGCTGCAATAAGAACGCCCCAAGTGGGAAGGCCAGGGCAGTAATCAAAGGTTGCCATTTCGGTGGGCAACAGGTAAAATTTATGGCTATCAAAATTCCAAAATAAGTTTTATCGGAAGACAACTTTTACTGAAAGCGACCACGTCCATAAAAATCATTTAGTAAATATATCTTTTATTATAAATGTCGAGCTTTCAATTTTTTCCTCTCGGTTCCATTCAATGTTGGCTTACTCGCTCATTCAGCGCCCGGACTTTTGTGGGGGCCTTATACATGTAGCTATACAAATATATATATATCTCTGATTAAGTGAATCTTATGATGTAAAAGGAAACGGCAAGTTGTATTTAGTATTTAACAAAGTACTATTTAAATTGTGTATTTAGTTCACTGCGATGTATTTACATGATTGAGTATAAAAACATATATATATATTTTACAGTATTTTAAAAATAAAGATTTGAAGAATGGTACCATGGCCTTCCAAGTTCCGGAACTGCGGCCAGACCTGTGTCCCCGCCAACAGATTCTTAGGGAATGGCGTCTAAGACCAGTTCGTGGGGGCCCTGAAGATCGGCAATGGCCAGGGATGCGAAGTCCAGATAGGACCGCTTATCAAGGTCCAGGAACATCATCCAGGGAGGAAAGCCCCTGAGCGACATTGGCCCCCTCTTCTATGCACCGACCATAGACACAGACGTGCCCCCAAGGAAGTCTGGAGTTGAAAGGAGGGGGGGGAAGGGGGGAAGCACGGAATCAATGATGCAATTTGTTGACTCGTAATTAAAAAATAACACAAATATTTTTCCCAGTGTAAAGTAGTTACATTAGCAAAGTTTCCTACCTTTGCGATCTTTTTCCCGGGGTCTGGCAGCTCTGGTCCTTAAGAGCGATTTCATTTTAGTGGCCTGGCAGCCCTGTGCGTTGATCGTTTCGGTGTGACCAGCTACTAGTAGACGGAAAAACTAGGTTTCTTTGACCACCTTCAACCTAAGGGGTGGAAAACCAGGCGGGCACACTAAACTTTCCAAGCAATATTAAAAAATAATAAATAAAAGACAATAAAGTATTCGCGAAACAAAGAGCCTGCCTTTACTTGATCTGGACCAGTGAATAGGAAAGGGTGAGGCACCACCTGCAACGCGAGACAATGCGAGGCCAATAAGATCCCAATTAACCGAACTTTCTTTGTCGCAGCTGGAGAGTCTGGTCTGCGTCAGTTGGAGCTCTTTAAATGGTGAAATCGGCCCCGCTCCTGTCCCTTCCACCGGTCCACACGAGCGTTATCAAGATGAGCATGCGCACACGTGCCTTGGTCTTCTCCACTTTCTTCGGCAGCTGCCTGGCCATCGGCCTGCTGCTTGTGAGCTTGACTACCAACCACTGGGTAAGGGCCTCTACGCAGCGGAGCAACTCAACGGAGGCCCACGGAGAGGTTAACTTTGGGCTCTTCAATGGCAACCATGACTTGAACTTTGGAGTCGGCTGGAGGAGCAATCCGTTTAATGGTGAGCTCGCAATATAATCATTCAAGTACGACTTACTTAGGCTCATTAAATCTTCAGTTTACACCTTCGTGCGCACGGAGAACGGCGACACCAGCTTCTGGCTATGGCTCTTCACCACCCTGGGCACGGGCTTTGGCCTCTTGGCCTGCGCCGTGGCAGCCATCGCCGCTGTCCTGAAGTCAGCCTCTGCGGCCAAGAGGGGCGGTACCATGGCACTGCTCCTGGTCGCCAATGTATCGGCCGCTGGGGCTCAGGTGGTGGCCTTTGTCTCCTGGCTGGTGCAATTCTATCAGTACTTCATCCACAACGTACTGCTGACCGAGCACCAGCAGCAGCACTGGTACAGCACCGGAATGGCCTACCTGGGCTACAGCTTCTACTTGGTCGTGATCTCAACGATTGTGGTTCTGCTCAACATCATCATCTTACTGTATGCCAAGCGGCGAGAGCTTCACGACCGCCGGCGCCTGGAACCGCCGGGTGAGGACAAGAACCAGGCCGGCATAATGCTGTACTAGGATGGAAGCACCCTGAATGAACCTCAAGAACAAGAACAAGTAATCTCAGCGGCTCAAACGATTGTGCCTTACTTAAGGATGCCTTTTGCTTGCCAACAACAAGGCCTATTTTAATATTATACTCCACCCCAGGACCTGAGGGAACATTCGTTTAGATTAGCATGAAAACCAAGTATTTAAAAGTCTGTCTCACGACTGAAGAGCATTTCAGCTGCAGGGCCAACCTGTGGAGCAAAAGCGCACGAAACTGTACGCACCTATCAATATTTATATAAACTATATATTATACTCGAATGACCTTTATATATACACTTATATATATATATATATATACTCTGATTTCTCTACCTTGTATGTACTGCCAAGTATTTTTATGTGCATATTTTCGAATACAGAAACAGTCATTGTTAAGAAACACAAAAACGTGGGCGCTTTGTTTACTAATTGATCCATCAGATCGGGCTTTTTACGACAGCCTCCCAGGGGAAGGGACTGCAGTAGCACACGCTACGCTGGCTCGCCGCGGGGCAACTTCCGTCTCGACTCCAGGAACGAGTCAATTAAAAAAAGAAAGCAGCCTGTGTGGCAGCGTCTTGATGAATTACCCAAGAATCTCAGGCCTTTTCTCCTGGCCCAAAATGTCACAACATTTCTCCAAATGCAATTACAGTGTTCCAGCTAAATGCCTCGAAGAATTGGGATCGAAAGACCGAATCAGGAACAGGACCACACGGCGGGCGCAAAATCCGAGTGTCATCGCATTGAATTTCGCAAAGAAATCAATTATCTTTTTTACCTCAAGGCATACATAGTCGTTGTTGTGAGCGCCTCTGACGGATGGATGTTTCCTTTTCGGGACAAAGGACAGTTTGTGTGGCTTTGTAGGGCACTTCCTCTGGAAGGCAGTCCCTGCCTGGAGCCACACAGGACTCGGCACCTTCCGCTGTCCGCTGCCAATCGAGCCAATTATGTCATCATTAGTTTTGATTAGTTTACTCAGGGCTCACGTTGATGGGAAAACGGCCGGGTACTTCCGGCACCACCTACTGTTCGTCCTTTGGGCTCACTGTCCCGCTGAGCGATGGCTATTGCGATCCTCGGGTGCTGTTTATGTTGGTGTGTTCGGTTTAATTTTACTGCAAATTGCGCAATAATGATGATCGTGTTTTTGATTGATCTCCCATTGCGGGCTAATGAAGAAATCAGATTGCGTCGCAGTCTACGATCGTCCTTGTCGCATAGGTTATCTGGGCAAACAGCTTAGGGCCATGTGTGTGGACTTGGGCAAACCAAACGATGTTTCCTCCACTTCCACTTCCACACACACCCACTTACCTTATCCTGTTCTAGCTGGAAAGCATTATGCAAGACGCGGCGTTAGGATTAGTCCACAAATTGCGTATATATTTAGGCAGCGATAACGCTGGGATAAGGCTCATTAGGGACCGAGTCCGGGCGAGATTAGGCTGCGGACAATCGACTTATTAAGAGTGTTTATGCAGATAAACTCATCGTTTAGCGGGTGTCGGGACATACCCATTTTTCCGCCTAGGATTTGCCGGCAGACCCCTGGAAAACACGAGCGCAAACCGCTAAAGCCGAAGGATCGGAAGGATGAGCGCCGAGACTGGAAATCTTGTGCAACACACCGATGCTGCCGGGAAATGTCTGGACGTACTTACATACAGCTAAAGAAAACAATTGCCTAAAAAGACAAAGAAAAATTCCCTATCTAAGGGAAACTATAAATGATTTCAAGGAATTAATGTCCTATATTTTAGGGAAATGAATTTATTTTATAGTTCACCTTAAGTCAAAGACTTCAGATATTTTTGCTATATTTATTGGCTTTGATATTGTTGATAAAATGGGACCTAAAAATTGGTTAGTTTATTTTAAATTACTAAATATATCTTTGACGTAGTTCTTATCAAAACAAAAAGAAAGAAAGAATACCACAAATGTTTTAATTTTAATAGAAGTAGTAGTAGTCCCTAAGTTAAATAAAATTTCATAAATCTTTTGTTTTAGATTAACTAACAATTGATTTTACGAAATAGATAAAACGTGATAGTAAGGCAATTTTTCGAGGGATCTTAAAGATATAAAAACAACATTTTAAAATCTTCGTAAAAATACATTTTATTAATTTCTTTGCTGAGTGTAATTAAGTGGAATGCGACCTAATCGAACCCAAATACTTATCAATAGAAATATGTTACAAACCACCCAAGTTGAGTGTTTTCTTGGTTGCCTCGAACTACATGGAATTGGGCCACCTGACTCGGTTTGAATCCGCTTGTTTACACGAATTTGTCTTTTTTGGGTTTTTTATGGAGCATTCCCGTTCCCGTTCTCGGTCAGAATCTATCGGGATTCATTGTGAAAGCATTTCCAATAACCGCAGAACATATAGTCCGAAAGAAAGCCAACAAGAGGGCCAGACAGGCTGTCTCCTATTCTTGCGTGGCTGTTGCTCCTGCCGGCCAATAAATTTCCCAATTAAATGGATCCTCTGACACTTTGTGTGGAAGGACAGCTACTACCCCCCGCCAGCTCGCTCCCATTCATCCCCTGTGCGCTGTGCGCGAATAAGGGATGAGGGTTGTTCGGCGAGGGGTTGAAAAAGTCATCACAACAGGCACAGAGACAGAGGCAGAGGCGAGGCACTGGCACTGACTTGGCCCAGAACTGGCGCTGTGAAAGGTAGCTGGACCCGTTTAGCCACGCTGACTCCATTTTTTATTTCGCCTCTCACTCGTTGCTCATTTCGTTCCCTTTTGGGTATGGGTTTGGGTTTTGTTTTTTCTTTTTTGGGTTTTTGCACTGCTCTTGGCTTGATTGTAACACTGCGAAATTATGGCCCGTATATTTCTCTATTAGTGGCACAAAAGACATTTCAATTCTCACTCTGGAGTCCGGACACCCTGGGTGGGCCTCCGGAGGTGCTGCTGCCAAGAAAGTGGTCCTGGTCGAGTCCTGGCAATTATCTCGTTGCGAAATTTCTGGGGACCACCCGACGACTCTTGTTTGGCCTCTTTGTGGTCATGAATGGCTGATGGGCCAGTGCCTCCTACGTGGCAATTGTTCCACGGTGTCAGTGGGTTATTGATTGCGAAACTACTTTCTTGTTAGGAAGTAACTTCTTTCTATTGCCCCATATTGTCTGCGGAACAATGCTCGTTTATATGTCCAAGTTTAATGCAATTTTGATACTTGCTTTAGTTTCAATTATTGCTTCTGGGAACTGATCGATGCCAGAGGCTGTGAACGAACGAATTATTTGCCAATGTACCCGCTTAGAAGTATCGCTTTAGAAATATTTGATGGAACGATTTGACCAATAGCTTAAATTTCTATTACTTAAGTTAACAAGAAAGAAAGCTAACTTTGGCCAGCCAAAGTTTGTATACCCTTGCAGGTAACAATTAAAATATATCATAACTAAGCCAAAAATGCATTAATTTCGATTCGGAAAGCAGTTTTGTGTTAGTTTTTATTAATTTAAAAAAACTGCATACCAAATTTAAAATTTTAAGAAATCAAAATTTTTGGCCATTTTTGCTCATTTTAATGATTATCAAATTTCGCAAAAATGGCCAAAAAATCGATTTCTTCCGCACAGGTCTAGAAAGATTCGCCTGTTAATGCTGATCAAGAATATATATGGTTTACAGGGTCGGAAATGATTCCTTGACTTAGAAAAATATTATTTTGTATTATAAAATCGGATTTTTTATATTAAAAACCTTCTTGATTTTTTTAAATTAAAAATATCATAACTCGGCCAAAAGAGCATTAATTTTAAATCGGAAAACTATTATGTGCATGATTTTCTACAGTTAATAAATGTGTATACTTCATTTAAAAATTTTGAAAATTCAATTTTTTATCAAAATCAAACATTTTAATGATGTAACCCCTTATAAAATTTTTCAAAAATGCCCAAAAAATCAATTTCTTCCTGGCATATCTAGAAAGATTCCCCTGTTGATGCTGATCAGGAATATATATACTTTATAGGGTCGGAAAGGTCTCCTTCACTGCGTTGCAAACTTCTGACTGAAATTCTAATACCCTGCAAAGGTATAAAATATGGTTGTTCAAATAGAATTTCAAAATCTCTTTTAAGTTTTTGTTAACCATATAGGGAGAATGCTCTTAACAAATAGGAAACAAGACAGAAAAAGCGAGAAAAGCTATAGTTGGATTCCTAGCCCATTGAATGTTTATCAATGCGTATTTTTAAGCCTTAAACTGAAATAATGGAAACTAATTATTTAAAGCCGAGTACATATGGCTTCTCTCAACCGTAATAAATTGCAGTATTGTAAAGGCTTTATTATTTATTGTAAAGTGTTTATTCTGCAGCTTATTGCAGATACTTCATCTGTCCAAAGTCGATGAAATATATATGGCACACAAAAATATATCATGGGGAATGGCCTTTGTCAATCAAACCGAAAAAAGGAGCGTTTTTAATTAATTGCCAGCAATGACGCACGGATATATGTAGGTGAAATCACTTTGAGAAATGTGTATTTGATCTGGACTGCAGTCCGTGGGTCTCGAGTGTCCGACCAAGTGGCCTGAATTGGTTGCAAGGCAGGGACACATTATAGATCATTGTGTCACCTGTGACGACGACGACGACGACGCACTGTCTGGCAGATAGGAAAGATATTCCCAGGCCCGAAGGGGACAACCAGGCAGGTAGGCGACAGGTAAATGTGAGAACTGCACGCCCCTATCAAGCGGCCGTATTTGCCATTGTCCTGGAAATTGGCTGCAACTCGGGTACTCTCAAAACTCTCGGATACCGGGCAACTGCCCACCGCTTTGCTACGGTTCCCTTTCCAGAAATCGTCCTCAGAAATTGCACCCATTGTCTGTCTATTGCTGGAGTCACATTGATAGTGACCAGGGATCGATGGATCGGGGATCGATCGCTTGTTCGCATAACAAATTCCAAAAATACTCGACTCTTTGCAGACTGTGTGTCTGGCATTGCTGAGGTGGGCCCACCTCCATTGTCCTTGTGAATGACGCAAGGCTGTCAGGTGAGTAATGGCAAGTCGACGTGGACAATTGCCTGCCCCGAGATCGGACTGTGGGAAACTATTGCCAAAGGATATCAATCCGCTGCTAGCTGCTCCAGTTGGTTTTGATTTACGCATTTAGGGGAAAATATTCGCTTAAATGATTCGGATTTCGCAAGGGTTATTGTCTTGTCCCGGCACTTTTATGAATGGAATTTTTGGCTAGTTTTCACCCAAAATGACTTGTGCATTTTAACCCTTTGAAATGCAATTTGCAGGCTTTGACTTTGGCTTCGAGTTCACTTTGATATTTTCCGGCATGACTAGATGTTTTGCAAATGATCTGGTTAGCGGGAAGTGACAGGACCGCCGAAAGTCATTAATATGCAAACAAAATGGCTTCGGGTCATTATGTACTCCCAGGTATTTCTCTATTATTTCATATGTTTCAGATGTTCCATTCATAATCCCAGGTGGAGAAACCAATTCAAAGAAGAAATTTGCTTAGTTTTTTTTAGATTTTTCATGTATTTTAGGTGGTGTAAACATAAATCGTATAATGCAACTCTCAATATTTAACTACGACCGTTTAAAGGCTAGGTATAAATCGTATATTGCTAGTAACCGCGCTCTGCATATAAAAGTATTAAAATATATCGGCTTAGACCTAATATAGAGTGTATGTATACATACACAGATGCGGTATCGCTTAATCTCTTAATCGCTTAGCATATGAGAAAGGATCACTTGAGGAGGAGGTATTTACACATGTGCGGGGTCGGGATTCCTGGGTCACGTAGCTGGCAGTGTAAATATGCGTTAAAAAATAAATATCTCAATATTTGCATATATCGTCGAGGGTATTGCGGTATCTCAGTCCCTCCCAGTGCTGGTCGGGTGCGTGCGCCGGAGTGCGCCAGGTACGGCTGAGGTAGATCTGTCCAGGATTGGCTATCGATTACTATTATTGGCCGGCATTCGTTGGGGTTTGTCTTCGTCGAGGTTCGTGCGTGTTTAAAGCGTGCAAGCGCTTCACAGATCGCTGGGGAGCTGGCGGGGGGATTCCAAGTCCGGATTCGATTCCCCTCGATGGCTTTAGTAGCCATACAGGAAGGGGTACATGGGCACAAAGATGGCCGGTCCCAGCTGGCGTTCCTGCGGCATATGCGTCTTCATGTGCTTCTTGAGGTGGTCGCGACGGCCGAACTTCTTGCCGCAGGCACTGCAAGGATACGGCCTCAGGCCGGTGTGGATGCGCTTGTGGCGCGTCAGCTCCTCGTTGCGCGTAAAAGTCTTGCCGCAGGTGTCCACGTCGCACTTGAAGGGGCGTTCGCCTGGAGAAAGAAAGGAGATGTGTAAGTACAACTGGTCACTGGATCTGAAGGATTTGCTTAACTTACCGGTATGGATGCGGATGTGTCCCTTGAGCTGGCCATTGTTGGAGAAGGCCACGTCGCAGTGCGGGCACTTGAACTTCTTGGGGCGCTGCTTGCGGGCATTGAGTGCCTTCAGCTGGGCATCCTCGGCCATGACACGGGCGTACTCCTGCTCCATCAGTCCCAAGGTGAAGGGATCCATGCCGAAGCCGGCGGCGGCGGCGGCGCTGGGAGTGTTAACAGCAGCAGCGGCTGCTGCGGCGGCGGCGGCATAATACAAATCGCTGGCAGCCGGCATGAACGGAGAGGTGGACGGAGCCTGGTGCTGCAGCTGCGGAGGAGGCTGGGACACGGGGCAGGCGGTGGCGGGGGAGGAGGAGGCTGGCTGGGGAAAGATAGGCTGAGGCGCAGCATCCAGCAAGGGAGTGGAGGTGCGGGTGTAGCTGCTGTGGTTCAACCCATCCTCGTAGCTGGACTTGCTGCTGCTTCGGCTTCGGCTTCGGCTGTCACAGCTGCTGCTGGTGCTCGACGAGGACGAGGAGGAGGTGTCGCTGTCGTGGCCAAAGCTGCTGCTGGGCAGCTCCGTCTTGATGGTGATCTCGGGCTCCTGCTTCACCATCCTGGGCGCCGGAGCGGGAATCTGACGCTGCGTATCCCAGGGACGGAACAGGCGCGAGTAGGTTTGCGGGGGATGCAGGTTAATCGTGGACATGGCGATGATGACGGTTCTCTCTTTCACTTGGAACACTTGGAATCACTTGCGAATTGCGTACTTTTCGGGATTTTTGTTAGCGGAGCTGTGCGTGCGATGCGAGATCTCGACTCGAACTGAACTCTCCTGCCCCGGCGGCACTCAATTTAAGGGGATTCTCTCGAGGATTTCCAGAGCGGGCCTACCTAACGGCCTACCTACACACACACACACTCGCTCGTCCTGCGCTCACGCACACCATACACATACACACACTCGCAGGCACACGAGGGTCGCTTCATTCATCGATTTGTTGTCTGTCTCTGCCGCTGTGCGAGCGAGATGGAGTTGCCACGGGGTTGGTTTTCCTTTGCCCAACAATGGCGGCCTCGCTCACGCACACACGCACACGGAAGTACATAAGGGTGTTCCAGTGTATATGCAGAGTCCTGCGTAGTTTTCACTGCCAGCGAAATCGAAGTCCTAGCTTCCTTGTAACTTTCGCTTTCACACACGGAGAAAAATAAGCTTAATTAAATTATAAATAAGGAAACAAGTGATACATGCTCTATTTGTTTAAATTTATTAAAAAGTAGAAATTAAAATGCAGCTATCTATCGAATTCAAGAGATACAGTACGGTTTATTTTTATAGAAATCTCTGAGATCAGTTTCTGTTCTACCATAGACCTTGTCATTATGTAGGTATTTCTACTTAAACATTTGTATTTTTAAACCCAATTTATCCTCATTAAATTCATTCAGTTGAAAATAAAATGAAGCGATGTTTTGGTAAAGTTTATTCTTTCTAAAAATCGTAAAAAATGCTTTGTTCATTGTTAAAGATCTTGGTATTGTATAAATTTGTAAACCTAATACATATATCCTGATTCATTAAAAAGATATCTTTCTTTTTGTGTAAATTTAAACAATCTATAGATGAAATAATAACATTCAAGTTTTGCATTTTCAGCAATGAAAAAGTAATATTATTGATTTTAAATTACTTAAAATAATCCTATAGAAAACCTTTACAAAATTATTTGCTCATTCCCTTAGTCTTTATTTTTGCGAGTGTTTACGAGTTTCACCACCATTATGTACAATTCCTTACCATATCTATTCGAGATGGCGATCCCTGCGGGGTGGCTGTGGCTGCCGAATTGGGCGCAACTTTAAGTGAAGCATTCACGATTATGAATTTTACGCTTACCCACCGACAAACCCTCAGCGCCTCCCGGGCTGTTTGGCAGTGGGCTTGGCTTGGCTCCGGCCTGCTTTTCCATTTTCCCCCAGCCAGCTTCAGTTCGTCCTCCGGCAGATACAGATACCCGGGCTAAATTTGTAACTCGGTTATCGGTGGGTTGGTTATCCTGGCCCTGCTGCGGTGGCAATTTATTATTGAATTAAGTGCTTCTGTCGAGGGTGGTTGCCTTCAGCCTCCTGCCCCCCTCATCCTCATCCGAATATGCAAAGTGTGGGCCAGGGATCCACGGATACACAAGGATACACAAGAAAGCAGCAGAAGTTGTAGCAATTGCCTGGGGGCTTGACACTCGAGGGCTGGCGCAAAAGGTTTGAGCGTGTAGAGCGGTCGCGGTACAGTTGGCCTTAGTTTTATTTTCCTTTTTTTGGGGGGCTATGATGCTGCTTCCGGCCAAGTTTACTGCCTTTCGTGGGCGTTTGCCCTGACGCGATTCGGGCTCCAGATTAATGGCGCAAGATACAACGCACAATGGAGGAATAAAGCGAATGGCCACACGAATGTGCGTGGCTGTGTTCTATTTACATTTTTTAAATGCAGGAAGTCTTACATTGGGAGTGTTGGGGTTTTTATGAAAACTTAATAATTCTTGACGATTTAAGGTAAATAGTTATGTACTAGTAAATAAAGTAAATGGATTGTAATTAAAGGAAAATGAATATCCCACAGTTTTTGGATAAGGAAGTTCTGACCACAGAAGTTACCACAAGCCTCTTTCTTTAGTTGTTTATATTATTATGTGGTTATCCTACTCATATTATAATCTCTGGTTTATAAAATAAGGAAAGCCAATACACTTTATTTGAGAAAAAATTAATTATTTATTGTCTTGTTCCATTATTGTTTGTTAAAATCCATTTAAGGCCGAGAAAAATATATTATATCAATATAAAGGTATATTCAAACACAAACAAGACCATATGTTTTAAAAAACGAAAAGACAAACCTTGGGAATCAGCATTTTTGTAATAATACATAAACTTAAACAGCGATTAAATTCAAGAGAAAGTATATATTTGTTATCCTTCCCGCTTTACTTTCACTTCATCGCACTTTCTTTGAGATGGCCGGCAACCGCTAAGCCTTCTGTCCTGTCATTTGAAACAAAAGGGAAATCAGTTGGATCAAGTACAGGGGCATTGTATTGTCCTGCCAACGCTAATGAATGCAGCGCTTGGGTCATGGTTACGTTGCCCCTGCACTAGGTAGGTGCTCTATAGTAGGTGGTTTTAGTACCTGCCATAAAACGCGGAACGCGGCGCAGATTCATTCACGACTCGGCACAGTCCGAGGGATTCATTCATAAATATAGGGATTGCCGGGAAGTGCGTGCGATCTGGGTGGATCGATGGGTGGACTGGACGGATGCAGGGCTTGGCTAGGTAGCTGGCTAGATGATCGCCGCCGGCGGGTTGGGCCGAGGTGAGGACGGGCCATAAAAATCCACGAGCTTATTTGCGTAGGCTGGGACTTAGGCTTGCAGCCGCCTGGGACTTTCCCCCGATGCGATTCTTTAAGTAATGAGCGCTGGCCGGGAATTCCGCGCAATGGTCGCGGCTCGTAAACGGCAACCTACAACCACCTACCTAGACAATGCCGCACTCATAAACGGCAAGAAAGGAAGTAATAAAATAATTAGATATAGCAAAGCGGCGATTTCATTCATGGAATGTCGTCAGCGGCGCCGGCCGAGACGCCCGGGCTGCATTGCCCAATGCCTGGGCAATACCTGAGCCATGTGTAATTAGAGGAAATGCACATCATCAGATAAGGAAGGGCGTCATATTCATATTTAGATTAATTAGGGAATTCTACTCTCGAGTTGGACCCCGACGTCTCGCATCACACATGGGGAAAGTACGCGGCCTGTTGGGATAGGATAGACAAGATCTCGAGGCGGCGACTTGATCAGGAAAAACACATCTATCCGGCCATCCATCGATCCTAACCAAACTTCATCGCATCGCCATCTTTATCGGTCTCCTGGTCGCGGCCACAGATAAGCCAGCAGTTCCATGGACAAGCGCCAAGATTATGCCGATCCGCCGATCAGATCAGGGCGAGCACATCCGGCTCTTCGGGGATAAGCACTCTACGTCCCGATCCCCGCTTATGATAGTGGATCACTCCACGCGATGGACTAGGTGCGATCTTTATAGATCTTCCGAGATCAGGAATTACTCAGATTTGCTAGATTACGGGCGCATGCGGGTAACCATTAGTTAAGGACCTTCAGACTAGATTATGGAATAGAATATGGAATATATAAACCATAAAGGAAATGACATAGTTATTATTAAAGTATACATAAATACATAATTAATCCTTGTTTATAAATTTCCGACTTATAGTTATTTCGATTTTTTCTTTTTTTGTATATACAATTTAGTGAGTTTATGTAATGATTAGAGAATGTATATAATTATTTAAAATTTTTTTCAGAATGGCTGTTCTAAAATCGCAATTACTTACGAAAGCCCCCAAGCTGAAATTGGGCAGAAAAAAAGCATTAAAAGGCGCTCGTCTGGGCGTTCCAAGGGCAGCTCTAGCATCTGGATAAACTGTCCTTGTTATGGGTGTGAATGGCGGCTGGAATCGAAACCACAGTCACATCATCGGCCACATCTCCACGCCATCGAGGGGCGGAGACGACACTCGAATGCGAAGCATAAATCAAATTAGTTTTTCAGGCGAATGCACTCGACTAATTCCTGCGGCGAACGCGCCAAGATTGGGACGCGAATTTGGCTGTGGACGTGGTTGCTCTTTTTGTCAGGAAGCGCTGGCAAAAGACGCAGCCGGTTCACTGAACGAAATTAGATTAAAATATTAAATGAACCCCTTTAATTATAACATAAATTTTCAATAAAATAACAAAACATTATATCAGGTCTCAAGGTCTACAATTTAATTCACTTTCTTATCATTCCCAACATTTGATTACCTTTTTTAAGATGCCTAAAAATTGTGTAGTTTTGAAAATCTATATTTTATTGTATTTTTATATACATTTATTATTTTTCTTTCAGTGCACGTTAATGGGAATATCGATGAACGTTTATCCCGTGACACAATGCCGCAGAGTACAGAGCGCGAGCGGTGACCGCGCGTCGTCCATTAAAAGGCCGGCCACAAAAGCAACCCCGCTTGGGACACTGTATCCATTGTCCTGGTCCCCTTTTCCTGGACTCCTTTCCCATTTACTTTCCCTTGCCACTCGAGACATGATCAATGCCCTTTATTCCCCGATTTTCCCCCACCAAAAACGCGATTTTTGGTTTCTTTGGCGCACGCGGCCAGTCCAGCTTCGCTCCTCCTTCTCGGAGGAGCATGCCAAGGCAGCTGAGGCTGCCTCTCTCACTCTCGCGCATCCACATCCACATCCATGTCATCCATGTGCCATATGCCGCGTGAGAGCAGCAGCTGCAGGGGCGTCGTCGAGCAATGGCGTCGTCCTCGGATCGCCCCGCCTTCCGCGCGCTGAGGGTCACAACCACCGGTGGCAGAGTCAAAACATTTGAGAATATCTTTGAATATTTTCAATTTCAGTCACTGAAAAAGCACTTAACCTCAAAGCCAATAATCCGCTTGTAATGCAGATCGTTCTAGCGCTGACAACTGCTGACCATTCATCGCGACGACATCCAGAAGCGGGCTTTGTGCCGAAGGTCCTGCGGCGTTGTTCCATTCAAATGTCCATGCGGGCTTTGCCTTCTCATGTGTGTTTGCATTTGTGTCCAAAGTGTTGACCTCCCCGGTAATCGTTCTATTATTAACAGATATTCGCCCTCGAACAATGTCACAGTGGTGCCTGGCCAAATCCATTGGCCACCGTAACATACCGACTGCCCTGATATTTTTATTTACCTGTCCTGTCCGGCATAAATCGGATTATCGGTTTACAACACCTTTGAGGGCGCTGGAATTGGAGGGGCCAATATTTAAAATTGTGAAAATGCAACAAATATAAGTTAAACGTGCTGAACTCTTAAATATAAAATTTTCTAACTCAATATCTTATTTCTCGATATCAACTAAAATATCTTAATCTTAATTAATATGTTTTTGGAAACCTTTTCCAATTATTTTAATAGATTACGAGAACAAGAACATTAACATCAAGGAAAATGTTAATGGTAAATGCGACAGTAATGCTATTAATCATTAAGGAAACAATTTACTTTTAAGGAAACTCTGTGAAATTTTGAATATCTGATTTATTTCCTGCTATAAACTTTAAAATAGTTTTTTACTTAGAATCAAAAATAAGTTTAAGGAAGTCTTAGTCATAGGAAGTTCATAGAAAACGTAGAGTATTCAACCTTATTCAATTGACCGTATGACACGCTTTACAGCTTATGGCAGATTTCGAAGAGGAAATCGTCTTAGGATTCGCATTCAAAGATTTGGGCAAGCGAGTGGCAGTGAATGAGTGCAAATCGGCAACAATTGTCTTGCGAAATACCAAAGGACATCCATGAGCGGCTCGAGCATTGATCCGCCTAGGAAACTGGGACACGGGACACGAAACACTGCAGACTGGATACAGAGGACGACTCCCGGCGAGCGTCATAAGTGGTTTGGCTCGCCCACAACAGCGGCAAAGTCAAATGCAAATTGAAATGTGCGAAGGGCAGGAGAGTTCTACAGAATGGCCAGACAATGCTACCGTTTCCCATTGAGTGAGCCATGCCATCCATCCAGTACAGCCCGATGTTGTCTGCAAAGCCTTTTCACACTTGGTTATCCTTCGTGACCTCTCAATGGATGGATGCAAAGGATCTGTAAAAGAAACAGTAGGATGCTGGCCATTGAAATGGGCCTGGGCGACGCAAATCTGTCGCCCGAGGTGCAATTATGATTGAAAGGTCTCAATAATAACCGATAAATTCATGTTTACCTAACGCACCCGGTTTCTGGTCAGCTGTCAAGTGCTGGGATTGCGTCCATCTCCCTCTGCCCTGCCCATTCCCTGTGATGAATGAATGGCAAATCCGTGAATGGCCTTGGATGAGTGATGAACGCAACGGAGTCAGGCTGAACTGAATTGGACTGAAGTGTCATTTATCTACGGACGCACTACGTAGGTGTACCACTGCCGATGATGATGATCAACCTTCGATCAACCTGGCAAACGCCAAGGCCCGGCCCACGTCGTCTGAGGGCCTTGCAATTGTTGGGATTGCAAAATATTGCACTCGATTTGATCGATCGGCCATCGGTCGTACAAAAAAAAGGGAATCAAAAAATGTGCCAAAAAATGTCATTTTGTCACAAAAAAAAAATAATACTTCATAACTGTGAGTGCTTCGACGGATTGATTGATAACTGCACAATGGACAGGAAAAAATTCACAAACAGATGGTTTGTATTTGATTATATTGTTTGTTAATCTTAAAAATAATTTTTAATAATATTTTTATAAGGGGTTACATCGTTGAAATTGTCAAATTTTTAAAATTTTCAGTATGCAGATCTGTTAACCTAAAAAAACCAAGCAGAGAACTGTTTTCCGATTTAAGATTAATGCTCTTTTTTGGTTAGTAATGATCGGTTTCCCATTCGCTTCTATGATTAAAGATCTGTATGATATGTCTGAGAACGAAACCATACTATTTATAATAATTTTAAACATGTTTTTCTGAAGTAACCCAAATCGATTTCCAATCAGATCGTTCCCGCGCCCTTTTGTAACCACCAGATCCATGGCAAAGTATGTGTCTGTGCGGATAACCGCAAAAACTAGTATAAATTGACATCATAAATTTAAATTACTTCCACCCTTCTTCACCTAGGCGCTCCAAGCCCAAGCCCATAGACCATGGCCCAATCCCAAACCCAAATCCAGCCCTGTGGGTTTGCTGGGCTCTGGCTGTTAGGGGGTTGGACGCGGGGTTGGTTGGTAAACCCAAATGCCTGGATGATGGTCGAACCCGCGGTGGAAACGCTATAGGGGCGGGGAGCGAAGGATAACCGAAAGAGCATAAGGGGCGAGGACGCAGCCATCAACACGATTATTTCGCATAAAATAAATTGATTCCAGCTAAGAGTCAAGCATGTCCTTTGATGCCACGGAATAGAAATAGACAAAACGCAAACAGCGCTTGAAAAATGTCGAAATTTGTCCACAATAAGTTCTTTATTGAGTCGCCATACACAATGGATTGCCTCATCCCCATTCCCTTTCCCTTACCCGATCCTGTTCTCATCTCCGCTATAAACCACGGCCCAGCCACTCGATGAACCAAAAACCAACAAAACAATGGGACAATAGAACTCGGGACGGTAAAACTGTGGCACGTCTTCGCCTTGGACTGCACATCTCGCCTTGAGGGGCTGTCCCGACACCTTTGGCTGACACCTTCCCTCGTCCTCGTCCTTGTCCCATTCCCTGAATAGAAAGTGGAATATGAATAATGACAAGCGAGCCAATTTCGGGCAGTTGCGTCAAAAGGAGCGTCAACTCGGCTGCCGCTCCATTGTGACCTTTTCGGGACCTTTGTGTGCGAGTTCGTTCGGCATCTACGGCAATGTGGCATCTCCTCCTGCGTCTTGCGGTCGCCAATGTGGCTAGCGGCTCCTGGCCCTATTAGCTTCTGCGGCAGACACTGGGCCGCCGCTCAAATTGAGCGTGCGCAATCGATTACCCGACGCATCTTCGTCACCGCATTCGCATTTAGTTTATAAACTAATTCGAAGCTGGCTCGACCCGTGAAGTCATTGAGAGTCTTTTCATTCATGGCAAGGACCATAAAGGATAATGTGTAGTTGGCCATGCGTTATGGTATTTAATACTTCTAAACGCCCAGAATCAGTTAATTGATTTGCTATGAAGTACAGAAGTGGTTAGCTTAGTTTTGTGATTATACTTAATATCCCTTTAGGAAATATTTTAAATACAACTTAATTCGGAATTATAAATTTGACTATATGAATTTCAATTCTAAAACTTAATATGTCTCTCTAATTATTTATTTAATTTATAAACTTAAATCTTTTAAGAAATATAAATCCCCTTTGAGGAGTTTTAATTCAAAGGAAGTTTCTCAGTAAAGATTCAATTGTGGAATACTTTCACCCCACAAAATTTGCAAAATGGAAAGTCATTTAAGGAATCGGCTTCGATAAATGGAACGATATTCCCTTTAATACCTTGGCTATAAGTATAACAAAACAACCAAGGAGTGTAGGCTGATGCTTTGCCACTGGCTCAGCTCCTGGAATCCGTGAATCAAAGTCATACTTCTGCGTTATCCTGTCAACAGCAGCCGCTGTTATTCCAGGAAAAGGCGACAGTTCCCCGAGTTTCGCAGACACACCGTCGTCTATGATGCCGAAAATGTCCTCTGATATGCCGACTAATAATTGAGCCATTTAACCTGTTACAATTGGCAGTAGAATCGAGACGACAGGCCGTCATATTTCTTGGCTCAGCTCAGCTCAGCTCAGCTCGGCTCTCACGAGAGCGCTCCCATTAATTAGCCGAATTGTCCATTTGTAAGGTGTCAACAGGTAAATTCGTCATTGTGAGTAAGAGACGAAGATCCAAGTGGAATGGGACTGAGAGTCCTTCACGAGGTGTCTTTGTTTTTGCAAGGGGCTGGCAGGACCGGCGGCTAGATCTGAGGATGCGGCATGTAGCAATGTCACGTTGCACATCACAGAGGCCGATGTGGTGTCGCCCCGCCACAATCAAAAGGATAATGTGGCAAAATCCAGACAATCGTTTCGTCCTCGGCGGCACTTCAAATGCGACGTTTGTTTGCTGTTTGACCAAACCAATCAATGCACTTGACTCTAGACGGGGCCGAGGGAGGGCGCAAATAAATAATAATCAAACAAATATCGATCCCTGGCAATTTTTCAAGGCAATTCTATGGATCCCTAAATAGCGTACAATTGAATATTGAAGCCCTTCGTTTTCTCGATCAACTTCTTTAGGTAAGTTGATTTAGATATCAATTTTATATTTGTTTTAATGTTTCTATGGTATTTATTTGCCTTGAAATGAAAACAATGGCTTAAAAACAATAAAGAAAGCTTTCTTATGTTTAGAATGACCTTATAATTATAAATAAACAAGAAGTATGAGCCTACCCTTTGCACACTCGAATAACTCACCAGCCAGGTGACATTCAAAGCTCATTCGCTTAGCCAAGTTAACCCACGAAACGCGTAAACTTAACCCAGTTTCTGGCCTTGGCTTCGAAAAGCCGACCACAGATGGCGCTGAAGGGGCAGCAGGCGCCAATGCCACCCACTGTTCGCACTCGCTCGCACCCACAACAGCAGCAGAAGCAGCACTTGGCAGGCGTCGCACTTTCACATTTCCGGCCAAAGCGCTCGGCTGTGGTGGATTTCCGCCGATGGACGCACGAGGCGCCATCGGGGGCTCCCGTCCGTTCCGTGTTCCATGCGAAGTTGTGTGCGGCAGACGCGACGACGCTGCATCAGTCCGTGCTCAGCCATCGTCGTCGGTGGAGAACCACAGTTCAGCCCGGTCTCGGCCCGCGCACATACTCGCCCACACAAGAGACACCAGAGACCAGAGACAAGAGTCCAGAGGAGGAAAAGCAGTGGCAGGCCTTAGATAAATGATCCGCTAAAGAGTTAACCGAGTGACACCGCGAGCTGGAGAACTAGTGCAGCGCCTGGTGGCCTGAAAGTGACGTGAAAACTCTCTGCTCTGCTCCTTCGATTTCCTCACATGTGCGTGCCCAATGCAACCGTTTTCTTCTGTATCTGTTTTCCGCAAGAACCCAGCCACCGACAGTGATTAACGCAACCCGGGGGCCCCCGAGTCCGGCCAGCTTCCAGAGGCGTAATTAGTGAGGATTGCCAAGTGAAAGGATAACCAGCAGCAGCAACAGCAACAGCAACAGCAGAAGCAGGAGCGCAGCACCACCAGTGAAAATGGTAAAAAGTGATTATGAAATGGATGCGTATGCAGGTGCTGGTGCTAGTGAAGGTGCTGTCCTAATCAGATGAGGGACTCATCCCTTTGAGGCTATCAAGCGGGCTAAGTCGCAAGTCAATTGCCAGCACTAGTCCCGTTTTGTGTCGCTTTTCCAAGCCCCATTGTTTTCCGCCGCCGAGAAAGAAAACACGAGCGCAGCGGCGTATGATGTAAGCCGAGCCCAACCACCCAAGCAAGTCCTCTCCTTCCTTCCTCATCTATTTAGTTAGCGCAGCCATTTATTTTTATAAGATGCAGCCTCATTGACGCCGTCATCGTGGCTTGCCACCACCAGCCCCTTGCCGTCCTTCGCCCTTCGTCCTTCGTCCTGGCCCTTGCCGCTCCAACAACTCAACAGCATCATCAGCAACAACAACAACTGTAACTAACAGCAAAAGTCAAGCGAAAAACACTACACCACCAACCTTACCCAACAGCGCGTAAGAGAGCACTGAGAGAAAATAAGTCAAGCTTGTCTTGGCTTAAATTGGGAGAACACATAACTAAGATTTTTCTAAGACTTTGGTTCTATTTAAGGTGATAGAAATTTGCCTATAAAACGATTTCTTCCTTGCTTCTTTTCTAAAAGAAGAAAATTAGGAAACTTTGTGCTGAATTTAAAGCATCTTTGGATACAGAATACAATTATACTTTTTACCACAACAAGGATTCGAACCTTCATAAAAATTAACTTTAAAAAAGGAACTTAAAAATTTCCAATATACCCAACCTTTTCACCTTTCAAATATTCAAAAGAAAACTATAAGTTTAATTTTAAGCTTTGCACCCCCAAAAACCCTAGTTACAGGAAATATTTACTGACAAAAAATATTGTAACAACCCACTTTCTCCGAGTGTGAAAGCTGTGTGGGGAAATGGTCGGAGGGACGGCCTGAGGGGGACGTAACTGTAAATCGATATTGTGCGGCATGACCGAGTGGCCCACAAGGCGGGCAGGCGCTCGTCTTCGGGGAAGGAGAGAGAGAGCAGTAGCGCCACCCGCTGTGTGGTGGCTTTGTTAGTCACTCAGTCAGCCAGACGCCGACTTGGCCACCACTCGCCTCGCCACCCGCCAAAACGATGCTGTCCTCGTGTCCCAGCGCCGTTTGTATTTTGTGGTGAAAAACCCCACTTGCTCTCGCCGTTCCCCTTGGCTCGCTCTCACTCTCTCTGCCTCTCGATTGATTCAAATTTGCGCTGTTATCACACCAGCCCCAGCACCAGCAACAACAATAATGGCAACAAAAATTGCCAATAACAAAGAAATGTGGCTCGAATTTATTCTAAAGACATTCTGTTGCTTGTGCGGCACGAAGGAGCCGCCGCCCCACGGCTGTCCATGATGTCATATGGTAAATGTTTGCAAATCGCAGAGGCATAGATTCGGTGGAATGATGTTCTCCCGTTCCCGTCCCTGCCAGTACAAACCGACTTCCTTGACCTTCGGACTTAACTCAGAGTTGTTTACGAATTGCTTATCATTCGCGGGGTTTGTTGCTCTGACATACATAGGTGCTCCTCTAATTGCAGACCCCATAGATCTTCCCAGACTAGCGACTTATTTATGTCACAAGTTTAGTTTGTTTCCACATCCAAAGAGATTAAAACCAAGAGGAAATGATTAAAAGTTAATACTATTCTTATCATATCTAATACATATGATTTTATAAAAATTGATGAGTGTTTTACATTTACAAAGTTTAAATCGGCTAATCCCGGCAATCTTTGGATTTAGCTTTAAAAACGATAAAATGATTATCTGGTATCACTTCATATACTCCCACATATCCATTTCCCATTGTCCTTTAAGCCAAAAGTTCGAAGAGTTCGAAGAACCTAGAAAAAGAGTTCTGTTACTAGAATACTCTGTTCTAATATCATTAAATTTATATTGAAATATTAAACTGTTTTTCCTTATTTATTTTATATAAACAGAAAGTGTGCAAAACTAATTTAATCAATATATAATCTAGTTTCATCTTAATGTTTCTCCCAGTGATGAATTGCTGGCAGACATTTGGCATTCTTGATTTCCTTGAGTGCACCTGCCGTGCACCGGATTGAATATCCATAATCAAATATCAATCGAATATATTGGGGTTGAAAGATTGGCAAACTAGTGGAAGCGAAGCATAGACTATTGCGATACTAAAAATATACCTTCAATAAAAAGATTGCCAAAGCCAAAGCAGAAGATAAAATAAATGTAATATATTATCTAATTAAAAAATAAATTCGTAGATTTTTTCACTTTAACAGCTAATATATAAAACATTTCTCGGTTAAGCTGCCATTGAACCCTAAGTAAATAGATGACTTTGTTTTTCTGGTTGGCTTTTACTGCACTTCGGCTGTAGCCAAAGCCCAATATCGGGTTTCCACTGCCAAGCAGACAAAGCCGGCCACCACAAAGCCAACCCACCCAATCCCATATAATACGTTTGCATTTCTTCGCCGAGGCGGTTATTTCCCTCAGGCCCTTTCGTCTAAGCTCGTGCACAGAGAGAAATTCATAAAAATTGCACATTTTATTTTAACAAACTTGTTTTTTTTACAGATTGTCCGACGCCGATCCCGCCGCGCCCGCATGTGGAACATGGGGCTGCTGTTCCTGATCTACTACTGCGTCAGCATCTATTCCGCCAAGGGCGACACAAAGGAGGCCCCTCTGCCCCTGGATGTGGGAAGCCTGGCCGAGGATGCCGGTGATGCGGAGGCCAATGGCGAAGTGCCTGCAGAGCTTCCTGCGGAGGGTAACACCGAGGGTAGCAGCGTGTTGGAGACCACGCCGTGGCCAGAGGTGAGCAGAAACCGCTAAGCCTTTGTCCTATCCTAAATCCCTTTCTTTGCCAACCACAGGCCACCACGAAAGCCACTCCCATTCATGGAGCCGTTCCCACCTGGCGACCCAAGCGCGACAACTGCACACCGCCTGCCATCGAGCAGTTCCCGCAGCCGCTGATGAACAAGTGGGCGCGGCGGCACGGTGGCCTCATCCTGCACATCCTGGTGGCCGTCTTCACCTTCTTCGGCCTGGCTATCGTTTGCGACGAGTACTTTGTGGCCAGCCTGGACCGGTTATGCGAAGGTGAGCTCCACCATTCTGGACTTGATAAGTTTTAACAATCAATATTCTATTTGCAGAGCTCAAGCTATCGCCGGATGTGGCGGGAGCCACTTTCATGGCTGCCGGAAGCTCGGCTCCGGAGCTGGCCACCGTGGTGATTGGCGTGTTCTTCGCCAAGGATGACATTGGCATCAGCGGGGTCATCGGCTCGGCCGTGTTCAACATCATGTTCGTGATCTCCGTCTGCGCTTTGTGCTCGGGCACCGTGTGCCAACTGAACTGGTGGCCCCTGGTGCGTGACTGCTTCTTCTACTGTGTCTCCATTCTGGTAATGCTGATAATCATCTTCAACGATGTCATATCCTGTGTAAGTTCCTGGCGTCCAGGCAATGTAACACCGATCCTGACTAGGTTCTCCTCTGTTCTTCTTGCAGTTTGAGTCAGTGGTTATGCTGCTGTGCTATGTGGGATACTGTGTGGCCCTTCACTTTAACACAGAGCTGGAGCGGTGGGCCCTGGGTCTGAACCTGCCCTTCAAGCTGCCCAGCAAAGAGGAACAGTCGGCGCTGGTGACCTACAAGAATGTGCCGGAGAGCTCCTACACTCAGGGCGGCGCTGGCCAAGGACAGCAGCAGACGAGCCTGTCCAAGGATCCCAACGAGGGCCGAGCCGCGGAGCCGCAGAACGAGTACCAGAACTACAGCGACCCCAACGCCAGCTGGGACCCGAACTCCGCCTGGGGGGAAGAGAGCCAACCGAAGCCGGTGGTCAGTGCTAGATTCAACCCGCCGCCGGTCGACGACTGGGGAACCAGCCAGTTCGGTCAGGATCAGGGGCAGGAGAACATGGCCTACAATGCCGACCAGCCCGATTCAGTGGTCACCGGAGAGGCGGCGGCAGCGGCAGCAGCTGCCAAGAGCGGTGGTGCCCAGGTGGCGGCACAGGCGGCGCCCGGCGGTGTTGACTACTACAAGTCGACGGACAAGCAGCGAGAGCAGCGCCCCGATCCCCTGATCCGACCCACGGAGGGCGGTCTGCCAGCACTGATCTCCTGGTACGTGGTCTATCCGATCCACTTCCTCTGCAAGAAGACGATGCCCGACTGCCGGCAGGAGCAGTACCGCAACTGGTATCCCTTCACCTTCCTGATCTCGATGGTGTGGATCTCGTTCTACTCGTACTTCATGGTCTGGATGATCACCGTGATTGGGTCCACGCTGGCCATCCCGGACACAGTGATGGGTCTGACGTTTGTGGCCGCTGGCGTGTCCGTCCCGGATGCCCTAAGCTCAATAGCCGTTATCAAAGAGGGCTTCGGCGACATGGCCGTGTCGAACGCGATTGGCTCGAATGTCTTTGATATACTAGTGTGCTTAGGTCTTCCCTGGTTCATACAAACGGCCATCATAAAGCCCGGCTCCCACGTCAACGTTATATCCAAGGGTATGTACTCGCACTCCCCCCACCTAGCTCCCGTAGCTGCCTGTGTGTCCACCTAACTCGTAGTACTGCTCGTCGTGTGTCCAAAGTGTGTGGTATGCCTGGCATGAGTGTCCTAGCCGTTATCCTAGCTGAAATCCAGAGTCCAAGCCAAGTCTAATCTCTGAGCCCTCTTTCTCTTCCAATTTCTGTGTCTTTCCCTTTGGGATTTCCCTTGCAGGACTGGCCTACTCCACGCTGTCGCTCTTCTCCACCGTGGTCTTCTTGATCCTGTCGACGCATTTGAACGGCTGGAAGCTGGACAAGCGACTGGGCATCATCCTGATGGTCTGGTACCTGTTCTTCATCACGCTGGCGTCGCTCTACGAATTGAACGTCTTTGGCTACATGAACCCACCCGAGTGTGCCAGTGAGTGTCCGCCATCCAACGATCTAAGATCGAGCTATGCTAACTGTTTATTGTTTTTTTTTAGGCGATTACTAAGCACCCCGATGATGACCGAAACGCACTTATGTTTTCACTACCAGCACCAAGTACCATATATACATAGATCAGGGATGCCCAGGCCGGGCATCTTACGGCTCCTTCGCAGCAACCAGAGAGTACTGAGAGTATAGGGCATAGGGCATCCCTGTTATAGATAAATAACATATAGAGTCGTTCATAGCCGCAGCTAAAAGATAAACCGAAATCACTGCAACACCTCGACCGGAGGGAGGAGGAGTTTGGGTACCATTTACCTAACGTTAATTAGAGGACAAATTGAATACTCAAAGCGCGTTTTACATGAATTTTTACATTGCACCAAGAGACATAGGAGACGATAAAACCAAAAAGATAAATTATATAAATGTACATGTATATTATATTTATTAATATGTATTTAAATGATATTTAGGCAATTAACAAACTATATATGTATGTACAACAAGAGGAGGAGTATACATAAAGCATTAATAGCAACTGTAGATAGGGAGACAAATGTATGTTATAAATAAGAACAACAACAACAACAATAAATTAGCGATTGTTGCTAATGGTTTTAAGGAACAAGTCAACAACAGAACAACGCAAGATGTCCCACACACACACACACACCACAATCGCAACAGTTTGCGATTATAAAATACCTTATTTAGTCGCATTTATGTATATACTTTTGTATCACACCGCTTTCTTAACGAATCGATTAATTATAGACCTTAGTTGTATGTACATTCCTGTAAAAAGCCCCTGTATGGTTTACCAAGACACCAGGACACTAGCAGCTTCCTGCGGAGACTCCGCCCGGCGGGCCAGATCGAATATCACGTGGCAGACCAGATGTGGAACCAGAACAACGAATTTTGTTGAATTTAAGATCGGATATATTTTACTTTAGTTCTCTTTAAGAAGGTACAGAAGCATACTTTGCGTATGCCTATTTTTGTTATATACTTATCGTACGATGGAGCCGATGAATTAACGAAACGTCCTAGGTTTTGCATTGACACAAGGATATGGAAAACGATAGAAATACGACAGTGAGTGCAAAGAAATTATACCTAATGGCAATTAATCGCGTCAATTTTGTATTGTAAATAATAACCATAACATTATGTTATGAAACGAAAAGTAAACACTAAAAGTCAATTTGCAGTGCAATTTAATAGTGCATAATCGGCACAGTTCCCGATCTAGTTTCTTGTTACATTTTGCGGAACACTCCTGAACAAATGTTTTATTTACAGGTTTCGAATATTTATCTAGTGAATTTATTAAACTACTTACCATAATGTTCTCATTCTGAATGTTTGCATAAAATAGGAGACCCCTCTCTGAGTTTACAATAATTGTTTGCTTGATCTAGCATAAAATATGTATCCTAAACTACGGGTACTTAATTAATCTGTCAGTGTTTGAAGGAAAGAAAAATCAAATTATGCTATATATGTTCGTTTAATCAAAACTAAAAGTGAAAACCATTAAGGCTCACGGTAAAATGGCCATTCGCATTATTTTAAAATCGAATCGTCTAGTTAATGCTTTAAATTTTATGTTGTTTGAACAAGTTAATGCACACACACACGATCTCGTTAGGCGTTGGGCCAGATATTACTACATTTTGGCCATCCCAGCAACTCAATTCGGACCGATTCCAGCTGACTTTCCTCCATTTACGGAAGAATCCAGACGGATGGGGCACAGAATCAGTATCAAATGTTAGCTGAAAGCAATGCGTAAGACAAATATATACACCTAATATTTACATACATTACATATAGCCCACAGATGCAAATCATACTTATGTAGTGAGCCATGCACTGCTATATGGACGCGCTCAAATCATAGTCAAATACTAACATACACATATTACACGATGATCAGGATCAAGGATAGCGCTTGAGCGTGTTGAAGGAGCCGAATCGAAATGAAACCCATGTAACTGACTTCTATAATTTACCCAGCCAACTTCCTGAAACGAGTTAATCGCATACCTAACATAGACATGAAAAACGGAAACCAACGTTACACAATAAATCGAACGAACAATCGCCTCTTAAAGATCCCCACTTAGAGAACCCATATAGCTTATACTTGAACATTACCCAAACACAGAGGTATATACTACGAGGTTCTTCCCTACTCTACAAATAGTCGATCCAGAAGGTTTTCGCAGAAATGAATAAACTGTCTGTCAATGTACAATGCACATACTTCCGCAGGACATGCGAAACCGAATCTCGCGGATCGCACGATACTCCATTACTGTACAATAAATAAACAAAACTATAGTCGAGGACGCTAGCTGTTTTAATTAAAAACTTCAATTAGCGTTTCAATTACTCAAGAGAGATTAGTCGTTTAATAAGCCGTTGAACCGTTACGATCGATACGTGTACATGGAAGTCAGCGTTTGATTGAAATTATTTTGAATGTACACCCTCGAGAGATTTAAATCCAGTATATTTCGTGTTACTTTTAACTGTATCTAATGCAAAATTGCAATCTATAAGAGAAATATATACGAGTATGTGTAGGTACTTTATTTATTGACGAGGATCTTCTTTACCTAAGCATAGAGGGGCAAGGAGGACACAAAAGCAAAACCAAACGAAACGAAACACTTATATATGAAGGAACGACTTTCCCTAAACAACATATGCAATGTACAATAATTGTTACATTTACTTACATACTATCTAAAACATGCTATACAATAAACGATACAATATATGTTTACATCTGACATTTGTGTTAATTACGACTATAATTGTTTGCAAAAACTATATTAAAACCTATCAAATTAAATCAAAATGTTGCGGAGTGTGTTTCAAATTTAAATTCGGAGCGACAACCGGCAACATATTGGTGGGATCGAAACTAAAAACATCAAGCTACAAACGAAACTAATGCCAATACACGAAACTGTTGATGTTATATTTAGTCAAATAATGAATTCCGAAAATGAATAAATGCATAAATATACACAAGAAATCTGCAATTCAGTTGTTTTTTGAAGTTTAACGGGATCATAACGCCTAGACCAGGGGTTAGAGCATCCAGCTAGACACAATCTTCTACCTTATTTTTATACCCTTGCAAAGACTTATACTTTTAGTCAGAAGCTTGCAACACAGTGAAGGAGCCATTTCCGACCCCATAAATGATATATATTCTTGATCAGCATTAACAGGCGAATCTTTCTATCCATGTTGATAAAGAAACAATTTTTTTAAATTTTTTACATCGTTAAAATTGTCAAAAATTGAAAAAAATTTTGATCTCCTGAAATTACAAATTCAGTATGCTGAATGATATGATATGATATTTTCTATACCTTCCTGAGGGAAGAGCACAAGATTCTATGTGAAGCAGAAAAGCATACGATTCAGGTACCTGAATCTCGCGTTTGATGAACTGGGGATCATACCAAAGGACATCCTACATTCGTTTAGCTCATGAAGCATGAGCTCCACATAGTGGGAAGGAAGAGTGGATTTGCAACTGATAATGATTGAAAGTATGCTACATTTTCTTTGTCATAGCTTTTAAAACAAAAATTAAATTTTAAAGATTTTGTATAGTACAAAAGGATGTAAACCCCCAAATTCACCGTTACATGTCGTCCAGTTGTAAAACCGATTGTCAATACCTGTGTGAGTATGTACCTGGAGCGACGAAAGCTTGGCCACCTGGCAAGCCCAGCTGTTAAGCAGCGGCGCGCACGCATTAAAGCTTTCTCTCTCTCCTCTCTCTCTTCCCAGTCACTCTCTCTGTATCGCCCTTTTCCAGCTCTCCCAATGCCATAGACGCCCACCACCGACAGCCCAGCAGCACCACCACCACATCAGCACACTGGCATCCGAAATAACTGACACGCATCCGTATACGTAATCTGTGAGCTTAAGAACGAGGAGGGAAAGCTTTCTGGAGCAGCAACCGGCGGCAGCTGGTCGGTGGAGGGTTCGCTCCGGTGTCTTTCGTTCCCGTTCAGCTCGATTCAGTCGTCGATTCACTGCCAAAGTGGTACCAGTTCCGTGTCCGTGAGTAGCGAGCATCGTTTGCGTGTGTAAGTTTCCCTCGGCTGGAATCGTCAAGTTCAGCACACACACACACCCAGGGGAGAGCGGGTATATGTGTTCGCACCTACCTGTTCGCCGCCCTCCGATAAGAGCCCATGGATTTGTCCAATATTCCATCATAATCGCAGAAAAATTATATAACTTTCGAACATTTCGGGTACATAATCGAACGAAGGCACTGACATTCTGACAACTGGCCATCAACCTTCGAGATCCCAAGTGTCTACATAGTCGCTGTGCAGGCATATATACGGGAGCGACGTATATATACAGTTAGCCGTGTATATGCGCAAAGAAGCGTTCTCGCCCCAAACTTGTTTACCCGCGATAAGGCGACGATGTTGGGTCATAAGCATTGGCGGCGCTGATAAGACCATCAGCTTCCAGTGGCGGAATCTTGGGGCTGGAGGGCAGGGTTGCCAGCTGATCAGGCCCGTTTCCGATTTTCACTTTCGACTAGATTCAGGGAAAGTGGTCTCCAAAAATCTAAGTCTTAAAGTGAGAACTTTGGAAAAGATAACTTATTTTATTTATAAATTGTTTTGATCCACAGATTGGAGGGAACATTTAGGTGAATCATTTGAAGATTTCAACACATAATAGTTTGTATATTTACGTAGCAAAAAGAAAAAACCAGTTGCCATAAATTTAAGTATAATTTTATTGAATTCATAAGAACTTAAGAATGAATCTTGAAGTTTGTCACCGTTTATTATTAATACTATAAATATTTTCAGTTATAAAAATTATATTTTTAAAGCTGTCGTTGACTAAAAATAAACAATAACTGTAATCGTCCGATTTGCCCCGTTGCAAGGGAACCGAATTAGCTTCGCTTCAGATTTCCTGGACCGAACTCAATTTAATTATGGCCCCAACAGACCCCCCTCGATTCCACACCGATAAGATACGGGTCTCAAAAGTATATAACCCCACTATCTTCACAGGCAGAGCAGATTCACCGACGGCCCGACCATGAGCCCCCTTCCCCGAGTCAACATCGACGAGCCCAAGTATGACCAGAACACATATATTGGTCGGGCCAAGCACTTCTTCCTGGTCACCAATCCGCTCAACGTGCTGGCATCCAGCGCGAAGCTGGAGGAAGCCCGCCAGATCGTGCTGAAGTACCGTGCCGGCAAGGATGTGCCCGAGTGCCAGACAATTGACGATGTGTGGCGCGCCAAGTACCTGTACGACTCTGCCTTCCACCCGGAGACGGGCGAGAAGCAGATAGTGTTCGGACGTATGTCCGCCCAGATGCCCATGAACACGGTCATCACTGGCGGTGAGTGTGTGATGTGCCCCTCAATTGGGTCATGTATCTCTGCGCGTTTGCTTCCGCACACAGTGCGACTAGCGCCTTAATTTGCGCACAATAACAATGCTGAGGCTAATGATTCCCATTTCCATTCGCAGGCATGATGGCCTTCTACAAGAGCACCGGAGCTGTTGTCTTCTGGCAGTGGTTTAATCAAACCTACAATGCCGTTGTCAACTACACAAACCGTTCGGGCACGACACCGATCAGCCAGCAGTAGGTACCGATGCGCCCCGCCGCTGTGCGCCCCACTAATCCATCATCCATCCATTTGCCTCGCCTACAGGCAACTGGTGACTTCTTACTGCCTGGCCACCGGCGGAGCCCTGGCCACGGCGCTGTCGCTTAACAAGGCGGTGAGGAACATGAATCCGCTCCTGGGCCGCCTGGTGCCTCTCGTCGCCGTTGCGGCCGCCAATTGCATCAATATTCCCTGCATGCGCATGCAGTAAGTGCCACCGCCATTCCTTCAGGTGTATATGGTAATTGTAATGCTCGCTCTTTCAGGGAACTGCGGAACGGAGTGGTGCTGTTGGACGAGAATAACACCGAGATGGGGGTGTCTAAGAAGGCGGCTGCTGTGGGTATCTCGGCCGTCATTCTAAGTCGGATCGCCATGGCCATTCCCGGAATGAGTAAGCCTCCCGTAGAAAGTTGAGTCTAGATACGGTTAAGAGCCCTTTTTCTCGCAGCCCTGACGCCGATCCTGATGAATAACCTCGAGAAGCGGGGCTTCCTGGCCAGGTTCCCTCGCTCCAACGCCCCCATCCAGACGCTCTTCTGCGGATTCGTGCTGATTTTCGCCACGCCGCTCGGCTGCGCCTTCTTCAAGCAGCGGGCGGGCATCAAGGTGGACAACTTGGAGACCGAGGTTCGCGACAGCATCAAGCAGAAGCGTCCCGAACTGGACACCGTGTGGTTCAACAAGGGCCTGTGAGTCCAGTGTGCAATCCTCGAGCTTACAAAGACAATATCGTTTGGCCTGGCCTATTTATTTACTCACCACGCATTTATTAGCATTTTGTCAGTTGAGTTTCGTTTGAAATACTCATGGGAATACTTCTTGTCGCCCACGCACGAGTGTAAAAAAGAGAAGAAACCCAAAATAAATATATTTCTGTTAAATTGAATTTAACGGCAGTTTCATAATCCGATTGGAATTATCAAAGTTATCAACCTTATGCCGCTTTTCGTATAACAGCTTATTTGTCATCATTTTAATCGATATTCGCTACTATCGATATGCGATATCATAACTCGATGCCAATCGACTAGATTGTAAATATTTATCGTTATCGACTCATCACCCCAGCTTATTCTCGGCTTGGGATTTTGTTTTTATTTAATTAAACTATAATTTAAGCAAGTTTGGTTGAATTAATTTGTATCATTGGTTAGTAAAGGTGACACTAAAGTGGAAATACCGTTCTGCCTGCAGCAGCGTGTCGATGCGCTGGATTTAAGTCAGAGTTTTTTGAAGCAACCACAATTAAGGTGTGGTTTTTTGGCCACTTGACTAAGCGTGAATTTAATTAGGCAGGGGCGGTGCCGCCATTTAAAGACCCGTGTAACTTTAAATTGGGTGTAAAGTGCATCTATTAATAAACTAATACCGTTAATATTTAAAACAAAACAAAATTAGACTTTTTGGTGCAACTTTATCGAGGCTTACGACCACGCCTAGACACAGGCACGCATACCAGCGCACAGACACGTAATGATGACACAAACACCTTGCAAGCGATTTTTGGATTTGTTTACTAACCCATTGTTTATGCCATTAGTGTGTAAAATAAACAAAATTATTTACTGATTCCTTCGATGCTTGCAGATCCAGCTGCGTCGCGAGCAAAATGTGCCTTTAGTCTGCTGCTAGAAGCCATCTGGAGCAGTTCCCATCTCACCCCACTCGGAATCGGAATCGAGCCAGCGTCAGCATGTCACCCACAAGAGGATTAGCAGCGCTAGCGCTCTGTTTATTTGGTCTGGCAACGGCCCAGTTGCCCGGAGACCTGCCTGCGGGACAATTGGACGGACAACTAGGGCAGCCAAGCCAGCAGCCGCAGCAGAGCTACCAACCCAGCTACAACAAGGACTACTCGCCGCGATACAATCCCCTGTACACTGGCCAGCAGCAAAGCCAGGACACCACCCAGTTCGACAATCCCCTGCTGGACGGTCAGAACCCCAACTCCTACAACGGCTACTATGACGGCAACCGGCCACTGGGCGGAGCCGGCGGCGTGGGTGGCCTCAACGGCGTTGGAGTTGGAGGGTACAACGGTGGCGGGGGCCTAAGCAGCAATGTGGGCGGACCCGGAAACAGCCTAGGCGGCGGCTTGGGCGGCCTAGGACCGCAGTACGACCCCTTCCACCGGAACAGCATCGGCGGAGCGCCGGGTGTCAACTACCGGGATATGTACAGTGATGAGGAAAACTTCTGCCCCGAGCACTGGGTCTCGTTCAGACAGAGCTGCTATCGCTTCATCCGCTCACCCAAACGGAACTGGGCGGAGGCCAAGAAGATCTGCAAGGCCTACAACGCCGACCTGATCAACGTGGACAACGTGGAGAAGCACTCCTTCATCCTTAAGAATCTCATTTTGCAAAACCATCGGCAGAACCGATTCTTCATCTCGGCCAGACAGACTGGGCCGCAGAACTGGGTCAACGATGACAATACACAGCTCGTGCAGATCGAGGACTCGTTCTCCATGGACGAGAATGTGCCTTTGGAAAACGAGGACCTGCACGACAACCGCTTCCTGGTGCAGAACGACCTGTACAACAGGAACAACTTCAACAATCCGAATCAGTTTTACAACTCGTTGCCTGGAACCGTAAATCAGCGCAATCAGAACAACTTGAGGGGCTTTATAGGTATGCAAACATAACTCCATTCACTAATATACATAGTTATCCTGTAATTATCCTTTGTAGGGCCCAACCAGCCGTACGGAGACAATGGCTACATCCGGGACCGTGTGGTCTATGCCTACTCCAAGAAGCGGGATCGCTGGATGTTTATGCCGGCGTACGAGATCGAACTGAATCTGTTTATCTGCGAGTCCAAGGTGCTCTACAGTCCGGACAACGTCAATATCAAGCTGGACGACAAGCGTCCCTACCACTACGGCCTCGACATCCGCGACATGGAGCGCATTCCGCGTGGTCCCTACTTCGTCAAACAGCCGAACGACACGACCTTCGATGTGAACAAGAACCGCTTGATCCCTGATGTGTCCCTGAGCTGCTTGGCTGGTGGCTACCCCACTCCCTCGTACGTGTGGTACCGCGAGGTCTATGTCAACGACACCCTCGAGTACCAGAAAATCGATCCGTTGGCACAGGACCGGTACACCATATCTGGCGGTAACCTGATCATCTACGAGCCGAAGCAGGCTCTCGACCAGGGCGCCTACCATTGCGTGGCGGAGAACAAGTTCGGCCGTGTTCGGTCCGAGAGCGCCCACCTCAACTTTGGCTTCATAATGGAGTTTAACCTGAAGCGATCGGCGGAGACGAGCGAGATGAACTGGGGCAAGTCGATATTCTGCGATCCGCCACAGCATTATCCCGACGTTCGCTACTACTGGGCTCGCGACTACTTCCCCAACTTTGTGGAGGAGGACCAGCGTGTATTTGTCTCCCGGGATGGCGCCCTGTACTTCTCCTTCATCGAAACGGTGGACCGGGCCAATTACTCGTGTACCGTGCAAACCCTTGTATCGGACACCGGTCGCAATGGACCCTTCTTCCCGCTGCGCGTGACGCCCAACAGCAACTACCAGGCATTGATATTCGCCAATACCTTCCCCAAGGTCTTCCCAGAGGCGCCGGTGGCTGGCGACGAGATCCGACTGGAGTGCATGGCCTTCGGCTATCCAATTCCAGCCTACAACTGGACCCGCCAGAACCAGCCGCTGCAACGCAACGCCTACACAATCAACTACGGCCGCGTTCTGATCATCCAGAATGCGACGACGAACGACAACGGCGAGTACACCTGCACGATCACCAATCCGCGCAAGACGCTGACGAAGAGCATCTACATCAACATCCAGATGCGTCCCGAGTTCACGATTCCGCTGAAGGACATGATCAAGGACTACAACAGCGACGTGACCTTTATTTGTGAGGCCTTCGCTATCCCGGATGCGAACTACACGTGGTACAAAAACGCCGAACGCCTGGACCCGCTGAACATCAATCGTGACCGGTACATTATTCAGGACAATGTGCTGACCATCAAGTTTCTGGAAAAGGATAAGGACGAGGGAATGTATCAGTGTGGCGCTCAAAATCAGCTGAAAACGTCCTTCTCGTCGGCGCAACTCCGAGTGCTCTCCATGAAGCCATCCTTTAAGAAGCATCCCCTGGAGGCCGAGGTCTATGCTGTCTACAATGGCAACACCACCATTGTCTGTGATCCGGAAGCCGCTCCACGCCCTAAATTCCAATGGAAGAAGGACGGCCAGGTCTTGGGTTCGGGTGGCCATCGGCGAATCCTGCCCAGCGGCACACTGACCATTGCGCCTACATCGCGGGACGACGAAGGCGTCTACACATGCATAGCCTCGAACCAGGCCGGCACGGATGAGTCCCATGCCCGCGTTATTGTCTTGCGTAAGTATTAATTCATTTCAATGGATTAATTTTTAAGTAATTTATTTATATTTTTGCAGAGGAGATCCGCTTTATGCAAACCCCACCGCAACGCATTGTGACCAAGGAGCACGACCTAATCTATCTGCACTGTGAGGCTGCATTCGACCCGTTGCTGGACATTGCCTACGTTTGGAAGCAAAACGGCGAAGTCCTCAAGAACAACCATGACGGCACTGGCCGGATTGTAAGTCCACTTTCAACCTTTTCCGCGAAGAAAGCTTGTAAAATCGCACGGTCCTCGTTCTAGATTGTGGACTGGAACAGCTTGACGGTGCACAACACCACCATGCGGGATGCCGGCGACTACGAGTGCGTAGTCAAGTCGGCCGTCAACGAGATCACCAGCAAGACCTCTGTGGTCATTGAGGGAGCACCCGGAGCCCCGGGCGGCGTTCAGGTCATTCAGATCAGCAAAACGAAAGCCATTATCGAGTGGGTGGACGGGGCAAACAACGGCCGCGCCATCCGTTACTACAATATCCTGGGACGCACCAACTGGAACCGAACCTGGGTGAATGTCTCGACGCATGTGCAGGCCCGCGAGGTGGATCGCTACACGGCGCGCCAACAAGCCGAGGTGATCAACCTGACGCCCTGGTCGGCCTACGAGTTCAGTGTGACGGCCGTCAACGACCTGGGCATCGGCACCCCGTCCGCTCCATCGCCCATCTACAGCACCTACGAGGACAAGCCATATATTGCTCCACGGAACGTGGGTGGTGGCGGCGGCAAGATCGGTGACCTGACCATCACGTGGGACCCGTTGCTGCCACAGGAGCAGCATAGCCACGGCATACACTACAAGGTGTTTTGGAAGCTCAAGGGAGCCCTGGAATGGGCCTCGGACGAGATCAAGAAGCAGGATAACATGGGCGTGGCTGTGGTCAATATACCGCTGAATAACTACTACACTCAGTACGAGGTCAAGGTGCAGGCCATCAACAACATGGGTAAGGGACCGGAGAGCGGTGTGGCAGTCATACACTCTGCCGAGGACATGCCGCAGGTGGCTCCGCAGAAGCCCTTCGCGCTTGCCTTTAACTCTACTTGCTTTAACGTCACCTGGCAACCCATTGACATGTCCCGCGAGAACATACGCGGCAAGCTCATTGGCCACAGGGTAAGCTACTTCTATATCCATATATATATCTTATATATATCCCAACTGTTATGTTTTAGTTGAAGTACTGGAAGACGACGCACCAGGAGGAGGACTCCGTGTACTATCTGTCGCGTACCACAAGAAACTGGGCACTGATCGTGGGCCTGCAGCCGGACACCTACTACTTTGTGAAGGTCATGGCCTACAATGCGGCGGGAGAAGGCCCCGAAAGCGAACGTTTTGAAGGTTGGCTTTGTAATTCAAATTTTAAATTCATAAATTTACTATTTTATATTTTTCAGAGCGAACATACCGTAAGGCCCCGCAGAAGCCGCCTTCCTCGGTTCACGTTTATGGAATAAACCCGTCTACGGTGCGGGTTGTATGGCGATATGTTTCCCCCTCGCAGGACGAGGAACCCATCGAAGGTTACAAGGTAAGCTTGGTAGCAAAGCACCGCGAAAATAAGGCAATAACATCTCACCCTGTTTAGGTTCGCATTTGGGAGACGGATCAGAACATGATCACAGCCAACAATACCATCGTGCCAATCGGACAGAAGCTGGAGTCCTACATCAATACCCTCACCCCCGGCAAGAGCTACAATATGCGAGTACTCGCCTACAGCAACGGCGGCGACGGTCGGATGTCCAGTCCCACGCTGCGCTTCCAAATGGGCAAGACGACGCGCAATGCGGCAAATACACGCCACGGCCACAACATCAACACGGCGCTAATCTTAAGCACACTGCTACTCATCACCACCTTTTTCTACACAAACCACTGAGCGTAGCACAAATCGAGATAGGCTAAGGAATACGAACACCCGTCCAGGAGTATAAGAAGCGCACAGCCTCCGAACTTCTACAGAAACCCAAGAGTCTCGTTAAGAATATATATACAAACAGGTCAGGCAGCATTCCATAATTACTTTGTAGCCGAAAGTAATCAATTGAATTGACTTAGGATTATTAATGCACACAAGAAATGATAGTTTTTACATCATACGACAAACATATTTACAAAAGTTAAAGAAAGTGACCTTATTATTAGCGTAAGTAGCCCTGCGAGAAATTCGAAAACATTTGACACATATTTTTTGAACATATTTTCTGAATTAACTACGAGAGCAGCTATATTAGAGTAAGATTATATCAGGTTTCAGATATATGTACGTATTAATTTTATTTGTATTTGTCCTTTTTGGAAACTTCTAGTGTCCTGTAAATGCCATTCCGTCCATTCTACAGATTTTCTAAAACAAACTTGTATATCTTTCCATCCATTCTACAGTTTTTCTGAAACAAATAAATTTATATATCTTTTCAAGTATTTAAATTTTAATTGTAATTTTTGGGGCTTGATGGGAGCAGTGTGCGGGATAATCCTTTACTGAATTAACAGAAAATTTAATCAAGGCTTAAATAAATATTTCTTTATTAAAAAGGGGCTTTAAAATAAACATAGTATTAGATTTGAAGAACAATTTGATCAATATCCTTGAAAAGGCGTAACTTTTTAACACATTTGAAACAAGCGAAGAAAAGTATTGATAAAACAGTGTCCTTTTTTATTTTTTATTTAATTATTTAATACAGAAATATTACATATCTATCATTATAAACTGTACCCTCTGACCGAATAAGGAGTGTTTTTTATAACATAGTAGAATGATTTGTTGACATGGGAATTTAAGAAATGTAAATATTATTTTAAAATGACTAACTTCAAATTTAGTTTCAACGGTATTTTCAGTGAAATACGCCTGTGTGACGTCAAGGAAATACCCTGGATATTGTAACGGTACTTTCAATATATTTTTAAAAGTCATCGATATATTTTGGTATTTTCAGCCGGGCCCCAAGTGGCTTTTTTGGCGCTCCAGCCATGGCCACACTGGAGCGAAGCTTACAAAAGCAAAAGAGTTGGAAAAGTATATGTTTTTAACATGGTTTTATAACGCACATACAAGTGGAAACGAAACTTTGCGACGCGTCCAAGGCACACACACCCACCCGCAAAAAGAACCGGCAGCAAGTCAGCACCATGGCCAAGGCGAACGGCTGGAATGGGTGCGGAATGGGCGTGCACGGCAATGGGAGCAGCAGCGTCTCCATACGCTCCGCCTCGAAGTACTCGCGCAGCACGGAGCTGCGTCGCGTCGAGGACAACGACATATACCGGCTGGCCAAGATCCTGGACGAGAACGCTTGCTGGCGCAAGCTAATGTCGATCATACCCAAGGGCCTGGACGTGCAGGCTTGCAGCGCTGCCGGCGGCCTCAACTTTTCGGCGGCTGTCAGGAACGGATTCAAATACTCTGCGCAGGATGTGTGCCAGATTGACGAGGCCGCGAACCGGCTGCCGCCCGACCAGAGCAAGTCCCAGATGATGATTGACGAGTGGAAGACCTCAGGCAAGCTGCACGAACGGCCCACCGTGGGCGTGTTGCTCCAGTTGCTGGTGCAGGCTGAGCTCTTTAGTGCGGCCGACTTTGTGGCGCTGGACTTTCTGAGTGGTGAGTCATTCCTATTTATTGTGTGTTTTTTTTTATGTTATTTGTGGTATTTCCTTAGAACCCACGCCAGATCGCCCGGCAGATGGGCCCGCAGCACCTATAAGCCTCGACCTGTCCGAGCTGCTGGAGGAAGAAATGGACGTGGACAACGAGGGACCGGGTTATCAACCACCGAACACTGCCACCTCGAATGCAGCTGCCCAGGGCAGTGTGGGCCTGAATCTGGACAATTTCGACAAGCACATGGTGCCGCGGGACAAGAGCGTGCCGCAGCCATCCGAAAATGTTCCTCCTATAGCCCCACCTCGCGCCTCCCGCCTGCTAAGGGACAGTGCCGGCTCAAGGAATGCAGCCAGCACCGGGGCCACCACCTCGTCGACGACAGTCCCCAACATCCCCAATCTGACAATTCTCAATCCCAGCGAACAAATCGAGGAGCAGCGTCAGCAGCAGCCGCGTCAGCAGAACATACCCAACCTGTCCATACTCATTGCCAGCTCGGAGGCTTCGATGACAACAGCGTCGACTTCGCTGGGGAACCCAAGCAACCGAGCCAGTTCCACGGATCCGCCAAACATACCGCGCATCACGCTGCTGATTGATAATTCCGCCGAGATAAGCTCCCCGCCCGTCCTTGAAGCTGCGGGGAGAACCGCAACGGCAGCCAGCCCAGCGGCGAGCACGAACAATTTGCCAATGATAAGCGCTCTAAATCTGAACACTGACAACGGCGAGCACCCGGACAGCAGCAGCAGCTTGAGCAACGATGAGGACGATGATGACGACGACGACGAGGTGGATGGGGAGGGCGACTTTGCGGATGTATCCCTGCCAAACATGAGCAACTCGGAGCAACCGAACTCCAACAATGACTCCAGCCTGACAACGGTCACTGGCACCAGCGGTGATAACAGCTTCGAGCTGACCAATGACTCCAGCTCGGCCTCAAACGACGATTACGCCGGCAACATTCCAAATTTGAGCGAGCTGCAGCATTAAAGAAAGTGACGACGCGCCCGTCCATTGAGCAGATTTCCACAAGCCAGACATTCCATTCCGTTAACCATATTAGCCTAAGTTATGTTTGTCCTAACTGCGTGTATTTATTTGTTAGCCGACGCCGATGACATCGGCCTGTAAATGCGGACCTAGTTATTATGCATACTGTGTAAGGTCCAAGTAGAATCTAAGATTCGGGGCAAGCTTTCGACATACTACAATTGTTTCGTTGTCCATATCACACGGCTACTGACCCAGAGTCCATGACAAGTGGCGGTAATATAAAATATTTCCGTTTCGAGAAGGCCATACGTATATGTAACCAAATAACCGATTGTAACAAATTTTGTATCTTTTACAAAGTACGAATTGTTTTTCAAGTAATATACTACAAGAGAAAATGGGCTTTACTAGCGCTGTTTTAAATGTGCTGGAGGTGTCGGTAACATGCATTATCATTGTTTTTAGAGGTATTTTCTTGAATAAATTAAAACGAATATTAAGTTTCAAAAAATTTCCGCACTTAACAACACTGGCCGCTGCAGGGCTGAACATCGATAGTGGTTGCCAGACTGTCCGTGAACGAGCGACAAAAAGTGCCAGATCGTCAATAACCGAGAGGTGGCAGCCCCGAAACACAACAAAAACAAGATAGAGTATTTGTCGTCGTAGTTAGCCCAGATTTAGAGTAAACCCTCGGCCAGCTTGTGCTCCAAAACACTCAAAATTATCCGAAGCATGGACGAGTCGGAACTGCTCTTCAATCTGTTCTACTTCCTGCTCTGCATGGTCATCATTTACCCCCCGGAGGAGTTCCAGCGCCTGGGATTCACCATCGAGCAGTTGTTTGCCCGCTTCCTGGGCGAGGAGTACTTGGACTTCGTGGGCTACCACCTGCGCCGCACATCGCTCAATCTGTTTGTGCACTCCTGCCTTCCGTTCTCCTACTTCCTGATCCACAGACTCAAGTTCTCGGTGTTCGCCACGCAAGAGCCGCTCGAGGATTCCGACCTCGACCCGGACTTCCCGATGCCCCAGGAGGCGGTGGCTTTCAAGACGCTTACTTGGAAGACAGCCCAGCGCTTCAGCGTGCTGGCCGTGATGGCTGTGCCCGCGCTCATCTTCAATTGGCACCAACAGAACTGGCGCCGGCATCCCATAAGCAAGGCGCTCGCCAAGTACTCCAACTCGCCCGGCAGCTACAGTGCGGTGGCCAGCGACATTGGGAACGAGTTCCGACGGCCGGAGATTTACAAGAAGAAGCTGAACTCCATCAGTACGGTGATTGCGACGGAGAACTGGATAATCAAGACCACAATGTACAATGTCCACTTTGCCCACCAAAGCAACACAGCGCTAAGCGTGGCCAAGGTCAGTTAATCACGATTATCGTTAGTTGGGAAAATGCTCAATTTACTTCCGCAGGCGGAGACATACAACATCTCGCATCACGACGAGAACGACACACTGCAGATGATCAGCATTATCGTGCGGCCGATGAGACAGGGCGTAGCCGACTTTCACATACGAATCAACGCCTTGGAGTTCAGGAACCTGGAGGATCGTGTCCGGCGCCCCATCGCTATTCCCTCGAACATCCAGTTCCACCGCAACGTCATCGATCGCTTTGTGGATGTGTTCAAGGCGCAAGTGGCCCTAAATCCCATATTTCAGGCGGAAGTGACCACTGAGAAGTGCTTTGCCTGCATGCTGAATGAACCAAACACCAAGATACACAAGCAGTGCGCCGACCTGGACCGCAACGGTGCTCCGCTTGCAGAAGGTGCGTGCTGCTCCAACTGCTACTGCCGACCCATGTGGTGTGTGGAGTGCCTGGCGCGATGGTTCGCCGCCCGCCAGACCGACGTGGATCGCGAAATGTGGCTGGAGCAGAAGTGCACCTGTCCGATGTGCCGAGCCAAGTTCTGTGTGCTAGACGTTAGCTACATCAGAGCCGTCGACCAGGCTCAGCATCGCGGAGCCGACGAGGACAATGCGTCCTGATTTACGACTGTGTTAAAGTGACAATTAAAAAACGACTCTTAAATTGAACCTCGTTCTTTATTGGTCAGATTCAAATATGTAATCACTTTGACTAATGTAAGACGTACACTTACATAGCTGTAAACTTAGAGTATGCATATAATTTAGTGCAGTTATCACGTTTTAATACTTTACAATCTAACATAAGCGAGCTAGCATGCTGGAGATAATAATTTATAGTTATTAATTTTACTTAAGTACCGTCGATCTAAGCCCGGAGAGAGAAAGTGTTGGCGAAATATGCCTTAATACAAATTAAATCGCGATTGCAGCAGCTGCTACTCGTCTTCCCTGCGCTGTACGGCCCACAACTAGTGCAATAAGCCCTCTGTCTTAGCCCTTACCAACCGCCTTCGCCTTCTCTCTATCTCTCTCTCTTGTCCTCTCAATCTGATTAAATAAAGCGCCATGCTTAGCTATAGATGCATGAGAATATACTTGTAAGGAATACACGTAGTCCAGGCCCCACTAGCTGTATCTATAAATTCGTTTCGTAAAAACTTTTATAGCTCTCCGTCTTTTCACGCTGACTTCGCGCCGGGTTGCTGCCTGTCGTCGCCGACGATCCTGTGCTCGCTGCTGGGCCGGAGCTCTTGGCGCTGGACGAACTGCGTGCAGAGACCTAAAAACAAAGAGATAAGTTAGAGAAAGGAGTTCTGGCATGGAGTGCTGCACTAAATTCGCCAAGATTACGCTTATCAGCAATCACGGACGCTCACAACTAATAATCGGAAGACATGTTCCAAAGTCATTTTTATGACTTAGCACCTGATTTTAATCAAGAACCCGGCGCATTTATTCGGAAAGCTCTTTTGACATCGTGCACAGCCACTTATGGGTCTATATATAATTCCCCCAAGTCGTACATCCATTCCTTCAAATGTAGGTATATACATATGTGCTTGCCAGACTCGTCTCTGCCTCGATCGTTGTTTTATTCAGGTTTTGGTTTCTTCGTTACATATAGTATAGTGATAAGACTGTTCGTACTTCGATGTCTGATAATAATTGCCGAAGAACTAAGTGCCCCTGGTTCTCTATTCTTTGGCTTTAGCACTATGCACGTCACAATACGTGCTCTATTACTAAAAAAAATAAATTTGATTGGCCGATATAACCCATACAGATATCTGAACACTGTTATTTACCTTTGTGTATATTCGCTCGCCATAAAATATCCACTAGCCTTGATTTAGCAACTGATAATTGTATCGCAAAATATCAGCAAATAAAGCTTCCCCGTTTTATGGGGATACAAATACATATTAAGGTTTTTTTCTAACGAAAGTAACGGAGTTTTGGAAGGATAAGAAACCCTATTAGTAGCTCCAATTTATCATATTCATAGGATACTTTTTATAATTTTTAATCATTTAATTTTAAATTGTAAATTTTAACCGACCCACTAAATTTCCTGTTTCCCATATTAACTTTCATCACCACAAGATCGATTGAAGCAAATCCGGGAATAACTTTTGATTTCGCCACTATAAATAACAAGTCCGCTTCGAAATACTTGAACCTCCGTTTCTCCCAAGTTCAATGGACAGACAACGACGCGTTGGTGACTGGACAACAAAGTAACCCGGCAATCAATCGATCGATCGGCCAATGCATTTACGTTGCGCAATGTGCTTGCTCCGAGGAGAGTACACACACCCTCCCGCAATGGGGACTGGGACTGGAACTCGGACTGGACACCCCAATTTCGCACCTCATGAATTTGATGCGTTGCCAAATTTACTTCATTCGCGTGCCATTGAATTGGGGCTGTTTTAACGTGACTCCTGGGTGCATGTGCCTCTACATGGACGGTTGTCATGTGTATGTACTTGTACATAGGGTATATAAGTTGGGGGGATGTGCTCCTCGTATTATATGACATTCTGGCGAATTTTAGCCAGAGAGCGACTCTCTGGGGTCGTCGTCGCCGTGACGCCAGTAAAGGTATAAAGTTTCCAGAAAGGTGTGTTTGTCGGTCGGTCGGGTCGAGTTCTCAGGTGAACACGCCAAGCACAACACGTATATGGTGCATATATAGTATATTGATCTTGCTTTGTTGTTGGGCCAGCTTTTGTTTACTTTCTGTACTTGCAGTTAGCAATTTCATTGCCTTTCTCGTTTTTGTTGATAAAAAGGCCTTTTGGCAAAGCAAACACAAAAAGCCAGAGTGCGCAGCGAGTGGGTTTTATGGTCCTTTCTGTCTGGAGCTGTTTCAAAACCTCTTTTACAATTGCCTAATTTACTGAGTGGCTTAATTAGATGCATATACCAAAGGAGAGTCCCCTTAAGGTACATAGGTACGTTCCACCAAATCGTTTCAAATGCGAAAAAAAAAGTAAAAATTCCCTTTACAATCTAATCTTATCATCACTTATTTTTTCTTTACATATAAATCTTAGCAGAGCTCTCATCCAAGGGCAAAGTACAGAGACAGGCACTAAAGTTCTGATCAAACGGCGAACTTTCTTTGTACAAATACAAATACATATTTAAATCCCTGCCTAATTGCTTTAAGGCTATTGAACCGCACTTTTAGGAACTCAATTTAATTTTACACTAATTGCCTTTCTGATTAAATCGAGCGGACTTACAAATAAAGATCGTCTATATTCGCATTCAAGCCCCTTGAATAAATTTACAACAACTGTTGAAATAAGGCCGGAAGAATGACGTCACCTGATTCACAAGATTTATGAATCACAATTATTAAGAAATATATTAAAACAGAAAGGTTACTCCTTAAAAAATGTGTAAAAAATAATCCGTTTTACCATTTCCCTAGTCCTTTGAATGTTTAATTAAAGATGCATCTCTTTCTGCTGCTTGTTGTTTTCACTCAGCGCCTCAAGTGATTCCGAATGGTAAACAAAGTCGTCCGTATACTATATCCATATATAGTGTAAGTCCCCAAGTACTTGAAAGAATAAGGCATGGACTGGATACTGCGCTGCCTGACTTATCACAACAATGCCGACTTCCGTCTCGCTAACGAGCACTTCCGTTTGCCCGCCTATGTATTTATTCAACGATGTTGCTCCTAGCCCTACACTGTGCACTTCCCTGGAAGAATCCCGCCGTGGGCTCAGGTGTGTGTGACTTTTTGGATAGATAACCCACGAAAAAATCACCTGCGAATCACGCACCCCATTCGCAATATGGGTCGCACACTCGACTTTTGCCAGATAGCGAATGGATCGGAGCGGGTCGATAGTATAAAATTCAAATGAAAATAATGAGCAAGTGGGGCCGTACCTTTTCGTTCTCCTTGGTGGATCCTACGGCACTGTGGGCATCAAAGAGCTTGCCATCCACCGCGTCTCGCTTCTTGTTCTTCGACCTGAAGCGACCAGAGCGGGAGATGGAGAAGTTTCGCCACTGGTGGCTGTACTCGCACCGCCTCTCCTCCTCGTTCAGGACGCTGTCCAGATAGTGGATCGTTGGCTCGTGGGCGGCTGCCATGGTGGTAGAGTTGGAGCTGCCTAAATGGGGTTTTGCCGGCAACGTCAGCGGATCGATTGGCTGCGACCTCGGTTCGCTGTGGCTCTGGTGTTCGTTGGTGTTTCCGATTCCGATATTGCTGTTTGATAACGCCAGGCGGAGGCGATACCGCGCACTCGCACTTGCACTGGACTGGCCCAGATGTCTTTTGTTTTGTTTGTGTTTTGTGTGTTTGTGGTTCGGTTTTGTCTTTGTGCTGGTCGTGTGTTTGTGTTTGGGTTTGTCGAGGAGGTGACGGTGCCGCGATCCAGTAACTACCGCTGGCGCTCTCTCAATGCTTTCCGTGGCGCGTGTGGTCTGCGACTGCGGGCGAGTAACCCAGCGCCGCTGCTATTAACCGAAGTCGCACACACAAGTGACGAAGTGACAGCCCCAACCACAGCCCGACCCGACGCCGGCGTCGCCGCTGACTCCACTCTACTTCGGATTCGCTCCGGAGACGGCACTCCGCTGTCACAAAGAACGAGCAGAGCCCAAAGAGAGCAGCCGTGGAGCAGAAAGAAAGCAGCAAGAAGTATTTCCACTGCCGACAGCTATACAGCTCAGAGATCCCATCATCCAGCTCACAGCTCCAGACCGTGTGATTGCTCCTGTGAGCCCAAAACAGGTGGGCCCAGCTCCCACTCACACAACCGCACCCGCACAGTGCTGCCGGAACTAGACAAAGAATCAGCTATGAAAGGTTAAACAGGTAAGCTTATTTGACAGGATAAAAGGATCCTATAACCAATATTTTGAGATTTTATTTGAAATATTTAAATATGTTCAGCAGTACTGCTTTTACCTATAAAAATAATTAACAAGTGAAAGAAGTGACTGATTAAATTAATCCAAGATAATGTAAAAAGTCAAAATATTTTTATGTCATTTTAGAAAATTGATTTGGGAAAAATAATTAAAATTCAAATTTTTTTTTATAATTATAGAGCCACTTTTACTTCCTTCATCCAATTTATGGCCAACAGCTAAAGCGACATCACCGTTCATCGGTATACTATCTGTATACTCCTTTATATGTGAACAGTAGGCAATGTGTATGGGTTTATGCCGACTTCGTTAACGTCTTCGATACCCTGACCAAGATGGGTACTAGACTACAGAGACCAGAACGAAAGAAAATCAACTTGAAAGTTGAACAGCATTCAAATCCTATCTTAAATATTTTACCAATTAAATTACTTTTAAAATTTTAATTTAAAATGTTTGCTAATCATTCTTCTGACTTCTTAAAAGGGTATTGGGAATTCGCTGCTGCAAACTGATGTTTGCTCATCGTATTTTATTGTATCTGCCAACTGCACACAGATATCTGGTGATATACCTGTACCTGTGCTGCCGATGATAAGCGCAAATAGACAAAACAAACACACAACTTGCTAACAATTATAAATGATTAGATCGCTTTTTGGAGCATTCACTTCGGACAGTTCTTTAACAGTATATTTGTCTTTGCCATTCTAGGTGGCGAGCCGAGAACCTGGCGACAAAAAGTGATTCGTAAGAGTTACGGAGATGAATCAGGCAGAGCAACTGCACAGATGCAGCTACAGATACATCTAGGCAACCACTAAAAGATACATATGTACACACCAGTCGGGTCGGTTGGGGTTCATTATCTTGGGCCGCAGTGACTCAGCAGCTCAGACGGCTTACGAGTGAGTATATTTAGTTAACACATTATTCACACTTTCTTGCCGCGCTCTTGGCCAGCTCTCCCGCCCATCGATCGAACCTCTGGGGGCACACGGGAACGAACGGATGGCCCTTATCTAATCGGACATCCGAATCACAATCGCTCGCCAATTGCACTATATTACACAGGGCGTAAGGCCGCAGCGAGTCTAGAGTCCGGAATATTATGGTTATATTCACCCACAGCCGAGGGTCTTGCTTTTATTTACAGAGGCAACTTCGTAATTTACAATTTACGTATAAATTCAAATGTGTGGAAGCGTACGCATATATAAATCCATTATATACTATTTCGATATTATATCTAAGCGGGGACATGGCTAGTAGTTGGCGTCTCTTCCCGATCATTAAACATAGAGATTTTCTTTTATAACAATAAATTTTCCATGATGACGACGCCTCACAAAAAATTTCAGCTCGCCGAAAGGGGATGTTGTGTTTTTGTCTGTCGCCATTCAGGGGGCGACAGTTATGGGAATTAACTTAGAAAAAACAATCGTAGAAAAACAGTTCTTCACGCCTCCTTCTAGACAACACTTCCGCCACTATCACCGGGCTGGCGATTGAGTTCGCGCTCCCGTATTGCCACGGCGTCCATGCGCAAGGTTGGCGGCACTGGACGCTGCTGTTGGTTCTGCGCCTGCTGATCCTGACGAGCTGCGCCAGCACCAGTGTTGTTGCGGTGCATGTAAGTGCGTATATTCTCCTCCGTGTAATCCACAATACGACGCTTCTTGCGACTGGCGTACTGCTTTTGCTTTAGATAAATCTTGAGGATACCTTTAACCGTGATAAAGGTAAGGCCGCCGAGCAGAGTGCGGTGCAACGTGTTGTCCACAGAGTCAAAGAGAATCCGACCCACAATGGACGAGATGGTGGGCAGAAGAAGTGCACCGCAGAATACGCGCGTGGCCGAAACGGGGTCGGACAGCGCGGGAGTGGCTGGATTGCTGGTGCTCGGTTGCTCGTCCTCCTGGTTTCTGTAGAGAACGTATGATTAAAAGGCTGTTCGACCACTACTTGAAAGGGCTGTGCTCTTACAGGTTTGGATAGATGAGGCTCACAAATGGGAACTTCCTCACCACAGTCCCGCGGTTGCGAATAAGTCGCAGTAGTGCGTCCTCCCAGCGAATTAGGCGACCTAGCACCAGTCCGACTGGAATGGCCGGCAGTCCGATCAGGAGCACGAGGGGATCGCCGGCCTCCATAATGGACATGCCGTTCTCATGGCCCACAATCTGTGAAGAATTAATTTGTTGATCAAGGCAATTCGACAAATTGATAAGTGCAATTAAGTTGAGTCACCTGTAAAAATGTCACCGCTCCATACGTTACGGCTGTCCAATAGAGAGAGCCTACAAAAAAGCCAGCCGCAAGGAAAGGGCTTAGACGCTTGATCAGGTTGTCCATCGCCTCCAGGGCGCCACCAAACTTGCCCATTTGCGGGAACACAATTATGTACTCCGTCTGGCACTGAGGGCAGGACACGGAACGCAGTGCGTTTCCCTTCTGCGTCTTCTCGTCAATCCAACGGTAAAGGCAGCTCTGATGCACCCACTTGGTGGTGCCACGACACTGGCACGGCTTCACCCACGCTGCCAGGCGGTTGTCCTCGTCCGTGGCGAAGCAGATCCAGCAGCAACGCTCCGCCTCGCCAGCATCCGCGCCCATCAGCACGGTTGTGGAGGTTGAAGCATCTGTCGCAGATTTGTCGGCGTGGGCAGTGGCTGTTGCTGCTGCGGCTACTTTGGTTGCAGGCACTGCGGGCTTGTCGCTCTGTACGATGACAGGTGGCACAGTCAGGGTCGTGTGGTCATCTGCGGCAGCAGCTACCGGGCTGGCGTCGGCAGAGGCTCCTGCTTCTGCGTCTGCGGGGGGCGCCTTGTCAGCCATGTCGCTGAAAATATCACACCATAAACTGTTGAAGTTCATCAACTGCACAGGGTCGCGCCCTCTGTGCCGCCGTAGTAACTGCACTCACTTTGCTCAGCTCTGCTTTCCGTGCGTTGTTGCAGGCCCTTAATATGTGCTACTTGGACTTTCGTATCGAGCAATTATTAGCTTTATTTCTATTTTTGTGGCCCAAAAATCGGAGTGACACAAAAACAGAGAGACCGTCACTGGCACAAATACCGTTGTGGGTAAAATACTAAAGATAAGAGCCACATTGGACAGCAGGGCTGCAAGAATACAATATGACCGTTCATGTTCGATGTTTTTTCATTCAGTTATCGGAGTGTCCTCTAACACTTGTGAGCAAAAGACAAGTTTTTAAAATTTATTTTATTTAAGATTTTTGGCTTTTAAATATAGAGTTTACAAATCAATGATTTAAGAACTGGGTATTTTTAAGCCATTTCTTCGAAAAATATAAATATTTAATTGTGTTTATTTACCCCGTTTTCAGTCTATCTAAAGACATGCACAAATTGTGAAATGTTATTTTTAATTTCCATTTGAAACATTGGAATCTACATTGCATTTATCGCGACTTTAGCGTACAGTACAATAAAATTATAACAAGAATAGCCCGATGAACTGATGCCCAAGAACTTCGGCGACCTTGAAAGGAAGATAGGTCCCTTGCGGCCACGCACCTTCTAAAAACACGGAGCCCTGCTCGATGCTAGTCTAATTCGTTGTTGGTGCTTTGCCGACCAGGCGTCGTGTTCTGATCCTCCGCGTCGTCCTCGTCAAAGCCCGCCATCAGCCGATTGAATATGTCCCCAAACATCCCTCCTAGTCCTGGTGTGGTGTGGGCCACTTCAGGCTGCTCATCGAAGTAGAGCATTCCGATCTTCGCGACGTACTTCAGGAACGATAGGTCCCGCTTTAGCGAGGGATCGTAGAGCTTGCGCAGCGCTCGGAACCCAGACACGCTCTTGACATCGATGAGGCGGAACAGGAAGTACAAGAAATTAACCAGTGGCTCCTTAAAGGGAAACTCGTGTCGCAGCAGCTTCGCGTGGTAGCGCGTGTACTCGGTGAACGTGTCCTCGGCGGTTTTGCGGTCTTTTAGCGACAGCTGCTGGAGCACGGCCTGCACCAGGAAAAGGTCCACTTCGCCCTGGAAGCCTCTGCTCTGGCTTATCTCGATCAGCACTCGTCCGCAGAGGCTGCCATCCTGGCAGAGCAGGTAATGGTGGCGGGCCAGCTCGATATTGCCCTCAGTCCAGAATACGTGCGCAATCAGCTTGTGTAGCACCGGGTGGCCGTACTGTCCGTGCAACGCCGTACTCCACTTGATGGTCCGTTGCTGGAACGAGAATGCTTTGCTATAGCAACTGTTGGCTTATTGGAAAGTTCTAGAACTCACGATCAGAGTTTCGCGCTCCACTGTCGTGGCGCTGAGGCTGCGGATTAGGGCTCCCAGGCGGGCCACCCACACGAAGTTGTCGGCGCCCTCGTCCAGCGGACCCCGCTTCTCCAGCGTATCCACCAGCAGGAGGCACAGGTCGGCCGCACTGCTCTCCTGCTCCTTGTCTATTAGCTGCTGAGCCCCGTCGAAGAGCAGGTCCAGGCAGTCCTGGTAGCGCTTCTGCGCCGTATACCGAAAGTACAAAGTCCTGTACATCATGTGCGCCTCGTAGAACTCTCCTCCAGCCAAGGACTGTGACAGCTTGGCGAGAACGCGGCTGACACCGCGCTGCCCCGCGGACGCCGTACTGCCGCTGGCTACTGCACCTGTCTCGGCGGCGGCCATTTCTCCAAAACCTCTTTAGTTTCTCTCTAATTTGGAAGCCTAATTTTTATAATTTCTATATATTTTATACACACATCCCGATAATATAGCGCCTATCGAAATCGACTCGGCCGATGACGAGTGCACCGCTGGACAGACCAACGAAAGTAGCCAAAAAATGGCTGAAATGACGTTGGAGAGACCGAGCGATTTCGGAACGACCTCTCACTTTCTTTTACTGCTGCCAAAAACGTTTCGTCAAGCTGAGTGCAGACCATCAACTAATTAAGAATATAGAATGCATTACGTAATCAAAAGTAACGGGCTCCTGCTAAATTGTGCGTTTTCCTAATAATAAATGCCATTAAAAACAAACAGGCTTAGCTTGGAAATATCTAAACTGGCAGCACTATTGTGAACGTGAATCTGCGTCAACACAAAGAAGAAGAGAGGAGATAAACAGCAGTGATTTGTTGTTCCAGTCAGGACAAATGGACAATGATCCGAGGGAGAGTGCACCTGCCAAGGACGATCCGGCCGAGGAGGCAAGCCTGTCCGTCGCCACCAACTTCGCGCCCAACCGCTGGGTGAAGTTGAACGTGGGCGGCCAGATTTATGCCACCACCATAGACACTCTAGTGGGCAGGGAGCCGGATTCGATGCTGGCGAGGATGTTCCTGCAGGACGGCAACATGGTGCCCAGCGAGCGGGACGAGCAAGGCGCCTACCTGATAGACCGTAGTCCTCGCTATTTCGAGCCCATCATCAACTACCTGCGGCATGGACAGTTCGTCTGTGACTCCAATGTCAGCATCCTAGGCGTGCTGGAGGAGGCGCGTTTTTTCGGCATATACTCGCTGGTCACACACCTTGAAGAACGCCTAGGGCAGGAAGAGGATCCACAGAGCGATCGGCCGCTGACGCGCATGGACGTAATCAAGGCCATCATACAGACCTCAGTGATAACGGAGCTTCGCTTCCAGGGCGTTAATCTCTCCGGAGCCGACTTGCGGAAGCTAGACTTTCGCAACATCAACTTCAAGGTGGGTCCTGAGTCCTGAGTCCTACCCTCTCTAATTTCCAACTTTGTTCCTCAGTACGCCAACATGTCCCACTGCAATCTGTCTCACACCAACCTTAACTATTGCTGCCTGGAGCGGGCGGATCTGCAGTATGCAAACCTGGAGTGTGCGCAGCTGGTATCCGTTCGAGGACTCTGTGCAAACATGGTAAAACCTGGGTTCCCGCGCTAGTAAAACGTCTCTGACTTTATTCGCAACATTCCAGGAAGGTGCCAACCTAAGGGGCTGCAACTTCGAGGATCCCACCGGCGTGCGGACCAATCTGGAGGGCGTTAATCTGAAGGGCGCCTGCCTTGAGAGCAGCAACATGGCGGGCGTGAACCTGCGCGTGGCCAACCTAAAGAACGCCAACATGAAGAACTGTAATTTGCGCGCCGCCGTGCTCGCCGGAGCCGACCTGGAGCGATGCAATCTCTCTGGCAGCGATCTCCAGGAGGCCAATTTGCGCGGAGCGAACCTTAAGGACGCCGAGCTGACACTCATGGTGACGCCGTTGCACATGTCGCAGGCCATTCGCTGATCGGGGTTCCTTCGAGGGGACAATACCATGTGCAATCACATATCACACCTTAATTATAAATTATTTGTAAAGAATGCGGTCTTAATTTAGTAAGTGTGTACATACGTGTTTTTTTTAACATAGCCCATAAAATAAACAGTATTAGGATTGATTTGAATAATAATACTTTCATATTAAAAAAGAACCACCAATAAGGGATGCTATGATGGAGCCCTGGAATTTTAAAAATTTTGTGAAAGTCTCGCTTTGAAAAATGCCAAAACAAGCTGTTTTTGTAAGTGATGGAGACTTTTCGGTTTACAATTAGCATCTTTCAGAGTCAGTCGCGTTTTGTCTCAGGGTACAAAAAAGTTCTAGTTTTGTATTCTTTTTTTGGGATTTTGAGCACAAACTACAAGGTGCCATTAGGTTTCCTGTCACTGTCAGGTTCCAGGAGTCATTCATTTGCGTTCGGTTCGTTAGACGGGTTAGTTGTTCAGTCTTTACCAGTTTTTTGGTTAAATTTGTTCAGCAAAGTGCAAGCTATTCGAAAGCAAAAGATTGTGCGCGAAAGTGAAAGATATCACCCATCCGCCTAAGCCGAATTCGCCGGTCTTGTTGGGAAAATCGCGGTTTTGCAAAAGGGTAAGCGATTTTTTTTTAAGATGGATAAAAAAAACAATCGAATTCGGGCCGGAAAATTCCTTGTGAAATGAAAGTATTCTTTTCAGCCATTATGCGTTGAACAGTTATACACTTCTTTTGTAACAGTTTATTAGAGGTGTTCCCAATTTGGCCACCAATGGGATTAGACATTTTACTTACGTCAAAATTTAACGCTATTATTCACGTCATAAGAAATTGATTACAATTTCTTCGATATGTTAACCGATAAGCCAAATTTTGATCTGCCAACACTGATTTTTGTTGTTGTTTAAAAAAGTACGGCCGTATTTCCTATTTTCATCTGGCAACATTGTTCAAGGCACCTGGTAACATTAATTGCCGTGGCATCTCTTTCACACCTCCAGGAAACGTGGTTTGTTGGAAGCACCCGAAGAAGTTTGACGTTGCTCTGAAATCTGTAATCTGTAACTTGTGTAAGCCTGCGAGGAAAAAATTGTTGGGAAGAAAACTTGAAGACAGTTTGGTACACAGCTTATAAACGCGACAAACGATGGAAAATCAAAGCAACGCAGCTCCCGCTGCCGCCGCCGAGACCGCGGAGAATGGCGCAAACACCGCGCAGGAGGTGTCATCGACAAGTAAGTTTTCCTCGACGGGGGCAGTAGAGCAAAAACTTGCAAGTATTGCGCGAGTTGTTATCATAAGTGTTCTGCGTGTTCCGCGGTGCAACGCACATATTTCGCATCGGGATCAAGGGCAAAACTGCAGCTGGCGAGCTTCGGGAATTCGGTTTTTCGCTTCCCCTTTGCATACGGCCATTTTACGAAGTGTGAGTGCAGAAAGTTGTCAAAATTCCGCCATATTTTTTTCTAGTGGACTCTAGCTGTAAATAAGAGCTGTCAAAGTGCCGGAACTCCAAAGTAGTTGCGGAATGAATAGGGAAGGACAGAAAAAGTACAGCAAAGGGGAAAGAAGACCAGCAGCAAGAACAACAACTGTGTGTGTACATGCCCGCTTTTTCTTGTCGGTCGCCGATCCACGATTGTGTTGTTGACATTAATTACGTCATCGAGGCATTCTTATGCTGAAAACGCCAAGCCGCCAGCAGCAATTACTACAGCGGCCGCAAATAGTGCGATGTGAATCATTTTCGGCGGCCATTTCGGTTGCTCTTGGCCGAATTTGAGTGATTTCGTGCTGGCGCTGTGTCATTCCTTGCACGGCGTTCTCTACGCCCCTCCCCGCTGCTGCACACAAGCGCACACACACATCACACCACTCCGCCTCCCATGCATACATATTTAATTGAGAAATTCGCGTTTTGATGCGCTCATCGCTGAGAAATGTGTTGTGCGTGTGTGCTTGTGTGAGTGTGTGAGTGCCGGAGCGTTGCCAACTTATTGGCCATGCGTCAATATCGAAATTCAGATGGTTTTAAAGCGAGTTTTTTTCTTTTAAATCTCGAAAGCAATGTACACTAGTTGTGCCATTTGTTGGCAATAGTAAATTCAGTCCGGACAGGCACGCACACAGACGTACACCTGGATGATTTGCAGAATTCGCACAGGTGGCAACCCTGTGGACTGTTTTTTATTCAGATTTTTTTTTTTTTTTCTGAGAGGCCCGGCGTTTGCAAGTGTTTGTTTGGGCTAAATTGTTGCTATATGATAGCTGGGCGTGGAAACCGGTTTATCAGCCGCTGTATCACCTCTAGTCCGGCAAATAACTGACGTGATAACACGGGTTCACTGCAGGCTCCGGCGATAAGACCTGCTCGCCGCTAGCCACTGGCGTGTTTTTGCCGGTCAGCAGTTTAGATTTTCACCTATCCAGCACTAATGGCAGCGCGCATATTGTCATCCCACAGCTCAACCCATAGAGCCCACAAAGCGCTCGCTGCGCGTGCAGACCTGGAAGAAGATCCAAGAGGGCAAGGTCGGCATTGGATTTAACAACATATTCAACCGGATTCCGGCGTTCCTCGATGCCGAAAAGGCTGCTGCACTCCTGATCAACGAGGAGGAGTTCAAGAAAGCACGTAAGTGGCTCAACGTGCGGCACCATCGTGTCCAGCCTTGGTTCTTACCCCTTTTGTCCCGCAGAGCACATCAAGGTAAACATCGATCGCGCCTTGCACGACTTCAAGGAGCAGGCCCTGCTCGCCGACAAGTCGGTCTACTTGCCCAGCACTCGCGACTCTTCTGCGCTCTGCCTCAAGGTCGATGTGCCTGCAGATGCCACTGAGGAGCAAAAGAAGGAGGCTCTGCGCGTACAGGACATCCAGAAGTTCCGTACGGAAATTGGATTGGACAGCGGGCTGAAGCTGGACATTGTTGTGATTGGCTCTGTAGTGGTGTCACGCGATGGATATCGCATCGGCCGCGGCAATGGTTTTGCCGATCTGGACATCGGCCTGCTCATTGAGCTGGGTGCTATCACACCGCAGACAGTCATTGCCACGATAGTGCACGACCTGCAGGTGGTGGACTCTCTGCCCGTGGAACTGTTCCAGAAGTACGATACGCCGGTGGACATTATTGTGACCCCCACCGAGGTTATTCGTGTCGCCAAGCGTTTGCCGCGCCCCAATGGCGTCTTCTGGGAGCTGTTGTCCGAGCGTCGCCTTAAAATCTTGCCTGTTCTGCAGCAGCTTAAGGAACGCGAGGAAAAGGCGGGCAAGTCAATAGCCTTGAAAGAGGAGGACACCGACGTGGAGCAGCATCAAAACAATAGGCGCCGCCGTGGGCCCGTGCGTCGTCGCTTCCAACGAGGAAACCCAGGACGCACCACCTCGCAGACTGACAACGAACATCAGGGCGTGAGTATACATTTTCCTGGTCAAGGGTTTTGCACCTAAACTTTTGACTTCATTTCAGGAAGCCGCACAGAAACGCACGCCGCGCCGTAAGGGTCGTGTTGTCAATCGCCGCAGACGTACAACCAAGGTGGGTAACCGCAAAATGTATTTGATTACTGAGTTATTAATTATAAAATATTGACCGATTGCAGTCTGAGGGCGAACAGTCTGGAGTGGAGGGAGGTGCCAAGAGTGAGGATCGTAAGTTTGATGAGGGTGCCGCTGGCGAGCGTCGTCCCAAGAAGAACAAGAATCGCGGACCGCGTGATTTCTGCATTAAATTGACAAATTTGACACGCGACATTCGCGTCAAGGACCTGAAATCTGAGCTCCGCAAACGTGAATGCAATCCGATGTCGATTACATGGAAGGGTAAGCGACTCTTAACCTGATTTTGATGTATTCGCTAACTTCTGATCATTGCATGGTAGGTCACTTTGGCAAGTGCTTCTTGCATTTTGGAAACCGCAACGGTACGCCCAGCACCCAGGACGACGTTGACAAGGTGTTGAAGTCACTGAACGATCTCTCCCTGACCATCACCACCGGTGGCGAGTCGACACCGGCTGCCGCTGCTGCCACTGCCGCCGGCACTGAGGGTGAAGTCGTCGTGAAATCGGAGCCAGCAGAGTCGACGGCGCCAGTGCAGACCAAGACGATCAACGTCAATGTCGAGCTGGTCAAGTTTGGCGCTAAGAAGAATGCAAACTCCACTGGCGTCAATGCTGGTGCTGAGGAAGGAAACGCTGCCGGTGATGCGCAAAACGGAGGTGAGGCCGATGCCATTGGTGGCGGAGACGTGGGCGGTGGCGCACGCATCGAATCTGTGGACACAACCACAGTATAGTATGACTCCGCTTTTGGCGTAGCCACTGAACGGTTGCGGCGGATCTCCGCCGGCAGCGAAACGTTTGGAGTTCAACGAAAAAAAGTAACATTTTGTTTAGAGAAAATCGAAAAATATCAAACAAAAAATGAATAGAAAACGAACTCCGGACACAACAAACACACACAACTCACACTCAACATACAACATGCAACACATCATAACATACAAACTAAACACATGCTCATAAGTTGCAGCTTGTAGTTTCTTCTTCTCCTTCATTATTCTAACAAGCTAAAAAAGAGCAAAAGCAACTATTTCTAATCTGAACACACACAGACCATTGACGCTTTTTCAAAACAATTGCATTTGTTTTTGCCTGAGAAAAACAAAGCGAGAGTTCGTTTTCAACTTAATTGAAATGATTGCAGAAATACTCGTTCCACAAATGCAAAGTGGAACATCATTTCTATCTACAGCATAAATAACACTTTAACACTTAACTTTTCGCGGCTTTTCATAGTCCCGAGTGATGAGTTATTAGGGACCCTTTCCTAAATACTTTTCATTTTGATTTCACACTTACCTCGGCACCAAGATCAAGTGCTCCGTTCCTGTCATGCAGTTGAGCTGCAGCTGATAAGGCGGCAATCCCGGGTAGAGTTCGTGTATTATTCGTAAACTGTAATATTAGTCGCAAAAGCCCAAATAAATACGAAGAAGAATTGTGAATACGACAAAATGAATTAACACACTATTAACACGTTGCATTTTCGCTGAGAGAATTATACAAAAAAGAAAGGATCGTAGTTTGGTTCGAGTTGCCCCACATTCACCGCAAACACCAATACACCCTTTAACAATTATATTTTAACAAAAGATCAACAGAATCGTGAAATCAACAACATTATACAATGCAGAACATAATTATTTACTCTTTTTTATACAAAGAAAAGGCATTACAAACAAAAAATGTGAAACATGAATGAAATATAACTTGAAATAAAAACTTCAAAAAAAAATCGAAAACCCCTGTGCGTCGTGCCATTTTTAAGTTTATTATTCATTTTTCAACTAACATCTAACAATATGTACAAAGAGGCTTAGCTTACGACCTAGTTTCTCAATCGAAGTACCCTAAAGGATATCAAATTTTATTCAGTGTTCATATATATATATATACACGTACAAAGATGAAATTCAGTGGAGCTCGAAAAATAGGTTCTGGTTCTCTGTGTGGATAGATGGATGATGGCTGCCTGCCAAGTCATCGTTGGGTGGGGGATTTTGTGCACTCTGAAACCTGATACGTGGCAGGACGCTCGCTCTGGGGTTAGAGAATAGGGCATTACTTCTGAATGGGGCTTGCGGCCTTGTCCAGCACGCTGCTCGCTTTGCTAGGACTAACCGCTAAGGAGGCTGCTCCGGCGGACTGCGGCGAGGGAGTGCGGTCTATGAACTCAATGCTGTCGCTCTTCGATTGGGAAGCCATGGACGCTTCCGCGGCCGCCTGTACAATAGAGGCTGCAGGCTTTTCCTGAATGGGCGCCAGGCTGTTGACTATGGAGTTGGCCATGGCCAGTTCCAGCTCGCGCTGCCAGTCATTTTCCTTCTGCTCCATGGCCTTGCGCTTGAGCTCCTTGTACCGATTGTAGACGATGAATTCCTTAACCAGCGCGATCTCAGGATCACTGTCGCGTTGCGCAGATCGCTGCTTGGCCAGACGCTTTTTCTTTTTGTGCAACGGACGCGTCTCCACAATCATCTCCTCCAACTCCAGACACGGATCACAGTTGAGGTGGTCTTCGGGTGGCTTGAACAGAGGCTTTATCTTCTTGTCCAGCACCTGCTGGAAGTCGATGTTGCGCAGCAGCGGCGTTTGATGCAGCTCCTGTTTTGTACTGATCCTGGCTCCGGGATACGTCGAAAGTAACTGAAAGCGAAAAGGGCAATACTTGAAATCTCCTTAATTTAGTTACTGTCATAGCCAAGCCCACCTTCTGCAGCAGATCGACAAATTGGCTGCTCCAGTAGCGGGGATAGTGCACAGGCGTGTTTAGTATGTTCTTGATTTCCGCCAACGGCGTATTTGAATGCACCACAAAGGGCCGGTTGTTGCCCCGCATCTCGTACGCCACAACGCCGAGGGACCACCAGTCTACCGGATAGCTGTAACCGGCTGTAACGAAATTGAAACAACAGTCATGACACAGGATGCAGGCAATTGGCCGCATCCGAAACCCAAGGCCCATTGGCCAGCAAAGCCCCATGTTGGTTTAATTTAGTTTCCTGCCTCCCAACTCACCCACTTCGTCCAGAGCGCACAAAAACACCTCGGGCGCCATATACGGCTTCGTCCCTGACATGCTGCAGGCCAGAGCATCCTTTTGCAACCTCGTTGCAATATTAAAATCAGTCAAGTGAGCATGTCCTGAAATTAATTTGATGTTAGGGGATAGTGATGCTTGAGTTTGGTTATTTAAATTGCATTTTGTTGCGGCGAACTTGTCAGACCATATAATGGGTTTACAAACAACTGATCAAATTAAACATCCTATAGGTCCCTAGGCAAGACAAGAGGGAAAACATTGAAGTGGGCTTAGATAGTTAGTTTTCGGAGTTGTGTCTTGTCAAAATAATTATCTTTCTGTACAGTAAAGCTTTAATTAATAATTACTAAGGCAGGAGCCCAATTTAATGGGTATATTTCCAATTTAAATCGAACTCAAATAAGAACTATGGATAAAAGCCGACAGAATCATTTTTTTTCGAGTTTGGGACATTAATTCCCCATCTTAGGCAATTCCATTAGCCCCTGCCTTTTCAGGTTGACAGGCATATCCTGTCTGGCTGATTCACAACGACGGGGCTGCTGGAAGGCAAATGAATAAATTGTGCTTGGGAGTTGTTAGAGAACACACCTGGGCACAGGAAATGGGCTCACGAAGTTGTGTACGACAACGAAATCAATAAATGGCAATGGGACACTGAATTATTATTACGTCGCAAGCTAGGCGCCACTCGACAGCTTGACAACTGGGAAGCCATAGTTTACATCCTGAATACTTACCAGCATCGTCCAATAGGATATTATCAGGCTTGATGTCCCGGTGGACCACTCGCTGCGTCTGCAGGTACTCCAGGGCACTGCCCAGCTCGCACACTAATAAGGCCACACTCTGCTCGGAGAACTCCACCTGAAGACGATTGGGAGATGGGGGAATCGAAACGGAGCACACGGAGAAGTTGTCGCGTTGTGGCGGACTTACCCGGTTCTGTAAGTGATATCTTAAGTCGCCGCCAGTCAACAGGTCGCAGACCATGAATAAATCCTCCTCATCTGTGAAGGGAAAGAGATATATATGAGTGCTTTGCGGTGCCAGCAGTACCAAAGTCGGCTTCAAAAGAAATGCACAGAGTTAATTTGCATTTTGATTGCCAATCAGCAACAGCATCAGACGGATAGAAAAGGTGAGAACGAAGGCGAGCAACAGGAGCCACACAAAGCTTCCACAGGTAGCTCTCTTGGCTTATTTGCATATACATATATGCGTACCTTTAAGGACTCAGCATACAAACATACAAGAGACGTGTGTACACGAAACATTAGAGTGGACTACGACAAACAGATAACAATAACTTTAGTTATTTTCCTACAGTTTCACATTTACTTAATTTATTTCAAATTTAAATGTAAAATATCTTGTAAAATTGTAAAATTTGTTTATACAAATCAAGAAAAAAACATTTTATATCGGGATCAAACACTTTGTATGAACGATTTAACAAGCCAAGGCTACACTGCGTATGATTCTCAGGGTTCATCCCAATTGTATTAAAGGTACTGCGAGATTTGAGCTAGTCTATTTCTCTGTCGTGGTTTTGCGGCCACTTACCCTGGAACGAGAACCACAAATTGACGAGAAACGGATGCTCCAAGGAGGATAGCAGCTCCACCTCCTTGATGACCCCGCCCAGGGCTCCACGCAGTTCGCAGGCGGATCGACTGACGTATTTCATGGCGTACAGGATACCGCTGTCGCGCTTTTGGACGATGCACACCTAGGTAAAAAGTTATGTCGTTAAAAGGGAGTACTCCCCAAGATGTTTCGCATGAACCTACCTTGCCGAAGCTGCCCTTGCCAATGGCGCGTAGAATTTGGAAGTGGTCGAAATTAACTGAAAAGGTAGGAGTCGAGAAATGTTCAGAGTTTACCTAGTTTCCACTGAGCACCCACACACCCCTGGCTTTTAACTGCAACTGTGACTAGGATGGAGCAGCATATAGCCCATGGCTGGTGCATTGCCTGGGCAAGCCGACTTCGGCAGAACCTGCCGCAGCTGATGACGCTGACAGGGGCACATGAAGAACGGCGGCAGGGGGTCCACTTCAAGAAGCCATAGATTGGGAAACCACAGGCCTACTAATACCTCGAAGTGCTCTCTAGTCAGATACCTGACCCGCAACTCTTTCAGGCACTCACTGGCGCTGATTAGGAGAAAATGGAAGTCGCATACGTTCAGCGGCACCTCCAGCAGGTTCAGCGTTATCCTGATCAGCTGGCGGCGCCAGATGCTGCTCAGCAGAGGTCGGCAGCGCTCATAGCTCTGAAGCATGGCTATCTGGTCGGGCAGTTCCAGGAGCTTCAGTATCCGCGACAGGCTCAGGTCGTCCAGCTGCTCCATATCCTCCTACCACGTCCTCGGCTCGTCTCGCCCCCGGGTGTGCGTGTGGTAACGTGATATGGAAATTTTCCCTGTTTCTATTTTCCCCACCCGCTCCCGGCTACTGCGTTGTTTTCCGTTCGTCCCATGTGGCAATTACCCAAACCCATATCGACATCTAGTACCTTCGCCCACACTTACCATCGTCGTCGGCGAGCAGACTCGCGTCGGATCTGCTCGATGTGTTGGCGCCCATGCTGCTACATCAATGGGTTGGACCGACCTCGTTCCACTGCCCGCGCTTGGGGCGTCCACTTGTCCAGATGGCCTCCACTTGTCCAGATGGCGTCCAATTGGCCTCTCTACCGGCCACAGCCTCGGGTGCTTGTGCCTGTGTTGTTGATGTTTGCTCGTTGTCCCGGCTGACTACACAAGTACGTATACGTACTTCCTGGTGTTGTTACAAATTGGATTCACCTGAAACGAGGGGCTAAGTTGTAGATTGATTGGGTGGCAGAGATACGACACGGTAGAGAAACGACAAGTGATGCCCCTTCAAAAAAAGAAAAGGCCACAGTGTGGGGCATACTTTACTGGTTCAACACTAAGATTTAAAGGATGTTTAATTTGGTTCCTAAAGACTATACATATCTAGTTATTCATATTGGTTGGTTTTGAGTGGTTCTAAAACTTAATTCTCAAAGCAAACATCCTTTTTCCGATGTTAGACTATGAAAAGAACCATCACTTCTGAAAATGAAAACAATTTCTAAAAACGTTTTACTACTCTTGGTACAAATGGTACGGAATATTAAAATAATGTTCTTTAAATTTCAATTTTCTTTCTTAAGAAAGTTTAAATTATTTTAAAATAGATTCATAATTAAAACCAGAGTAGGCTTATATATCAAAGCTACGCCGTCAAGTGTTTTTCACATATCATAGAGATATATTTCATTTTGGTTGTGAAACCATTTACTCCGCACCATAGACGTCACACCCGGTGTTCAGAGGTATAGTAAGGTTCAAGGTACTGTACAGCATCGCCACATAATGACCTGCAAGGAAGAGTCCATTGAGATCTGTGCCAAAGGACGTGGCCTGGAGGCCATCGTCTCTCTGCGCCAAAACGAATTGATCCAGAACCTGCGCGCTCTGGTGGCCGTACGTTTCGAACTGGCCATCTCGCAGATCGTATTGGTCTTTGCCGGCGAGGTGCTGCGCGACGTGGGCACCATCGACAGCCGCGGCATCATCTCTGGGGTCACGGTACACGTGGTGTGTCGTCCAGAGCTGCCGGTCTCAGTTGCTCCGGTGGATAGCTCTTTCCAGCTTGAACCGCAGCCGGATCCGTTACGCTCGCGGGCTGCCGCTACTATTGCACGAGTGCTCGGACATCCTAGACTGCTGCGTAACCTGTTCCAGGCAGATCCTCGCATCCGTTGCCTGATAGAGAGGGACGCGGCGCTTCGCCATTTCCTGAACAGTGACAAGAACCTTCGCGAGGTTGTCTTGCAGGTCTTCGGTCCGGCCAGGCAAGAAATGGAACGACGTCGAGATCTTTACCATTTGCGACTGGAGCTGGTGCCTGGTGGGTACAAGCTGCTGGGCCGGCTGAGCTATCTCGTCCGCCAGGCCTACGAGAATAATGTGGCCAAGACCTTCCAGAGAGCCCGGCCCGACTCGGATGACGGCACGAATCCGCAGCGCGGGCTGGAGAACAAGCAGCCATTGCCGAATCCGTGGCTCCTGCCAGTCCCATGGAACAACATGGACGCAAAATTGCGGTCAAGGCGTAACCGCGTCATAAAAGCCATTCGGGCGCACCACCTTTTCGAGGAACGGGAGTTCGCTGAGGAGCAAGAGAATGCTACGAGTCCACCGCCAACACCATCTGTGCGCCAGAAGAAGGCCACAACACCACCGCCCACTCCGGTAAAGAGAACTGTTCGCCATGTTTACCAGGCCCAGCTGGATGAGCTGGTCCAGAAGGGCTACACGGATCGGCATTGCAACCTGCGCGCCCTCCAGATCTCCCTGGGAAACGTGGACAGCGCTGTCCGGTTGCTAGACCACTGGAATCGTTCGCGCGAATAACGAGTTGTGTTCCAACTACCATTTATTTCGTTTTGTTTTTGGCAAACAGACAGGCAGTTCGACTGCATCATTGTAACCCAACCGAAACCATTGACTTCCACTCAATTATATACAATTAAAGATCGGAAGAATTATAAATTTACGTTGTAGTTATGCGGCTGCAGTGTATTTTATTTGAGATATTTGAGTTATTTTTTCGAATATCCATTCTTGTCAGTTAATCATCTTAGAGGGAATACCACTGTGCGATGTCCTGAACACCTAGTCTGCCAACAGTTGCTCCTATGATTGATGGGACCTAGTTTCCCAAGCCTTGCATATGTATTTGATTGCTCTTCCTTGTCCCTTTCCCGGCTCTAGCTCGGTAATATTTTCATTCTTTCCACCATCCATCAACGACCTCTCTTGAAGGTCTCTGACAGATTCCATCGCCTCTCGTCTATCAAGGGGGTTGCCTGCCCCGAGGCAATCGGAATCGTATCAATTTTATGCCATTTGCCATCAGCTCACACACCTGACCCACCCAGCCACCGAATATATCACCTGTACGTATGTACATATGTCAATTTTATTTCTCCTTTGATGATTTAAGAACGAATGCTTCATTTTTTTGTTTTTGGAAATTGTATTCCCTCTTGATCGGCACAGGAGGGAATCCTTTAAGTATTTGAATTAATGAATACCTTTAGAAATTACTTTCAGATAAAACAGAGATATTATAAACTATAAATTAGAATCTGCATGCTATAATAAACTCAAAAAGGAATGTTTTGAGCCAATCAATAACAACTCGTGTAAACCTCCTGCTCAGGGTTTTTCTTTGTTACAACTCGTTGCAAACTTTAAGCCTCTATTATATTTTCTGTAACAAAAGGGAGCCACTTTAAATGAGTTTTTCTGCTGCCAACATTATGCACCCCTAAATTGGTATCTGACACATTTAAATTGCTGGGTTTGCCATGCTTAAGGGAAGTTTTTGATGAATTATGAATTTTATTTAAAATTGTATGTTTTAGTAATTGTGGAGCGTGGAGCTCCGGGTCCCCAACCGTAGCTCCCAGGAACTAAACTCATTTTAATGCAAAAGCAGCAACAAGAGAACAGTGTCATTAAGCTATTCAGAAAAAGTCCTCCCAAATGGGCGGGCTTAGCCGACGAAATTGTGACAAAAGCGACGCTTTTCCATCCCCACTCCCGACGGCATTTGCGGAGTCTTGGCTGCTTGATTAGAGTCCTGTTTGTGTTCTAGGGAAAGGGAAGGTGGAGGAGTCCTGGCTATGTGTGTGCCTTGTAGGTTTTTAGCTGGCAGAGCTGTTGTCACCAGCGCTAATGTAGCGAAACAAGCGTCCATTTTGCCCACTCATTTTGCATTTAAATATTTTATGAAATCGGCAAAGAGCCAGGCCAGCCAGCCCGGCGAATGTCCTTTGATGCGACTGCTGTGCCGGAAAAAGTGTCACCTTGAAATGGCCAGAGCATTCGGGGGCTGGTAAAGGTGTTTCAGTTTTCATTTTAGTTTTTGCCCCGGCTTCCCCTCTTTTATACCGTCCACTTAAGCTAGAGGCCGCGTCTGAGCAGCAGCGACAGCTTTTATTTAAATTAGAAGTCCTTTATTGAGTTACCAGCAGTGAGCAACAATTTCCTCAACTTTGCTGTGGTTGTGGCCAGCCACAGTTGCGGTGGCAGTGAGGCACCTACACACTGGAGCTCCTTCCGCTTCTCTCTCATCCGATTGGGAGATATCAAAGGAGTCGCCTGCTAGATGCTAAATTGGGAACGGATGTGTTAACCGACGAAGCAAATTTCACCTAGATACTAGCATTATGCCAGGACACATTAGATGTCGAATAAATTTCCTTGTTTTGTGGTTTGTTTAAAAATATTTAAGCTATTTAAGGATATTTAAGGTGCATGGTTAAAGCTATAAATAGTTTGCCTTTATTTTCCCATGTTCTTAATTCCCATGTTTTTAATTAAAAAATGAGTTGAATTATTGGAAAGGAAAACCTGAGAACGACAGTCGATTTTAATGAAATATTCAACTTATAAGTTCCTAGAAAATATATATTATTTTTCGACTTAATACCTCTTTATTTGGAAATTCACTTAATGGCAAAGAGAAACATTTTATGTGTTTTTGTTTTCCACAAGCAGCTTTTAAATTTACACAAAAGCACAACAAGCGCAAAGGGATGGGGAAGGATTAAAGGGATATCCCTTCGTGTCTATGTGTATACTTTTAGGCGCGAAGCTGAGCGTGAGCGGATGCTGGATTTATGAATATGGGGGCAGCGCTAAACGGATTTCAACGTAAGATGGCTGTCGCACTCAGGCCAACAATCTTTCATCTCAGGGGAGATCGAGACCGGGGAAGGGGGATTCCGCTTTAAGTTTCAGATGTTTCATTCGGGCGCCTGGTGCTGCATCAGGTTCCACATGAAGGCGTCTTTGTTTTGCCAGCTCCTTTGTGCCTCGTTTCCGATGTCCTGGCTGTCCCAGTCAGCATACTGACTGACTGACGACTGACTGGCTGACTGACAAGATTAGGATGAGGCCGCAATCCGTGCGCACACACGTCTCATCCAGAGTTGCACATTTCACGCCACAATGGCCGCCGAAAATAAGCGCCCGAATTTCAGGATAAAGGCTCTGCCCCATCGATTGATTTTACTTAATTAACAAAGCACGCAGGCACCAACCAGACCGAAATGGGTCAAATGGCTGGCCGGAATGGGTGGCCTGCTGAGCGGGCAATTAGCAAATGAGTTATGAATACATTAAGAGAGCCCCGAATATAGAGTGAAAGATGATCTGTATATATAGTATGGTTCCCCGTAATCAAAGCCTTCGCCATTAATCAATTGGCGCGTTGGCTTAACGGCGTAAAAACAAAATTGTCAAATATCGAACATCGAGCAGTTAGACAACAACGTCAAAATAAATGACAGCTGAATCAATCAAAACGCTGCCAAAATCCCGCTTAGTCGCCTTCCCCTCCGGGTGGCTGCGGGTTCCAATTAGAGGAATGCTTAATTAACAGCCGGGCTCCAAGCTGTTTCGTATTCTTTTCTTGTTTTCCCCGTTCCACTGGTGCGTGAGTCGGCAACTCGCCGCAAAAACTAACAAGGACGAAGCTCGAAATAAGGACGCCTCGGAAGTCGACGACAGCAGGCGCCCATCAATCCTGCCAGCCATCCATCCATCCATCCCGGATCCGAACCTTAACCTGAATCTGAGGCTGAGTCTGAACCCTTCATTAGCAGCTGGACAAAGGCAAGAGTAAACACCGAGAAATCAGCTTTGAAAATTTACATTTTTTATTTTCCATTCACCTTGCCGCCTTTCGCCCTTCTTTCAACTCTAATGAGAAAAAGACATGGCCTTGTGGCTCAAGTTTAAAAAAGCAATCAACTTTTGTTCTTGATGCCAACGGAATATATTAATTTTCGCTTAATTGCAAATCTCGTTCATAAGCAGCATATTTTTGCATAATTTGTATATTGATTTATTAAAAGAGATCGTTTTCTTTGCACATGATCCTTTAGTCCGGGTAAATACATCATTAGCAATTCTAGGAAAAATTAAACAAGGATATAAAAACTTTAAGTAATTTAAATTAATTCTCCCTTATTTAGCTTTTAATTCGACAAGAAAAGCAGGCAAAAAACCAAGAACAACTGCCAAGTAATAGGGGCGAAAAAGTTGCCGTAATCTGTGGCAATTGTACCGCTCCTTGCTGGGAGCCTGTTAAAGGATTACAAGTGTTGACAAGATTCCAGTGACAGTGAAAGTGAAAGCAATGACTGTCGCCAGACAGTGATTTTCCCACGCCCCAGCCGTAATGTACTAAGTCGTGTGTGTGTGTTTGTGTAACAGAACTTTATGGCACCGCCCTTGCTCCAAACATTACTTAATCATAATTCATTCCAGACCCTGACCAGGGCTCTTCGCAGGACATTAACACTAATCCTTGCGCAGAGGAGGAAACAGCAGTCGTGCCATAAGCTCCGTGTAATGGTCCAGGGCATCGTAAACGAGCGAATTTTATAGCGATTTCTGTTTACGGTCCCCGAGTTCAAAGAACAAATATTATTTAGATTGCATTATGCGTATGTGCTGTGGCGCGTTTATGCTCTTCCTGTGTGTGTTTTATGATTTCAAAATTTGATGGCCCATCATGGCCCCTCGCACTGACCCTGTTAAAATATATGTGTTTTTCTCCATAACTTATGCCAGGTGGAAATTCATTTAACTTTATCAAACATTTTCCAGAGTTTACGGCAAAAACAGAAAGTTCATTTCCGATTTGTTTGTCCTGCGATTGTTTGTTCACGCATTGCTGACTGCAAACGGCAGGACAATTGCCAAGACGAAACAAAACAAAAATCCAGGCAATTGGATTCGCTTTCAAATTGAATTAATTGCGAGCCAGAGTGCCCTTTTTTGCTAACTCGGGTGAATACCGGTCCGGTGTCTCTGTTCCACAGTAAACCAGATGACATCATCGTCATCAACATTATTCCGTGTCGGGTCGCAGAGGAAAAATCTATAATTTGAAGCGACTCGATGGAGCCGACGCGCGATTCATGTTTACGGCCGCTCAACTGAGTTGTTGGCGGCGCTCCGATTTAATTTATGTGTACACTCAGTGCTTGTAAGCAAGCCACTGTAATGTCTTAATGCTCTTTTGCATAATCCAAATCAAAATGTGAGTTGGTGTCATATTAGCATAGATAACTCATTGCCGGAGCGACAGGCAACAGCTAGGGCATGAGGGCAGAGCGATAGGGTGGGGCAGCCACCCCCAAAGCACTTCAGGAATCAAGCTGCCAACTAAATTCAATGGTGCCGAAAGGAAGCAGGGTTCATTGACATCTCCTGACGGGTTGTTTCTTTTCACTCGCCCGCTCGATGGGGCAGCAAAAATAACAGCTCAGTCGGTCAGTGCCGACAAGCACCACTGTCGGAAAATATTTAAAGGAATTATGTTTTTTTATTATATTTCTGGGTCTCGTTAATTCTATTTATAAAATTAACTTTCGGGAAGCTATAATTTATATTACCTTACAGATTTCAACTGAATTATTCGAACTGGAGATTAATCATAACTAAGTCGAAAAATAATTAATTTAAATTCGGAAATGTTTTCTATGTTAGTTTTTTCAAGGATAAATTAAACTTTAAAAATTGAATAACTTAACAAAAAAGCATTTTAGTAGTTTCTATATAAACAAATCTACATACTGAATATCGATTTAATAGTTATCCATTTAATTCTTATGTGATCAAGAATATATACTAAATATATATACTTTTAATGGTTATGTCTAAAATACAAATATAAAATATATTAATTTGTATAGAGGGATTTCATTTTCTATACTAATTGTTCTAGACAACCACCAAGAAGTAGTTCATGAATAATTTAGTTTAATAATTGGATTACACAAACTAAAAGAAAATGTTGAATAATCTATAATATATTAAGGCAACAAGGAAATATTTTTCAAAGGGCTCCTCCTCGCGTCCTCTTGACTTAATGGAAAAATAACCCTTAATACTCGGAAAATTACTTCAAAAATAGTCTCTGCACAGTTGATTGTCCTTTGTTCTAACGTGTTGTCCTTTTTGCCCCGCACAGATGATGATGGGCAGCACTATGGCACACACATATTCAGACGCTAGAGCACATAAAAATTTGCTTAAGTCAGCAGCGCACTCTGGAAATATTTGCTAGCGAAAATCTCATAACATTCTTGAGGAAACGGGAGGCAAAAGAAGGCAACCACCTCGCGTCCTTTGAATTTATCGATTGGCGTTGCTCACAAAGGAGCATGCATGTGTGGCGTTGTGTCAGGCCCATTCAAATTGCACTCGCAATATTCGCCCCTTGTAAATGGTCCAAAATGCTGGGTTCACAACAAACGTCAAGACATTTTTGCCGCCGCACACACACATCCTATGAATACCTGTGTGTTGGTGGGGTGTTATTGCTGCTTTGAACCTTCCTTGATGGATATATGTAGGTAGGTAGGTAGGTACGTACAGATGTAAATTCACGTAGCTATTTTTGTGTCACTGGCGCCGGCAAAAAGTCACGCGATTGTCAAGATAACACTCACACACAGATATGCAATGGCCACTGTTACAGTTATTTACGTTTTCGACTGGTTCGCTGCCCGGCTGTAAAATGGCGTCGCCCCCGCGTACAAACAACCGTTATTCGGCACGACCCGCGAGCAACTGAAACTGTTTTGAATGCAACCATTGTTTACCATTTACCGAGGATACGCTCACTGAGAGAGAGAGATAGTGAAAGGACGAGAGAAAGCGGCGCAGGCGCTGAAGACAGAGAGCACTCTCTGTATCTCTATGTCTCTCTGTTGGCCAAATCTGTGAGGCCCTTATGAATGAACGCCAATTAGCCAAGTTGGCTGGCTACACTATATTATCATGATTACTTTCGCTATGATTATGATTCGGGGGCTCTATTTACTTGGCCTACTTTCCGGGGCGCCAAAGAGGCGCATCCCACTTGGACGCAAAACGGATTGCGCTGCCATCACTCATCTCTCTCTCTAGCTGACGGATGAGCTGGTCTGCATCCGGCTGGAGGCAGGACACCTTCTCGAGAATGCCTCCTCAATTTAAGTCAATTAATTCCAAAACGCCACAAAATTATACATATGCGTATGCCTCGCAGCTTGGCATTTATGCTTAGATAAATGCGTGTGCGATGTACCTTTTTTGGCTAACACAGGGAGAATAATATATTTCACTGAAAAAAGCCATCAATAAATTCGCTATTACAAGTAAGCCAAGCCACAAAATATACCAGTTTCAAATCGCTTTTTAACTAAGATAAAAGAACGAAAGAAAGCTTTATTGAAGGACTTTTACAATATAAATAAACTATATTCAAACAATAACTAAAAACCCTAGACTTCAAGGTTTTCTGTGTGTGATAATAATAAAGGGACACGTTTTTCATTATAGCCTGGAATTAACCTTTAAAAATGTAAATCCAATAATAGGAATTATTTCATTAAAACACACGTACTTGTGTCAACCTTTCTCTTTATTTACGATTCTGGGAAAATGTTTCAATATATGCCCATATCTTTGTGTGTCTGCAGATACATACATTCATACGTACAATGTACATATATGCCTAGGTGTTTTTCGAATCCTGCGAGGTGAGAAAGTTGGAGCGATTCTCGCTCCACCCCGCCCCATGTGCCATGCCGCCCTGCCACTTCGTGTGGCATACTTTTGAGGGCCGTGCGCATTGTTTACACAAAATTTCATTGTTTATTCTGCTGATAATGCTTCAGAAAGATATAAGTGGAAGTGGAAGAAAGAAAGAAAAGCGAAATATCTCTGGCGAAATACATGTACACAATCAAGCACATTCCTTGTCGCTCCCGGACTCCGTAAATTCAATTCTTGTGTTGCCGCTGCCGCCGCTGCCTGGCGCTTAAAAGGCTATTTAAATTCGAGAAAGTCAAAATTGTTTGTCTTATGCGAAGCAAGACCAATAATCCAATGCGGTTTAGGGCACTCACTGAATAGACAATTGGGCCGGGCGAGCTTCTGCGTCCTCTGAGGACCTTAAAGAGGCATCTAAATATTACCATCCTGCCTCCATCTTGATTATTCACTCGGAAAAGGGGCCTTCAGTCTGGCCCCCAGCCTGGCCCACGAACTTGTAAGGATTGAGTGAGGAATTTTAAGGACGAGATTAATTTCGATATTGCCTTCAATTTCAATCTCATATTTCAGCCAGTCGTTGTTGCATTAGCCAGCGTCCTTTACGGGGCATACATCTTGGCGTTTTGAATTTACCGACGAACCAACCAATTCAGTCCAAGGCCAAGGACTCCTACACTTTCGTCCTCTTGGCAAGCCGCATTTAATTAAGAGCCGTTTGGGCTTTCAATTAATTGAATTAACGACTGTTTTAAACGTAATTTAAATGGTGATTGCAGAGCTGCCGAGTTCTGAACTCGACTAATCGCCTCGACTTGTTATGCAAATCAATTCGAAATCATTGGAAGCAATAAGCATTTGCTGTTTGCTCTTAACCCCTAATTAGGCCAATTTGCTGCTATCATGTCGAAAAGACTTCCAGGAATAAGAAGTTTCAGGAAAGTCCGCCTTTCAAAAATGCATTTCACTGCTTGCAAATCCCCTAAGCTACAAAAAAGAGCTTTGATTTCATCCGCTTTGGTTATATTATGCATTTAAAATAAGGAGCAAATAGATCAAATTCAGTTCCCAGTACTTGGTCCATTCGAGCTTTCCAACTGGCAACCGGGTTTAAATTGTGGCAAAACTCGAGTGATGTATTCTTATGTGCCAAAAACAAGTGAAAAGCTATTTTTACCCGGAATATTAAATGCCAGAGCTGTACAAACACAGAGTCCTCAAAAATGGTTGCCCAGCTTATGGGTGTTGGTTTGCTATCCATGACTAGGGGAAGCTTTGTACAAACGTGGGAAACCAGAGGTATGGTTGGATGAAATAACTGAAATTAATTTCAGACCATGTTGCAAAAAGAGTAGCCTACTCCAGCAAAAATAAACCATTAAGAGTTCTCTCCGCTCCGGTTACATGCAGAAGCAGGAATTTGTTATGAGTATCGCGTACATACACTCCACTTGCATGAAACTCTTGAACACGCAAAAGTAAACATAAAAAAGTAAAAAAAAAAACACAAAAATGAGGAAAGCAATTCTGTTCAATTCCTCAAAATTCCAAAATACAACACATACGATTTGATTGTATCATTTCGTTTCCATGGAAATTGTATAATTAAAAGTTTAAATGCCTTGCATGTACTTGAGAATCCGTTGGGATTCCATTTAAACATTATGCAATATTAATTGGGGGTATTTAACGCTCGCTTTGGCCCGTCAGGATTGCAAATTGATTGCGAAACTTGTACACTGCCTTATTCCATTCCATTAGCTCGACGACAAATTGCGTAATGGCTGTGGCAGTGTTAAAGGCGCTTCACATCACGCTAATTGTTTTGCATTAATAATCGCCGTAGCCAGCCACTCGGTAAGTCAGGAGATCCTGCCTCTTGCGAGCCCAGCGTCAAAGCATCAAGGACCATCATCCGGCCAGATGTCAACGGAGGCGTTAGACCCGAGGGTACACTGTGGGAAAAATGTAAAGGTATATGCTTGACAACTTCTCATCTCAATTAAAACGGAGAAAAGCCTTTTTATTAAGGCTTTAAATATGTTGAATTGGATGATAACTATAAAAAATAGCAAGTGTTAATTATTATATAGAGAAAAAAGTCGAGCTATATTCAATTCTCCGTGTACACCTTACAGTTCTATTAACGCTCTATAAGCTACGAAGCCGAGCGGTTTACATGGAGATGTAAGAGCGGCGTGTAGAGCATTTCATTACAGCTGCAGGACATGCCGGGGATTAGTTATGCATGCATGAGCTGGGACTGAAGGACTGAAGCCGGATCTGGCCGGCAATGGAAAGGGCTTGTCGCCGGAGCCAAGACCACAAGTTGGTTACACAAAGTTTTTACTCTCTCTCTCTCTCACACACAGAACCAGCCAAAAGGGTGTGGGGTACACCAAGGATAAATACAAAAAAAAAAGACTACAGATAGTGGGAGCATCCGAGGCTTCTGAGTTGAGCTGTCTCTCGCGAAGTAATTTGCGAAAAGTTCGTGTTGCCATTTGGCTACCACCGTTTTTTGCCATTTTGTAAGCTCAAAGGACCTGCTTTCATTGGGCTTCCTCTCTCGCCCTGATTGGGGTTTAACACAAGCCATTAATTACACTTTTTGTTTCTCATTCAGAACTTCACAATTGCATTAAAAACACGACCGAATGCGCAGTCATTGTGAGCTCGTGTTTTAATGCAGAATTTCGTTTATGGTACCGAATTCATTTGCAATTATTGACATATAGACATAGCGGTATGTGTATTTTGGCCTGCGGAAAATTAAATATTACTGCGAATTTAAACTTAATAAAGCAATACAAGTGCAATCGACAGTAAATCAAAGAAATTAAATTTAGCGATTCATTCAGCCGCCTGTGATTTTTCAAGTCTGATTAACTCAATTTACTATACAAATTTACTTTTTAATGTCTTATTATAGCCTGATTTTGCCTTTAAACCTCGACTAGAATGCCCTATACCTTTGGGCCAGGAGACATGTTTGTTCACACAATTTAGTTAAAGCAAGCACCCTATTGAGGAAGCAGCTGCCTCTTCCTTTTTCGGATCCCTTATGGGCGCCGGCGTGTCCTGGATGGGGTTTCCGCCCCTTCTCGGTTACCGATACACTGGGCCACCATCAATAATTGCCCCTAATGGGCCTGCTAGTCAAGCGGACAGCCATGACTCATAAATGCCAATCACTGAGACCTCCGGCTGGCATATGCCTCCATGTGGATGTAGCCTGTAGTCGAGGAGTGGGGCTGAGCTGGGTTTATTTTTGGGGGGGGTTTGGGGAAAGCACAGTAAACTTTTCTGGGGGCAACAATGGCGGCGAGCCGCCGGGCAATTCTGCGGCCACATTTCGCCTTTATTATCAAACTTTATGTCATCCTTTGTGGCCCTGACTGTGTTGGCTGGGCCAGATGGCAGTGGATTATTATTGCATATGTTATGATAAGCGTTAGCACCTCGCTCCGAGCACCTCCAGCCATCAACGGCTCACGGCTCCAGGCACCATGCCATGCGGGTCGTGGGTGATAACATAATAACAACAGGCCCATAAAAAAGGTTTGCTTCGTGGCGGGCAGAGTCCGCAGTTTATTGCCTGCGGGAGGGAGGAGCCTTTGGCCACGTGACCAGAGCGGTCTTTCCGGCCTGCGTCCATAGAGCACCACTGGCCATTCAAAAAGCAATTGTTGATGGTTTATGCTTAACTAATATATATTTTTGTTATACAGTTTTAGGCAGAGAATTCTTTGCAGGAATTCTGGAACTTTATTTTAATACTAGCAAGACAGTTATTAAATTGTAGAGCAACGTTTCTCAAAGTTAATTTATAATATATATATGCTACAAGTGTCAAGTTTCCTACTTTCTGAAACCTTTTCAAATATATTATTTCTTGATTTTAATCAAACCATTTGACCTTGGCCATTCCAGTTCTTGAGGGCATCGTATGACTTCATTTTGCTGCCAATTAGATGGTACGTGCAGTGGATCCAGAGCGTTATAAAGGAATCCGCATCAGAAAAATGCAAACTGAAGAGCAACATAAACAGAAGTCATAGAAGTTGGCAAAAACGGGGCACCCGCTCGAGAGCAATTTTCACAGAGTAAACACAGAAAGAGGAAAACTGCAATTCAGGCTAAACTTTCCTGAGCTCACTGCGAGTGCCGGACTCTGTGGGCTTAAAGTTTTCATTATTTATGCTGTCAAACAAGACCAGAAAACTGTCCATTTCACAATTGAGAATTTTAAAGCTGCCACGTACACGAATACCTCTGGGCTCAAGTAAGTCAGACTGCGCAAGGAAAAGAGCAATTAGAGGGGAGTATGGTCTTTGCTGTTATTTTTGTTGAGAAATAACAATACAAAGAAACATCAAACTTGTCTGAAGCTGACTCCATAAACTTTACATTCAGCTAATACAAATGTTTTTAAAACAAGTCAGTTAGAGACTGATTTTAATCAATAAATACATCCATATTTCTCCGAAGAAGATATTTCAATAACGTAGTATTTTATATTTTGACTGCTAGTGTATACCCAGGACTTGGGCGAGTTTTAAAAATAAAGTTGCGCACGAGATGGCACTCGGGAAGGGTAAACATGCCCTTTCCCTTGGCTTGCGACTTGGGCAAGCAAGTGTTTGGAAGCCAGCAGTCAAGAGCTCAAAGCCTTAGCTTAAGTCGGAGGCAAAAGGCAAACAGACTGAAAATGAGATTTACAATTCGTCGGGAATGTGGAGCAGAGGCTGCAGGGCCGCCAGGACACAAGTTCAAGTGGTTCGGAATGCTTTCCAACGCACTAAGACCCCTCACACGCGTGTATGTGTGTGTGCCCGAATTCGAGGATTCCGGAAAGGTTCCTAGACATGAAAGTCAATCATCAGGGACACCTTTAATGTGTTGTCAGGGCTCCAAATACACAGCTTCAGGTAACTAAGTGGTTCTGTATACATTGTGAGATTGTAAGCGAGTGTCCTTATGTCAATATGCTCCAGCTTCGTTGGCGAATCATCATCGAAAACAATTTAATTTGATTCAGAGGTTAAAGCTAATTAAACAAGCTTTTCTAACAGCTGCATAATGAAGTGAGATAATCCATTAACATTTTTGTTGAGAAGCCTTACCTAAACAACTAGTTGAAAACTCATTTAGGTGAGTACATTTCAACGCAATTATTTTGTTTAATTTTGTTAGACTCTTAATCTGATACATTACGATACATTTAGCTGGAAATGAAAATTGTAAATTCTCCTATATGTGATTTACATTAGCAAGTCTGAATGTGTTGAGGGAGGAATAGAGGCCCCCGCAATCACTTCATTAATTTGCCTATTTCCGGCACTGCAATGGGGCAATCAGTTTAATTGATTGACTTCTTTGCATAACCTAATGAGTTGTTTGATGCAGGGATACGCTGTTGCCACGGGCTTATCTCAGCATGTGTTGGATTGGCTTTAATAACACCCACATATTCCGTCACTGCCGTGTTGTCCGCTGTATGCTAATTAGTGGCTGGCCAAGAGTATATGTGCAGGAGTTTGTTCAACAGTGGCAACCACAGCATTTTCCATCCTGGTTGGAAAGCAACACGAACCTCTCTCTGACAACAACAGGAAATTATCCTTTAAAGCAGTTAATCAGTTGGATAATTTATTCGGGGAAAGCTAAAGCCGTAGTAGCAGAAATCCTTTAGTTGTCATAAATAATAGGGCAGTCAGAATACTCCAAATTTGTTATGGTTATATCCTGCAGAATTCACCGGTTCAAGAAACATGTTTTTTTTTAATTCGCATTTTCGTAAAAGGTTTTCCAGCTAAAATATTTAATAGCCTACTTATATGGGTTGAACTAGTCACAGTTTGGGGGGAACGGAATACCGGTTGATTTATGCATGCCCTGCATTTTTTTGTGGCTGTGGCCATTGTGTTTGGATTTCATCCAAAGCCCCCCTCGTTTAATGCCACGGGGAGTTACTGGACAAATTCGGAGCGTGTGCTATCAACAAATCGAACCGAAACAAAAACCAATCAAATTCAATATAAATATTTGTCACAAAACGTTTCTCATTCGTTCGGGACAGATGGCCGATTGCCCGGTTAGGTCCTGGAGCACGTTCACCTCCGTTGGTCACGTGCGGGACTGGGATTCACGAATCGCCCAGGCTGGGGCAGTTTTGTGGCGTTTTCGAGGGCTGCATCGGTTCCATAACTGCTCCGAGGGCCTAATTAACCTGTCAGACGCAAGTGGAGCCAGGCGGACGGCGGCGGCGCGGGGGCGCCTGCATGGACGGACATCAAACGACTGGGCGGACGTGGCAAGACCGCTCCTTAACCGCCGAATAAATCCGACTAAAATGCTAATTTCCCTTTTGCTGGGAGGCGGCAACGTCCTAAAAACAATATCCTGTTTAGGGCTAAGCAAACGCAAAATCGCAGCCCAAACGAACCATATTCAATTTGCGTTGCTTTGGCGACGACGGGAAATGAGTTTTCCATTCTCATTTCTGGTCCTCGTGGGCCCGAAATCGTCGCCTTGAAGGCCCAAAGCCATGAATACCGAGAAGCATCTCTGGTCCGAAAACGTACCACATTTTGTTCAAGTTTTAACTAATGCCCGGCATTTATCAGAGCGCACACAAAGGCATGGCCTGGAACTGAGGCCCCTTTTCGGCGGCGTCCACGTTATTTTAGTGTGTGCGGCCTGATTAATGCTCTGCGTTTTGGACTGGAGTCATTGCCCATAAATCACTAATACTATGTGTTGTGACGTGGCGTCGAATGAGGGTATTCAATTAAAGTACTTTGCCTAAGGACGCATTGCCTACCTTGGATGCTGAATTCTGTCCTGCTGTCCAAGGAGGTGGATGCCGTGCCGGGTTATTTAAGTCAATTCAGCATGCGAGGCGACACATTAGCTCGCTCCAGGATCTTTGCTTGTGTTCATAAGTGATATTTATTCGCACTGCTCCGACGACAGGCGCCGACCGATTCTCACTGCTGGGACTTCGCACTCCAGAGTTGTATCGCAGCCCGAACAGGAACGCCTTACGAGTAAAAACCGCCGCACTGTTGAGTGCCCAAAGCCGAACTAAAACCACAACACAGTTTGGCCAAACGATTGGGCCAAAAAGATGATGGAGCTGGCGCAGGCGCAGGTGCTGAGGAGTCGAAGTGGAGGGCAAGCACTTCAAGTGTTACTGTCGCTAGACAAGCTCTCAATATTACGCGAATTCTTTTACCAATTCCCAGGACAAGGAGGAGGTGTCAACTGCACTACTTGTGCTGGTCATTCCCCACTGGCAACCTGGCAGCGGGAATTTCAAATAAAATACAATAGAATTATTTTCAGGGGGCTTCATTAGAGGCAAAATGCAAGCTCGAGTCGACTTCTGGGTAGATAATTATCCAATAACAAGGTGGGGATACCTTTAAGAGACTGAAAGTTGCACGCAAGTTTTACTTCAACTGATTATCATTAAAATTTGAGGATTCTCTGAACTTTTCACTGTAAACTAGTTGTTTCCATAATAGCGACTAACGAACTAGGAAAGTTCTGAGTAATAACAATAATAAGAATAACACAAAATGGATCCCCAACTCCACTACACTTACAACTAATCTAAAACCGTCAATTATTTGCTTAGTCCTTTCACTACCCAGCATAAAAACTCAAATGTCGACTGTTTTTGATATGCCGCTTGTTGTTTACGTAGCTTGAAAGCGTTTGCAAGTGACACTTTTCATCCATAAGATGGCATCGACGGACAGACACACAGACCGACAGGCAGAGGGGGAGCTCACAGCACAGCTCCTTGAAATTCAGTTTACTGTTTTTCCTTTTCACAGACAAAAGCTGCCACAATCGCATTGTGTCGACATAGTTCTTCTCCATCTGCCTTTATAGCGGGCCTCTCAAGTCCCACGTCCTGCGTCCCACGGGGCGGGTACGTGTTTTAGTTGCCTGTTTCCCTGTTTACCAGCTCAACAATAACAGCATATGCTTTACAGTAAACACAATGTAATTAATTGCCATACCATTTTGCCAACAGAAATAGTGTTGCTTTGGAAAAGTTTGTAAATTACACACAATAATTGGGAGAAACTAAGCGCTCCACGTGTTGCTGATAGACATCGAGGAATGTATTGATGTAGCCTGCTGCCAATTAGACTGACCGAAAAGTCAGCGATTAACTAGGGCTCTGCGAAAACAGACACACCCCATTTAATTATCCCAAAACGAGCGACTTTACTTGAGCAGAGTTGTGTAATGACGCCGCCATCACCATTAACTCTCGTTATTTGTCTGCTGTGGCCACTAAAGACCTCATCGTCAGGGCAATCGCCCTTTCATTCGCATAACCACGACAAAGCGCTGACAAAGGCACCCTCTGTCCGTGGCCCCAAAGGACGAGCAATCTGAATCAATCACATGACCAACCTGTTAGGCGACTGGCTTGATCCAATCCCCAACCATTGTTGCGGTCTTTTTGGCTTCCTGGAACAGCAGTCCCTGCTGTCATTGTTACGGGCACCACTAAATGCAGCAATAGATGCAGCGTACATATATAGTTTTCATCCAAACGAGGAAACTTTTTAGTTGATTGCTTCTGCAGTGAAATTATTTGCAACAAAATAGCGAACAAGCCTTGACCCCTAGTGGAAACAAATATTTCGAACCTATTTAATGCATGTATAGCAGTTCCCGAAATTTGCATATGCATAAATAATAATTCAAAGGGGGAAAAAAAACTAATGAATAAAGAAAAAAGACGGTAGATTCATTTTCCTGAAACTAGCAAGAATTTATTAAATTATCAAAACGAGAATAGTACAAAAAACTTAAAGAACAATTTGTGTTTTATACTTAAAATACGTTTTCTTTGCGCCTAGGTTACAAATAGTTGCGTCTTTCATAGTGTTCTTCGGCATAGTTTAAACTCATTTGTTGTTTAATTGTAGCTAACGAAAGCGTAGAGTTCCTAAATTAATAACGGGCTTTAAGCAGAGTCTGTTCAAGTACATTGACTTGAACAAATTTAAAAAATTTCTATTAGAAAAAACGAAAGAAACTCAACTGATCTGTCTATCAGTCTGTGTTGCCGGATTCTAAACATATGTAGTTAGAGGCTAGCTTAAGTGCAGCTTTTGTGGTTGATGGTTGGTTGGTTGGTTGCTAATCAATGATTAAATTAAACGTACGTACAAAATATTCTCTTTACAAACTAATATCAAAGTTTAGTTATCAACAGTTTAATTCGTGGCCGACACATGCTGCATGCGCGTTCTTTGCTCTCTATCAAATATTTTATTTGTGTTTTCTTTGTTTTTGTAAGATATACGGCCTGTCCGTCCTTGTTACCTGTTTCATTGTTGTTACTGCTATTATAGTGGGATGGGTGGATGTTTCTGTATTCAGTTCCATTGGTTTGGTGGTTTGATAGATTGTTAAGAAGCTCGAATCGGATTGGTTTAACTATTTCTATGGATCTTCTGCTAACTTACATGCAATAAATGACTTTGTTTGCATTACGCTGTTATCACAATTCCATTTTCGTTTCAATTTCTTGTTGTTTCCGTTTTGTTTTTGTTTTCTTTTCATTATCGGTCATTAAATTTATCCTAGTGTGTAAATTGCTGTCGCTGTCAACTAGTTAATATGATGAGTTATCATAATCAGGCTTTTCAGTGGGACAGCTAGAAACTTCGGGGATTGGTCTACTATTTATGCAGATAGATACAAGCAGGTTAAAGAGGACACATTCTCAGATTATAGATATATGCAAAAATGCGAATGTTAACCTTTTTCTGCCAATATGTCATTTCTGTTCCTGATTCTGAGGTACAGGCTGTGCCTCCGAAGCAACAGGTGCCGCCTCTGAGGGTGTAGGCTTGCCAGCATTAAGCTTAGCCTTCACTTTCCTTAACAACGCTTCGAAGGAATCCTCCTCCTGCACCTTCGGAGCTGGGGTCTCCTGGGGAAACACATACGTGTGGTAGTTGTTGATACCAGCGTTATCTGGAAGGGATGACAATAGGTGAAGTTAGAAGAATAAAACAAATGTTACGCCTTCTATCAACTCACCCAAGTCAGCGTAGGAAGCCCGGCAGAAGGCACGCCTGCCGCCGAAGCTAATATCATACATGTTGATTTGCGGGTCCCTGGGACTCGTGTCTATGGCCGTAAATGCGTCCTGCGCTCTCTCGTACGTCACAAAGCCGTACTTCATTCTGGAAATGAAACAATCGCCAACTGTAAGTTTGGATTACACATTTGATAAGCTTTGAAGCTGCTTACCCATTCTCTTTGTAGTGTATCGTTATCTGCTTGATGCTGCCGTACGGCAGAAATTTGCGGCGCAGCAGCTCCTTGGTTGTCTCCTGCTCAATACGACCCACGTAGACGATGCGGCGCTCTTCCACAGCCGGCTGTGATACGTTGCGGTCCGTGAATCCGCGCCTATTGTTGTTGTTTTGGCAGCGTGTGTCGGATCTGGAGCGAGAGCGTGAGCGCTGGGCTCTGCGATGCGGGCTACGGCTGCGATCGCGATCGCTGTTCTCGGATGCAGACCCGGAGGAGGAGAAGGAGCTTCGTTTTTGGTTTTTGGACCGCCGCTTGTTGTAACTGGTACGACGTTGCCGGCGCTCGTACTTCCCTGCCTCTGAGTACGATGATGAGCTCACCGAGCTACGGTGGCGGTGTGTGCTACGCGAGGAGTAACCGCCGCCGTTGCCAATACTGCTTCCGCCACAATTGGCGGCTGCCTCCAGGTTGCGCAGCTGCTCAATGGAATTGGATCGCGAGCGGGAGCTCGCGAAGCTGCTGCAGGAACTGGAGGAACTCGATCCGTTTGAGCCTGAAGCCGATCTATGGCACCGTCGCTTCCGATAATTCCGTCGCGTCCGCTCACGAGACTTTCTCACGGTTGGGAGCGCCAAGAGGGGGAACTCGGGCTGCAGATCAGTTTGAGTGGCCATGCTCACCAGGGTCTTGCGTGCCCTATCCTTGGGTAGGTGCATAATGACCATGTCCTCGCCATGCTGAACATTTTTATCAGTCGAAGCCCCCTGCGCCGACACAGTATTTTGCGTCAGGGAGGCGAGAGCCGTGCAGCTGGTTTGTCTAACCACCTCGCTTTGTATACTAGCTATGAGGGAGTTGCTCATGTTCTTGTTAGCGTCCTGTCCGTTGGATATATTGTACAGCAGGACGGATGACTTCAGAAGCGAGCGCGGAGAGGCCTTGCTCAGTTGATTCGGCGGTATCGTTATGTCTGTGTTGCAGCTTACAGAAACTATGATGATCTCCTCGTAGTCTGGGTGAAGTTTGTTGCTCGGCTGAGCTGGAGTCGGCTCTGGATCCACTTCCATGCAGTAGGTATCCTTGACAATATCCTTGAGTGGCGGCAGCTTGGTTACGCGCGGCACCTTCGCCGACACGCGTGAATCGATGATCTTGAGTTGCTGAGCGCGCTTCATCTCCAGCATCCGCAACACCTTGTTCTTGGCCACGGTAATGGGATCCATGGGCACGGCATTTGCCTCTTTGCTGGGACACTTCAGGCTGTTAACTATATTGGCTATAACTGCCTTCTGGGGCGATGGCGTTTGTTTTACAGCAGGAATAGGTGAGGGTGAAGGGGCTTCCAGCTTTGGCTGCTTGGCAGGAGTGGGTTTTGCTTTGGAGACGGCCACACTGCCGCCACAACGGCGCTGTTTGTACTCCTCCAGATTAAGTTTTCGCTTTGTGGCAGTCGCTGTAGCCGGCGTGGGTGTCGGCGTTTGCAATGGCGTAATTGTGGGTGAAGGTGGCACAGACGCTTCTACTGCACCAGCGGCTTCCCTTTCCTGCTTCAGCAGCGACAAGTTCTTGCCACCCGAGCCCAGTCCTTTGCCTTGAACTTGGTTTGCTGCAGGCTGTTTGTGGCCAACATTTTTTATAGCATCCTGCGCTTTTTTTGCTGCCAACTTGCTGGATTTGCTCGTTACGGAGGAGCCAACCTTTCGTTTGAGAAAGTCGCATTGCTTCTTGTTGGGCACCAGACATATGTTTGCTGGTGTCCTCGGCTTACTCGCAACTACAACCGGGACTTCTGCCTGCTGCGGTGCTAATTTATGCTGTGTGGATTCAAGGGCTATAGTTCATTCTGTTATGTTATCTTATAGTTGATGTTAGAACTTACCTCCTTGACGGGTGGCACGGACGGCTTCTTGTTGGTCTTGGGACACCAGGAAGGATCGGCCTTCACGTTGTCCACAAAGCACAAATCATCGGTGACCTGGCCAGCTACCCACAAGGTCTCGTCCACATCGATGACATCCACAGTTTCGACATCAATGATCGAATCAGAGTCATCATCATCATCAGAGTTCATAGCCTTGAAGGGAATTGCTGCGGGCCTTGAAATCACCTCTTTCGGGGGACGAACAGGACCTGGAGTGGTAGCAGGAGCAGGAGCAGGAGCAGTGGCTCCCACTGTTTTAGTAACCTGTTCCACTGGTGCTTGCGTTTTTATCGCCTCTTGTATGCGGCAAGCATTGAGGTTCTCGGCAAAGTCATCTTTGGTGATAAAATCAGCCAAGTCAAAGTTATTTACATCAATATTAAGACCGAACTCCGAGGTAATGGTATTGGTACTCAGGGTGCGAATCTTTCGTTCACTAATGCTGGGGACTGTGCCACTGTTTATGTCTCCGTCGACAATATCATCGTACTCGTCCTCGTAGTCGCTGGAATGCGACTCGTAGTCACCAATGGAGGAACTGTCCGTGCGTGTGCGAAATGTGGAGTTACTGCACTGGCTCTGCACGTCATCCTCATCGTGGGTGTCCTCATCTCGGTCGTAGTCCACGAGGGCGCTAATCTGGCGCTGCTGATCGTAGACCGCCTCCACCTCACTGTAAACCTTGGCATTAAGCAGATGGGCATCCTCGCCGTCTAGCTGCTGCTCCACAAAGTCACTGTAGATCAGCTATTCAAAAATTCGATACTTATAGAACCTAAGACCGACCACATGAACGCCTCTTGAGCCAAACCTACCAGGTTCTCTCTGTTTTGCAGATCCTCCTCCCGGCTGGGCGTGAGCAGAGATTCATCTGTGGGCGCGATGGGTAGTATGCCATTGAGCGTGTCTGTCAGCTCAAGACTGGGGGAGATTGCAGGATGGCATAAGTTTCTGCTTCCTCACGGTCAAGGACAGACTACACTTACTCATCATTGGGTGACCAAAAGTCAGCATCAGTTTCATATTTAGCAAAGTTTCCCTCGAAGGGATCTTCCTGGAATACGTTCAGCATTCGAGAGTCCATTACGCTCCAAATATATAAGTGTTTCGCATTAACTGGAAATATGCAAGGATTAATTTGAAGAACTCAACAGAGATCAAGGCTGCATTGCTTTCTATTTTAAATAAAAGCTGTCAAATATCTGTCAACGGCAATCTAATGTCAACTGCTGTCTAATTTCAATCTGAAGCCAAAATTCATTCGGGTTACATCGATTGGTAAAAAAAAAAAAAATAAGGACAATAAATAATGCCCAGGAACGTAAAAACAAGACGTCAGGGCAAAGCGGATACCCTTAGGAAGAATGCAGCGAAACAGCAGACAAGCCATCCGGGAAAGCAGTCCGCTAATCTAGAGAGCGAGGTCATTATAGACGAGAACCTGGCCAAGCAAATCAACCGGCTTTCGCTTGTGTCGCCGTCGAAGGAAGTGGAGGAGGTAACCGTTACATCAAGTGAATCGGAAAAGACGAAAGCAACCCATCAACGTGGTAAACTCCCAAAAGGAACTCGCGATGCCTGGGAGCTAGGAAATGCTTTGGATAAAGACGAAGAACAATACTCTTCCTCGGATTCAATAGACACCATGGATGAGGACGAGTTGTTGGATCACATATGGAAAGATCTGGAGGAAATATTTCCTTCTAGCGATGAAGAAATAGCAAAAGGTGACTTGACCTCGAAATTTGACTGCGAAAAACGGTCTGCCAATCAATGCAATCAGTCAAAAAAGATGGATGAAACTATCACATCCAGTGATATGTTGGTAAAGGAGAAAGCAGACCATCAACGTGGAACACCAGAAGAAACTTGCAATGCTTCAGCAATAGAACAATACAATACGCATTCATCAAACATCGTCGATAAGGCGGAATTAGATCAAATTTTGAAGGATCTGAATGAGATATTTCCTCCTAGCGAGGGAACAGGAGCACAGGGTGGCACAATCTTGAAAAAGCAGTCTTGTAATGTTAACCGGGCTTCGTTTACGTCGTTGAAGGAGAAAGCTGAGGATAAGACTATCACATCCAGTGATAAGCTCCTGAAGAAGAAAGCAGCTTATCAGCGTGGAACCCCAGAAGGAAACCGTAAAGCCAGGGAGCTGGAAAATACTTTCGATAAAAACGAAGAACAATACAATACAGGTTCATCAAGCACCACCCAAAAGGCGGAATTATATCAACTATTTAAGGATCCGAACGAGATGGTCGGCGATTCAGGACCGGTGCCTCCAAAATTTTTCGGAAACTCTGGCTACTTTATGTTGACTGGCACCAACAGTCAGTTAGCACAGCAAGTGAAGAATCTGGCCGCCAAGAACATTTTCGTGGAGTCGTTTGTCGAGCTACCGAACGCTATAGCTGACATTGTGGAGCAGCAAATGACAGAACTCGTGCAGAACCGCGACCCAATTTTAGGAATGGTGCGTGACAAGTACGACCTCCTAGAACCACGACGCGTTCCGCGCCAAAGAAAGCTGAGGAAGTGCCCAATTAAAACCAAATAGATTTCGTAATGTTAACATTAAATAAAAGAGTTCAGTTCAATGTCGTTATCACAGTTTGAATTTTGCGCCAAACTTTGCATCATGTTCGGCAACGCTGGCTTTGCAGCGCATGTTTGACAAACATCGTGGCACCAGTGTTGCCACAGTATCGGCACAAGCAGATAAAAAACATTAATTTTAAAACTTCAAATTTGTGTAGCCTCTTGGTTATTATTATATATTTTTTTGCAATATAATAATGTATATTGATATGGAATAGAAAGCCAACTAATAAATTCAAATGCATTTTCGACGTTATTAAAATATTTCTAGAGTAAATGCTTTTTTTTTAATCCGAACAAACAATCAAAAGCCAGAAATCATAGCTTTAAAAGCGCTGATCATGCCGTTAACCCTATTATTATGCAAATTAAGCAGCTGTAACATTTTACAAACTCAGCATTTTACATTTACATTTAGTAGGAAGTTAAAACATGCTTTGTATGAAAAATGTATTTAAAAGAAAGACATATTCTTCAAAAATTGTTCCCTGTTAAAATGAATAAACAAAATAAAATATTAAATGGCTTGAAGTGGCCACACTGCGTGGCACGTTAAGAGGAGAAAGCAACATGCAGTTCCCCCCACTCGCCTCCCCTTTCCCACATTTATCACCACGAAAGCACAAACTGATCTGAAACATACTGTAGTCGTTCCTAGCCAGTATAAAATTATATCCAGAATTTTAAATTATATTGAGACAAAAAAAAAACACTTGCCGACAACAATAACAAACATGCGCACACACACCGACTGCTGGCAGAAGAAGAGAACGCGAACGCGCCGCACATGTGTTGAACTCCAACCACGTGTATGTGTGCGCGCACGAGGAGGGTGTGTGTGAGTAAATGCCGCCGCCACGCCATGTGCTTTTTTGAGCTTAACAACAATTGAATCGAACACCTCCGTTGATCTCCACTATCACATATCAGCCCCATGCGCTCGAGACACCTTGTACATTTTGTTTGGAAAGCCCTGTTCACAGAAATCCACCTGGCAGATGCAGACGAAATACTAGTAGGCCTCAGCCAGACCCGCTTTCTTGCGAATTCACATTGCACTGCCCACGGGAGCACCCATCGGTCCCCTTGTGGATTTACGATGGCAGCGGGATTCCCTCGCCATATATTACCTTTAGGAAGCGCAGGTGGTGCACAGCACCGGATCCCGGCGGCTGTTTGATCTCGGCACGAGACGACCGTTTAAATTGTCTTCGGATTCGTTGCCGCCGTCTGTTTGTCTGTCTGCTTTAACCTCACATGTTGAGCGCCGCGTCCGCAGCACCCACACAAGCACAGTTCTCCAAATTCACTTAAAACGGCCAATACCACCGGCAGCCTTCAATCACAATCGAATCACTCCCGAATTATTATTGGCCAAAGCCACTCCACAGAACTCCTGGGTCAGTTTATCTCATAAGTTTGTGATTCACTGCCCAAAATATGTTCACGTGGACTCGTTTCGCGGCACAGTGCTGCCAACTATCGGTCGCCAGTGCAGGCCAACCCGAATAGCCGAAAAAAGTGAGATTTCTTAATGAATAGCTAAGTAGAGCCGTTAGCTAGAGTAAAGCCGTTATTTTTAGTGGAAAAAACCTTAATTGTATTATTGTCCAACTTTTGTGTATATTTTACTTGACTAGCCGGTTAGTTTTAAGCTTTTTTTATGCAAATATTTGTTAGTTTATACAACGTTTAGTTTTTATCCCGAATCTGCCAAAAAAAAGCTAAGTTTGCAGCACTTTCGCAATAGAGAAGAGATCGCGGTGGTTATAAGAGCTGCACATACATCGATATCAATATCGATAGGGTTTTAATATTTTTGTTTTTATTTTTTATTATTTTAAAAATAGTGTTTTAAAGTTTTACATTGATTATTGCAAAATTGATGAAGATAAAGGTAATATCAACATAACTTAGCCAAAAATGCATTTATTTCAATTTTAATAGATTTTATTTGTTAGTTGATATTGAATATTAAAAAAAATTTTTTTTTTATTTGGATTTTTCCCAACATATGTATCTAGAAAGATTCGCCTGTTAATGCTGATATATACTCTGCAAGGGTGTATTCATAACATTAAAATGTCAAGTGTTTCAATAGGTTTATACTAACCCCATAAGTATGTATACTTGGTCAGTCTCACGTTAGAGTTAATCTTTAATTTTTTTTTTTGGCAGAAAAACCAATTAGGGATTAATTGATAAACAGCCCCTAACCGAAAAGAGTAAGTGAAACATTTGATTAGTTAGAACATGGTTATTTTATTCGAAAGTACTTTAATGAGCAGCGGACTGACCGCCGACCTACTCTGGCACAAGCATTGGGTAGATGTGATATACGGAGCCACCTGACTCTATTCCAATAAAGTACAAAATGAAAAACGTTTTAAGATTAATATGTTGTGTATATACGGAAAATGCGGGACAACTACGTATTAGGACGCCAGGACACGGGAGAACAGTTTAACGACGCTTGACGCTGGTCCATTCGCCATCATCGGCAGCTTTGTTTTCTGGAAGAAATGGAACATTTAATATAAATACACCTCTTTAAGACCTAGTTAAGTCTACTCACCCTTGTCTTGAGGCTGATCTCGCTTGGGGGCAGGTTTTTCTTCTCGGGGGCCGGGAGCAGTACGCCAGTTGCCGCCACCACCACTGCCAGCTTCCTTGGGAGCAGGGCCGCGCAAATCGCCGCGTACTTCGCGTCCATCACGGCCATCACGCCCGGCATCACGTCCGGCATCACGTCCGTCACGGCCAGCATCACGTCTGTCGCCAGCAGGACGACGGTTGTCCCGATCACTCTGACGTGGAGCATCGCGCCAGTTACCACCGGTCTCGCCACGTGCCTCATCGGTGCGACGCGGTCCATCGTTGCGACGGAAGCCACCGCGATCACGATCATCATCTCGGTCACGGCGTGGGCCGTCGTTGCGGAAGTCACGATCACGGTCTCCACCACGACGCCACTTGTCATCGCGCGACTGAGGTGCACCGCTCGTGTCCTTGGGTGGAGCAGAACGCTGAGAGTCGGGTTCTCGTCGCACACGCCAGGAAGAGTCCGCTCCCTCGTTCTCCTTGCGGTCTCGTTCCCCTCCGCGGTCCATGCGTTCTCCTCCACGCTCACCTCGGTCTCCCCCACGCTCCATACGATCCCCTCCACGCTCAATACGATCCCCTCCGCGCTCTGTACGTTCTCCTCCGCGTTCGATACGATCACCTCCGCGCTCGATACGATCACCTCCGCGCTCTGTGCGTTCTCCTCCGCGTTCGTTGCGATCGCTGGGTGCGGGTGCAGCACGGCGCCACTCTCCGGCTCCGCCGGCAGGGGCGCTTGGCCGGTCACCGCCTCGTGGACGCCAGGTGTCGCGCTCCTTTTCGCTGCGCTCACGCTCCACGGCCACCTCTCGGGCCAGACGGTCGCGGTCCTCTTTGATCTTCCGCTCTGCCTCCTCTTCCTTGGCGCGTTGCTTCTCGTACTGAGCACGACGCTTCTCGTCCTCGGCCTCACGCTCCAGACGGCGGGCCTCCGCAGCGGCACGCTCCTCGGCCGCCTGTGCCAAGCGAATTTCCTCCTCCTTGCGGAGGCGCTCCTCCTCCTTTTCGCGGAGGAAAGCTTGACGACGCTCCTCGCGGCGACGAATAACTCGTTCGGCCAGACGCTTCTTGCGCTCCGCCTCCAGGGCAATCTCGAACTTTTTGAGCTTCTCGACGTAGAGGGAAGCACGCTCCTTCTTGAGGGCCTCAAGGTATTCATCACGATCGGGATACATGCGCTTGAGACGCTCCTGCTGGCTAACGGCGTCCTTGCGTTCGGCGATCGCATTTTCGATGCGCGTCTTCTCAGTGGCCTCCCAGAACTCCTTGTCCTTAACCTGCTTTTCAGCCAAGTACTTTTCGAACAACGGAATCTCCTCCAAACGCTTGGCCCGCTCGAAGTAGTCAACCTTCTTCTCCTGTGACTTGAGCTTAGACTGCAGTTCCTTGGCCTCGCGCTGCAGCTCTTCACTTTCGCGCTTGGCGATCTGCTCGGCATCCAACTTCTTGATGCCTTCCTCGTCCAGCTTGGAGAGCATCTTCTTGCCATGGGCGGTCTGCGAGATTTGCTGCACCTTCTCCTTGAGACTCTTCTCGCGAATGGCTTGAATCTCGTTCTGGTGACGCTTGAGTTCCCGCTCCTCCTGCTCCTTCTCCAGGCGCTTCTGCTCAGCCAGCTTGGCCTTGCGAGACTCTTCCTCTTGGCGGCGGGCCTCCTCTTCCTCGCGCGCATTGTTCTGCTTCTCGATATACTCCTTGCGATCCTCGATAATCTTCTGCCGCTGGAGAATGCGCTGGTGCTCACGGTCCTTGATCTCGTGGTAGTGGTGCACCATCTGGGTACGCAGCTTGGCGCGCTGATCACGCTCCCGGTTCGGATAAACGATGGAGACGGCGCGAGTCAGCACGGTGGACATGTTGACCAGCTGGGAGCGGATTTGCTCAGAGGGCATGGACTGCAGAGCTGGTCCATCGGGCCGATACTCACGTTGGCTCTCAGTCAGATCAGTGCCGAAGTAGATGCTGTTCTTCTGGTGGTCGATGCGGATCTGCATGTCGTTGTGGCGCACAGACTCAACCAGCAGCTTCTCCAGCTCAAAGATATTGCAGAAGCTAGCCAGCTCCAGCAGGCGCTTGAACTGGATGCTCTCGTACACCTGAGAGATCTGGCGAATCAGACGCATGATGGTCACGTCCTTCAGCGACTGGATGTAGGCGGTCAGCAGATTGTTCTCGGGCGACCCGCTCTCAATGATGTCCACAATAGACTGAATGCGCTTGCACAGGTTCAAGGGGTTGAAGTCTACTTCCAGCCAGTTGTACAGGTTGCGGAAGTCCTCCGAAACTAGTTGCGGCACGTTCAAGCGCACCTGGAGAAGTTACATTGATTAGTTACTTTGGGTTGGTCTTCTTGTAGTTTGGTACTTACCACTTCGCGGATAAGAGACACTCGAGTGGGCGGCTGAGGCAGACCGAGGAGCACAGCTAGCTTCTGCGCCTTCTCCAGTGGGCTCTTGTCCGCCTCGATGAACCTGTCGAACTCCGGATGGGCCGACGGCAGCGGAATAGAAAGAGTGGCCAGAAGAACGTGGGCAGCCATGCGCTGCAGGTCCTCCTTAGTCAGGTTCTTCTTCAGCTCGCGCGTCAGTTGGAAGAGCTTCAGCAAGGCTGCAGCATGGAAGAGCTGGTTGCCCGCCTTGCTGAAGACCATCGCCAGCTTCTGGTAGTAGTTGGCCATGGTCTTGGGCACGGGCGTCTTCTTGGACAAGGCCATCAGGCCGTGGATGTCCTCGATCGCCTTGTAGGCCTCCTGCCACAACTCCATCTGAATGGCCGAGTCGAGCAGGTACAGCCTGGTGTCCAGGCACAGTTGCTGTGTCTCCACCTTGTTGATCGAAACGCCAGTGGTTTGGTTGCTGCTCTTGCAGATGTCCTCCAAGTGCTTGCGCAGTTTGTCGCACAGCCGCCGGAACTCGCTCTTGCGGTTATACTTCAGGCAAAACTGGAACGCCATGCGGGCAATGTCGTGGTACAGGGCCTCGCAGTGCGTGTTCACGCGGAGCAGCTCCAGGCACTGGCAGTACGACTCCCACAGGAACTTCACCCACGGCAGCAGGATGGTGCGGTCGGAGCGGTCCTGGGCGTCCTCGCCGCATACGGCGCTCATCAGAATGCTCTCGGGCGTGGCGATGTTGTCCAAGTCATCCAGCTCCAAAACGGCCACAGCCGCGGAGGATTGGGCCTGGGCGGCCTCGGTGTGCGCCTCGGCCATCTTAAGGTAGCCGCGGATCACGTTCTCCAACGAGTTAACGTTCACCAGCTGGAACATGTTGCGGTACTGGAAGAGGCCCTCCTTGGCGATGTGCGACTTCTTGAGCTCCACGCACAGCTCCAGGTACTTGAACATGAGCGGCTCAATGACCGACTCCGAGTAGGCATAGTTCCAGCGCTTGTTGCGGAACACCTCCTGGAGGGTGTCCAGCGCCCGCAGGGGCTTTCCCACCTCGATGAATTCTGCGAACAAAAGAGAGAGTCGCGGTCAGAGAAAGAGAGCAAAGCGGGCCGCTCTCTTCGGCAACCGCATGGAAAATTTTCAGCACACTCACCATTGGCCCTCTTCAGAGCGTTTTCCGGACGTTGCGTGTAACGAGCCATGTTCAATTGCTTGGATTGCTATGCACCGGCACTTTAAGTAGATTTTGTTACTTGCTCTGGGCGCTTATGAGGCCTGCAGCAGCGGAAAATTATAAAAAATCTTCGGCTCGCCTACGTGTGCCTACGATATTTATTCAAAATGGCCGAGTTGACGGCAGAGTTGTCAAAACACCGATGGCCCTGCCGATATATCGATTGTTTGGGGCCCAAACTATCGGTATTATGAAATACGAATATTGTTGGTTTTTAAAGGTGTTATTATTATTATTATTGCCCAGAATCTATCTTTAGAAATACAAATAAAAGAATATTTAACATATTTGTACTTTAATTTTGGGGAAATCCTATTCGTCCTGATGAGATTGTTAAACCCAAATTACAAACGAGATAGCAAGATAGATTATAAACAAAAAGGAACAATAATAACAATAAATAAATATTTTTTGTTTTCAATTCAAAAATAAATAACTAATCTATCGATATATCGATACAAATTATGAACGAAACCACGAAGTAATCCATAAACTTAAAGAATAAAATGACCCGTTTGTGAATTAAATCGCTTAATTTAACATTAAGAAACAGGTGTCAATTTTAACCGCAAGCTTAACCTCCAGCCACTGTCCATCCAAAGGAAGGAACAGTCCGTTTAAAGCCTTGGCATGGCGAGTTTATGGAGAAAGTACATCCTGTGGTTCGCCCAGGAGCACGTTGACTTTCGAATTTCCGAGTTCGAGTCGATCGTTAAGATGTTTGGCCTTCAGTTTCGACGGCTGACCGAACAGACTTTGGTATGTCCCACGAAATAAGTATATCCGTGCAGCTAACCAACTTCAACTTCGCAGAAACCGTTTTGGGTGGTAGAATTCCCCAACGTGGAAACCGCCATGCTGTACGCATCCCGATCCGTGGCCCTGCGTGCCATGTTCGAGCTGTACGCCCACTCCAGAAAGCTGCCCGAGTTTCACGAGCGGCTTCGTGCCCACGTTGATGCGAACCGGAACGAGCTGGCTAAGTACTTCCGACAGGACACCAGCTTTAAGATCACCGTGGAGACCTACAACAAGCACTTTAGTCAACGAGAAAAAATCGAAAAGATTGAGACTATGGATTACCTGCCAATCGAGGGCCCGGTGAACCTAAAAAGTCCCCAGGTGGAGTGGTGGTACATCGAGTTCTGGGGCTTGGATCCCACTGCGGTGCCAGAGGAGCCCGATGACATTCTGTTTGGTCGGCTCCTGGCGACTGGACAGCGGAATTTAATAAAGGAACTCTCTCTGAAACAGCGAAAGTTCATCGGGAATACAAGCATGGATGCACAGCTAAGCCTGCTGATGGCCAACCAGGCGATGGTGCGAGAAGGCGATCTCGTATTTGATCCCTTCGTCGGAACAGGTTCCCTGCTGGTCAGCGCCGCCAAGTGGGGTGGGTACGTCCTGGGAGCCGACATCGACTACATGATGGTGCATGCCCGCTGCCGTCCGAGCCGTATTACCCAAAAGGTCCGCGAGAAGGACGAGAGCATTCGGGCAAACCTGCTGCAGTACGGATGCGCTGACCGCTACATGGATGTGGTTGTGGCGGACTTCTCGAATCCCCTCTGGCATCCTCGGATCTCGTTTGACAGCATCATAACCGATCGTAGGTAGACAACAATAATCATTATCCATAACCATGTATGTATATCTTTTTTGTTCGATTCTTTCAGCTCCATACGGAATAAGAGAGGCCACGGAAAAGGTGGAAACGAAAAGGAGTCCAAAGGATATCGCTCGAACCGACGACATGGTCCACTATCCGTCCACCTCGCACTATTCGCTGCAGAATCTGTACGGTGACCTGCTAGAGTTCGCCGCAAGGCATTTGAAATTGGGAGGACGCCTTGTGTGCTGGCTTCCCTTTCATCGCGAAGATTACGACCCAAAGATGCTGCCGCAGCACCAGTATCTGCAGCTGGTGGCGAACTCTGAGCAGCCTTTGACGGGCAACACTTCACGCCGACTGCTCACTTATGAAAAGTGCTCAGAGTACAGTGCGCTGAACCCCGCGTCAATCGGTTCAACTCAAGTGCCCACGCCCTCGGAAGACTTCCGGGAACGCTACTTCAACAATGCTCTGGAGTCGAGGAAGGAGCGTCGGATGCGGAAGGCTGAACAGCGCGAGCAAGGCCGTCTGGAGATGGAACTGCGTGGAAAGCTGCCTTCAGATGGCCGATCCCAGAAATGCGAGTTAAACAAGGCGCGATTTACAGGCTTAACGTGACTAGTAAAATGATCTAAAAGTAATTTAATCGTTAATTTTACCTACAAATCATTGTCAGTTTAAATCTTGCATTATTGCCTCTGCTTGTTCCCCAAGGCGACACTCAAAAACTTTGGCAAAACTGCTGAGAAATGCCGTACTAGCTTCCTGGATAGAGACCTGCCTTCCGAGTTCCAGGCTGAGCGAGGTCACACCCTTCCCTTCAATTCCGCACGGCACAATATGCTCGAACCAGGCCATATCTGTGCAGCAATTTAGGCCGATGCCGTGGCTGGTGACGTAACGGGAGCCGTGGACGCCGATGGCACATATCTTGCGGTCTCCCACCCAAATGCCCGTGTCCTGGGTGGTGGTGGCGTTCGGAAGGCCCAGCTGTCGACAGGTCTCGATCACCATGCGCTCCAGCGTGGCCACATACCAACGCATGCCGCCATTAAACTGCCGTAGATGCAGGATGGGATAGGCCACCAGCTGGCCGGGTCCGTGAAATGTGATAAGGCCGCCGCGATCCGTGCGGTGGAAATCGGCTCCCAGCCGACGCAGGCGCTCCTCGTCCGCCGCCGTGTAGTCCTTGGTTCGCACCCCGATCGTGTAGACAGGATCGTGCTCTTGCAGGACAAGGTAATTGCGAAACTCGGCAGGCACATCCAGTTTTTGGGATGATTTCGCTAGGTGCTGTTGCAGCTGGAGTCCCGCCGCGTAGCTATGGCGTCCGGCCCGCACCACCGTGACCAACGGTCGGCTCAGAGACATGTTTTAATTGATTAAAAAACATTTAGTTGCTGGTTTAAAGTTTATTTTCCATTTTAACCAGGGATGCAGCCACAGCATGTGATATCGGAGTATCGATAGATGATATCGGTATATCGTTTAATTTTACAATCCAATTATAGTTCTTATTGGAAATAATACGAAATACTAGTACATTTTTTTATATTCAACCTAGTAACCTTGCCCGTCTCGACAAGAAATATTTATTTTTCTGTTGATTTTCATCAATCGGTGTTTTGTTTACGATTGCGATTCGCAACTGACAGTCACGAGGGTTCGCGATTCTGATGGTAATGGCAACGGGCCTCTTCTTCTTGCCACATTTCACGTTTGCAATAAAAAAATATATTCACACACGCACGCAGCGCGGATTATTTCAGAGTTTCGCGAAAAAGACGGCGCAGGAGTGGCACGCAACCACAGGGTACGAATCCTTGGATGACCCACCGCACGCCGCAGCTCGCTGGGATTGCAACAGGCCGTGGGAGTCGCGTCAGGCGGGGGACACATGAGGGACGCATGAAATTCCAATAGGAGAGCGCGGAGCGAGTGCGTGAAAAAAGCAGGGCCGGAGAGCACGCTTCTGCGTCCGCGACGCGGAACATGGCGACACGTCAGGACGAGCGCGGCGATGAGATCGGAGGCGGGAGCAATGGCAGTGGTGGAACCCCTTATCACGTCCTTGCCCACACCGAGGAGATGGCCAACTTCTTGGCCCACCAACAGCAGCAACAGCACCAAAACCAGAACTTCCTGCTCCACCAGCAGCAGCAGCAGCAGCAACACGGACAGGCGCCCGCGCCTATGATGTGGTCAGCACCGCCGCCTCACTTGGCTGCCGCCCAGTTTCCGCCCCACCTTCAGCCGCAACAGGCGCAGCCACACATGTATAACGAGTACCTGTACAATCTGGCGTACTCGGGACAGGCTGCCCAGCCCGAGACCTACTCAGTGCTGCCCGTGGGCCATGGGAACTTCCTGAAGGTCTATCACTGCCCGGAGAATCAGGTCAGCGAGGCCAGCGCTCCGCTGTTCACGCATATCAACATGGCCTCGCTAAATCACCACCATCAGCAGCAGCAGCCGCCGCCGCCGCACCACCACCAGGTCCAACCGCCGACGCCACCGCAGCCGACACCGCTTTACGAGTTGTTTGCCGCCAATCCTCTGTTGCCGAAACCGGAGGTGAATGTTGTGGGTGCCAGCCAGCCTGTGCCGCAGCCCCAGCCGCAAACACAGCCGCAGGCTCAAACCCAGCAGACACAAGCCCAGGCTGCCACGCAAGTCCTTCAATCGCCAAGCAGTGCCAATCTGCTGATTAACAATCTGGTGAACAACTGGTCGCCCAATTTGACAGGCGGAAGCTACATACAGTTCGGGGACAAGGCCCAGGAGAACGCCGTGAGCCAGGCCGAGCACTCGGCAGCCCAACAACCTCGACTGGCACAGCAGTCAGGATCGCAGGTTCAGCAACAGCAGCCACCGGAGACACTAACTCAGACCGTCAGTCCATTGCCAGTGCCAACGAAACCGGCGAAGCCCCTAAAACTGCCCTTGGCCACTGCCAGTGTCTCGCCAACTGCCATCAACAAGTCGTCCGTCGCAGTGCCCGGCCAGCCCGAGGGCAAGAAGCGCATAGTGGCAGAGGTTAAGCCCATGCCCATGTCGTACTCGGATGTGCTCAGCAAGGGCACAAAGGCGAGCAGCGGGGCGGGCGGAGAAATACGTCCTGGCAACGGAGTGGACTACATCAGTCAGCCGCAGAGGCGTCAGGGTAAGGAAGATGGCAATGGGAACCGGGAGATGCGTTCGGCGAAACGCTCACCGATGCACGATGCCAAGGAGACTGCCTCGGTGGCCGCCAGCATTGGTCATGCGCACGGCGGCCGGGGGAAGAAGCGAGGTCAGTCCAGCCAGGTGGCGGCGCCGAAGCATCAGCAGCCCCAGACTCAGCCACTGCAGCAGCAGACGACAGTACAGACGCAGATGAAGACCACTAAACCGAGCAATCCGGAGAAGAAGCGAGTTTTACAGCCGAAGACTGGCAACAGTACCATCACCAACAACCTCAAGGCTTCTGAGCAAAAAACCACATCCGCGTCTATACCGTCCCACAGCGGCGTGCAGAATCAGAGCAACGGGAGTGGAAGTACAACTGCGGCTAGCAATTCCAGCACCGCAACCCGTAAGCCAGGCGGCAATAAGGGAAACTTTAATGCAAATCACTCGAATTCGACCAGCGCCAATTCCAACAATAACTCAAGCAACAACAACAACGTTAGTTCCTCCTCCTCCAAGCGGTATTCCTCCTCGAATGTGAACCTTAACTCGAATAACAGTTCCGGATACTCCTACTCCTCGAAGCGCAACCGCAGCAACGCCTACTCCTCCTCAAACTCGCCCACGCATGCTAGCAGTTTTGCCAGCAACCGAAACTACGAACTGGCCAAGCGCATTTTGCACACCTGGTGGATCTACACCCTCAAATTGTTGACATGGCTGTTTTATTTGGTCTACGATATCGTTGTTCTCGGCTTCAGCATGGCGTACGAGCGGCTGACACTGGCCTATGTGGCCGGGCTGGCCTATGCACGGCAGCTGCACCGGGAACTAAAGCAGAACTCTGGAAAGCCTAGCATCTGGTGGCGGACCTACTGGCGACGCTTCGATGCGCGCTTTGCCAAGAACTCGCGCTGGGCAGTTTGGCGACGTTTCTACAATCGGAAACCGCCCGAACCCACATCGGAATCTTTTAAAACTGGACGCCTGCCGCAAACGGGCGAAGAGGCAATGTATTCGTTGCTGAATTGTAAGGGCAAGGATGCTTACAGGTGAGAGTGATCATGCAATAAATCGATGGTTGTTTTATTGATGTCCTGTCCTCGCTTTAGTATCCTTGGAGTCCCACCGGATAGCTCGCAAGAGCAGATACGTAAGCATTACAAGAAGATAGCCGTGCTCGTACATCCCGACAAAAACAAACAAGCAGGGGCCGAGGAGGCTTTCAAGGTTCTGCAGCGGGCCTTTGAGTTGATCGGAGAGCCGGTAAGGACGTGACCAATAGACCAGGTGACTTCTTATCTAACAAAATGTTATGATTTACATAGGAAAATCGCCTCATCTATGACCAAAGCATCGCCGAGACTCTGCACGCTGAAAAGGCCTGGACGGAGCTGCATGATCTGCTCTCCCAACTGCAAACCAAAATGGCTGAGGCAGCCAATACTATAAGGTAAACTAGTGGCTATTAACCCAAGAGGAAACTTTATTTTCCAAGTATCATGTAACAGATGCAGCACCTGTGCGCAGCGACATCCTCGCAAGCTAACCGAACGTCCTCATTATGCAGCGCGGGAGTGCGCCTCTTGCAAGATACGACACTCAGCCAAGGATGTAAGTACACAGGATATCTAAAAAAAAATGCAGTAAGTGCAGTTTTCGTTTTTTCTTGGGGCAGGGCGACATTTGGGCCGAGACCAGCATGATGGGATTGCGGTGGAAGTATTTGGCTCTAATGGACGGAAAGGTTTATGACATCACCGAGTGGGCCAACTGCCAAAAAGGAGCTCTGTCGCATTTGGAGCCAAACTCCCATATGGTTCAGTATCGCATAGTGCGCGGTGCCCAGCAACAGCAGCAGCAGCAACAACAACAACAGCAGCAGCAGCAGCAACATCACCAGCAGACCCAGCAACCACATCACGATCGGGGAGGTGTCCATCATCCTGGCGGCGGAGTAAGCGGGGTTAGGTGAGCTTTGAAGTGCAATACAAATCGCTACATTGCTTCTTATTCAAAATATTTTCCCCCCTTTTCAGCGAGGCTACGTTGCACGAGTTCTTGGACAATTTGTACAGCCGCCAGCATCCAGGCTCTCCGCCGAACACATTTGCGGGAAATGCGCGTCGGCGAACACGACGCAACTGAGCTCCCACTGGGCCTAGTACTAAGTGTTTTTAAAATCTCTACTATACAGTTGTAATCCAGCCCTTGCGCCGCCGCCGTCTGCTTGGTTTTTACTCACTCCCACGCAATCACGCCAGCAGCAGCAGCAGCATCAACAGTGCAGCCTGGGCACTCTCACTCACTCATCTACTCTTCAGCAAACCCACTAACTTACAAAGGCAACACCGACTCTTTAGTTGTCAAGTTCTGAAGCCATATTAAACACTTCCCTGTATAGTTTCAATATTGCTTTAAAGATTTTTGTGAATTTGTTGTACTTGTCACATTGAATCGTACAATCGCATACCACTAAGATTTACATCTATGTTTTATCTCTTACTTCTGCCTACCCTTTATGGACAGCTTAACGCCTAGCTCGTAGCAGACAAGTTTAGCTCTAAGTTCTAAGTATACTATTTCCCCGTCCAGACGTTCGTCTCCTCGGCGAATGCGACGGACGGCACACGTGTAAAATCTAACATCCAAATTAAACATAAACATTAATGTTAATAAAACAATATTGAAAGCATATAGTTGTTGTAAATTCCATTAAAAAGAATGTTTGACAGTGGGCTCGGGATTTACATATATTAAGGGGAAGTGCTTGATGTGATATATAGACTTTGGAAAGCCACGATTTGTATAGCCTTGCAGTTTGTCGTAGGATTATGGCATCGAATCAAAAAATCTATCATAACTAAGCCAAAAAAAGATCAAATTCAATCGGAAAAGCTTTTCTATAATAGTTTTTAAAATGATTAAAAATCTACATAATAAATTTACTGTTTCATGAAATTAAAATGTTCGAATTTTAACGAAAAAAGGGTGTTAAAATTTTTCGCATCAGCATTCTTTACGTTACATTTTAATGGCGTTTCGACAATCGCTGGCTCTTTGGGCATTTTATGCCCTCTGGAAGATCTGAAATGTTCACTGGAGTTGGGAAAACATCGATTTTAGCAGTGCTGCTTCAAAGACTTAACTCCCCAGAATAAATCATTGTTCAACGAATTTTGTTTAGTGTTTTTATTGAAAAAATGCTCCACTCCATTTTCACCTAATTTTCTACACATGATTTTGTTTTGTTGTTTTTTTTTTTGTATTTGTATAATAATAATTACATAGGTAATGTTTACATGCTGCTCCACAAAAATGGCTATTACGCATACAAAACGTATTGCAATTGCATACCTATAGAACCTAGAGTGTGGGGACTTACAGTCTATTTTGTTTTTTGATTCCAACAATTTGCTGATTTTAATGCTCGGTTTCAAGTGGATCGATCTTACGTTTACGCCTATTTGTATTTTTGTATTTTGTTTGAATTAATATTCATGTTGTGTGGATGCTTGGATTTGTTTTTGTTTTTGGGGGCTTGCACCGTTTTTAAATATTTAGCTAGAGATGAGGAACTCACCCATCTCGAGCCTTTTTCTCGGTTTTAGTTTAGCGGCATAATTTATTTATAATAAATTAATGAAACATTATATGGGTATTTTGATAGCCTGTGAATTCTTGTTGTTTATCTTTGTATAGTTTGAAACGTTGCACAAAATTTGTCGAATACTTTCGCTTGTGGTTTTTACTTTTTCTTCTGTTTAACGTAAAATAGCTCTTCACTATTTTTGCTTGACTTTTATATTTTGTTTTTCTGTTAACAATTATTGTGCCTAATTTTAAATTACATTTGTTTTTGCTCTATACATTTACAAAACTTGCCGGCTTCTGTATATATATATTTTAAGAATATATGTATGTATAAATTAAACTCTAGACTTAAATAGTTGAATTCCATGCTCACACACAAACCGAGTGTAAGCAACATTAGCTTTAGTTGTTAAATCTGTTTATGCTGGGCTTCCGTTTATGTTTCCATTTAGTTGAATTATGTTTCTTGCTCCTGCCGGTTTAGGTTCTTTCTTTTTTCTGTTTATACAATCCGCTCGGGGCACTTAGAATAGGTAAGCTTTGTACAACTAAAGTAGTTTAAAGAAAAAGAAGCAACAAAACATATTTATTATATAGTACGTAAGCGATGAATGGGCGCATGTGCATTCGCAATGCCTATACATTTGCATATGCGGCAATAGGTATGCAGGTGAGCATACTATTAGCATATGTATATCTGTATGTCCGCGTGAATGGATTCGGTCAGTGGGCTGGCCTCTTTCGGATTTCGGCAGCCAAGTCCTGCCCTCTGACGCGTGTGTCCTTGCATGGAATTTGGTGTGATGGATGGTCTGCGATGTGGAGAGTGGTGAATGGTTCGAGTGAAGTGTGTGTGTGTGTGTGGTGGAGTATGCCTGTGGAAATGACTCTTGGAGCTCCGGCCTCTCCCAGGAGGCTCCTGGCGCTGCCGTCGTGTCCTAAGCTCTGTGCTGGCGCCGCCCCGCTTTGCCCCGATATTATTTCGGCGTCTTCCTTTGTTTCAGCTCGTGCGAGGCATCGTCCAGCAGCTTGGTGGCGTATCCGTTCGCCAGAAGACCGCCGTTCGAGCCCTTGTGCGCACTGCCGTTGGCAGCTGTCGTCATCGTGGCAGCATTGCCGTTGGCCAGCTGCTTGTAGCCATTGGCCGTTCCATTCGCATGACCATTGGTCAAAGTGCTTCCGTTGGCCTTCGACACAGGCGTCGCGGATGCAGTGGCCTCCGTGGTCTGCGGCATGGCCAAGTCATCGTGGGCATTGATGCTCTTGCAGTATCCGTTTGGCTTGGCATGTCCATTGGCCGCCGCTATCGCTCCGTTCTTTTTCTGAAAGAGGTAGAGGTAGACGCTTAGGATCGAAGTTACTTGAAAAGGGTTATTTCTTGTGGCACAATTACATTATAATGTACTGAGCCTGAAATTTTTTTTAAACCTTAATTTTTTTTTTTTTTTTTTTTTTTTTTTTTTTTTTGGCATAACATTAAACAAAATTTTATTAACGTTGATCAACCAACCTAATGGCTATAAAACGTTGGTTATAAATATGAACAAAACAATAACATGGCACTTAACAGAAACGGAAACAAATTAACAAATTTTTAATGACAAGTGGAAAATGCTAGTTACTGCTTTAATACTCGCGAGGTATGTCTTCCTCTTGTCCAGAGATCGGCGGGATGTCTACGTTTGAGCCTTCTTCTGACTGACGTGTTGGCCAATGAAGCCGCTAGGCGATTGGTGTGAGCAGTGAGACGTTCGTTATACCGACTTGAATGCCGGTTGATCTGCTCCCTGATAGAGGGAATGCGGAGGTCACTTGCCAAGGCTTTATTTCTAACGTACCAGGGGGCATTAGCAATCAAGCGCAGCGCCCAAACCTTAATAGTAGAGGCATTTTTTAGAGATACTTTTTATCCCCTTTAGGGGATGATTTTTTTAATAGTGCTTTGATAATTGCTATAAAGACTATGTTTATCTTATCTTATAATTTTGTAAATTATTCTATCTAATATGATTTATATAACAAAAATAGTTTCACCCTTGCATAACTTAAGGTTTAAAAAAACTAGCTTGATTTATAGGTAAAAAAATAGGTATTTCTGAAGACTGTAATTCCCCAGCTAATTATGTTTTGATTATGAATATTTTAATTAAAAACTAATCAGTTTTAGACGGGGCTAACATTTTGATTTGATGCTGATTAATTATTAACAGGTTATTATTTTGGTAAGGTTATAAATCTTTTGAAATGAATTTTCTATTTCTATTTGTATCTTGAAATTTCGACCTTTAATAATGTAGAATTTTATATCAAGAAAAGATCTTGGGTAGCTTATTTCTGGTCTGCGCCTAGATGCGTTTAGCCGAGCAGTATGTTATCTTGGGCTCCAGGTGACCCAGTGCGATCATTACGCAATGTGCGTCTCTCCACGTATCTGTATCTGAATCCGCGGCAGTATGTGTTGGCTTTGTTTCTTTTCTTTTCCTTTTTTTGACTCTGAAGCTGCCGCCGTTGTTATTGTCTTTCCGTTTAACTTTCACTTGTGCGACGCGAGGCGACGCGAAGCGACGAGCTGCGGATGCTGGGCGCCGAAAAGCGATCGTTAACCGGCTCCGCAGCCCAACACCCGAATTCCCAGAGACCTACTTGACGAAATCTTGTTAATGAATTTGGACCACAGCACAGCATCTCGCAAGGTGCAGTGCAGGCGATGATGATGATGATATAACCGCGTTTGCCTCACTCGTATTCGTATTCGTAGTCGTTTTCATTTTCATTAACACAGACCGGAATCTGGAACGCGGCACGTCGCCTTAATTGCGGCCGAAAAGCTCGCCCTGGGCAACGTGGGAAGCGTGCTTCGCATTGGAGCTCCAATCTCGGATCGCACATCTCGCATCTGAGAGGTCTCAGATCCCAGAGATTTCAATTTGATAATAAGTGGCCAGCAATAAACGCGCCCGTTAGGGCCACTAATGTGGGAATGGGCAACTTCCGAATCCACCTGTTATCTACATTTCCTACACTTACCATCATGCGGCTCCTGTAGGCTGCCTTGTAGAACTCATTGAACAGGAAGAAGAACATGACGGCATGCATGCCGATCCACCAGACAAACGCCTTGGGGTAGTTGCAGTCGATGAAGAGCAGCTGGAAGGCGTGCACCATGATCAGGATGAACTGGACCTGCGGGCAAAGTGGAGAAGGGATTAGCAACAGAAGCCAGGGGCTTCGCGGAGCAGCTCACCATCTGAAGCGTGGTCAGGTACTTCTTCCACCAGAGGTACTTCTGGTACTGGGGGCCCATGGCCGAGAACATGTAGTAGGTGTACATCACGATGTGAACGAATGTGTTGAGCAGGCCGAAGAAGGTGCTGTGGCCACCTGGACGAGAATTGTTAGGAGATTCACTCTGCCTGCAATATGGGGAATACTTACCCGGGGTGAACTTGACGCCGAACCAGACGGACATGGGCATGCAGCCGTGATGGATGACGTGCAGCGTGGTAACCTGGCTGGTCTTCTTGCGCAACACGAAGAAAATCTGTGGCGAAGAAGGCACAACGGAACGGGTTGATTAATGAATGCAATTTTCGCTTTCGCTTCGATCTGTTTGTCACTTACCGTATCCATGAACTCGGTGAACTTGGAGAAGTAGTACCACCAGCACGCATGAACCATCTGGGATTCGCGGGACGAGAGATATGTATGGATTAGCGGGGCATTTATTTCTGGTGAAGCGAGTGTGGTTTCTAACATTCGTTTCGACTGAGGAGGAGCCTTTCCTGAGAGCTCTATCCCGAACTTAAACCTTGAGATTAACCACAAATACCATACATTCATCTTTGTCTTTTCCTTCACGTACGTGAGATGCTGTGCGGCTTGTGAAACTCAATTGTTCTGAGGATAGAGTCCACAGCCGTGCCGGAACATCCGGCAACATAACTCCCGTAATATCTTAAAAAATACTCAAGTTCATTCAAACATACATGCAGACTCGGGGAGTCTCCAAGAAAGGGGAGAAAGAAAAAGATAGAAAGAAAAATAGAGAGAGCATTCGAGATTCAGTAGGGTTATAGATTGTCTTCCGAAAGTGTCAAACGAATCTGGGGTTAAACGGACCGAAGGCGTGGTGAACATTCAATTAAGGGGTTGACATTTAGTTTCAGAGTCCGAAGTTACGCGAGGGCAACATTCGAGGATATATAAAAAATCGAAGACGCTCTGAATCTCTCGGGTTTAGTGACGGTGGAGAGGATACGTTGACAGTTATGTACGGCATACACATGCTATAATCTGGGTTAGCTTTCAGGACGGGTGTCGCCGCGGGTCGTGTTAGCATTAGTTCTGTTCGGGATGATCGCGTTAGCCCATAACCCCACCACATCGTAAATTAGACGGTTATCACCGAAGTGACATAATGATTGTACTATATGTATATGTACATGGGCAAGTGTGCGTTATATCTATTATGTGTTTAAGCATAGAGGAGGAGGAGAACCTGTACCCAAACCCACTTTCGTGCACTCACACCCAAATTAAAAATAAAACGTAACTGGAATGCTTATCATCATCGTTACTGTTATCGTATCGTTATCTTACTGTTCGGCGGTTAACACATACCCTTAACGTTCTAGGATTATTACTATAGTCGACTGGCTGACATCGGAAGCTATAATGTCCAGTTAGCCAACCGGAAATGCCTATCTGCAAATGTAGAGCATAAAGAGAGTCTCGTTTATACATATATCTCTGCTCGACTCTGGGAATTCTTTGGATGATTCGAATGATGATTGGCATAGTCATTGGCATTGGCATCGCATTGGCATCGGCTTCGTCTTCGGATCGGATCGTGGATTGGTTGGTGGCTTAAACGTGGCTCAGTTGTCGGCTATATGTACAGGTGCAGGGTTTGGCAGTGTGCGGTGTTGGGGTTAGTGTGAGTAATACAGCACTTAGATGGTATCGTAGCAACTTAGGCTAGAAAGCGCAATTATGATTAATCGAAGCGAAATTAATCACCGCAGTGTATCAGTGACACTTGTGTGTTTCTGGTCACGCGTTTATATACAAAACAAAACACTTTTTCGGGCTGGGAGCAGCCAGTACAGATGCATCCTGCGGGTGAGGTTCGGTTCGTTAGGACACTCGATTGGGATTAGTCATCTGGCGGGACGTCGCGGGCCGCCGATAGTTATATATATATATATATATAATATATAGTGTGTTTAAATATACTAGGGACAATACGTAGTTAGGACAGTATGGGGCAAACTACAGGCGAGGCGTGGCTGGTTAATAATCCATTAAGCGTTGGCTAGGTCAGTGGCCAAATCAATAACAATATAAGGTGGGATTAGATTAAGCAAAAGCAGCGCCGGATTGGAGTGTTTTGGCTGCAGATATAGAATGGTATTGGCGAATAACTGCTCGGCCTAACGATTATTGCTCTGATCTGATTTGATTTAATCGGATCTGAAGTTGACGGGGTCTATCTATCGGTCACACTTATGGGTAGTACGCTACAGTGGCTTTCGGGACACTTACTCTCCGGGATGTGGGACTATCTGTGTAGTCCACCGGCTGGCACCGGAAGCTGTACGAGCCCCACCAGCCGCCCATCAAGCACTAGAACAGAGACATTAGTTGCAAAATAATTCGAGCAGGGTAAGTTATTGGATTAATTGGGTCTCAGAGGAGCATCGATGTGTCCTCGTCTCCACGGTTCCTTCGAGAGTCCGGTTATCCAAATGTCAGCGACGATGCCACGCGATGAAGGGTGAACCTGCTGCTGCTGGGATGTGGAATGTGGGATGGGGATGGGGAAGGGACGGGGAGTACCTACCTCGTAGAAGAGCCACGCGCTGAATACAACCTGTATGGCATTGTACATGACTAGTGTGTTCTGCAGGTGCAGCGGCTTCCTGTTCTCCATCCATCGAGGTCCCACTACCTGCAAACGAGTGTTGGTATCAGGTTTTATGTAATCGCCTGCTTATCGCTTCGACGATTAGGTGTGTCGTAAGTTACAGTCCCCGAAAGTGGACTGGTCAGCCCACAAACACCTCCTGCTTATCAGCGTATCAGCGGTAGAAGTGTGCCAGGTGTGTGTGTGTGTCCCACACTTTCCACTTGAGAGCACCACCTGTTGAACCCAGCTGCGAAAAACGGAAAGCCCCAGAACTCACCTTGACCAGGTAGACGTATGTGAGGCATACGGCCAGTGTGGGGAACGGGGACGACATCATGGGCCAGTCCTTTGTCCTGGAGTCTGTGCGGAGGGAAGAGAGAGCAAATAACTGGTTAATGGAGAACCCAGCTAGGCAACAGCCGGAGCATCTGTGAGATAAGCTCTTATCACATTCGCAACATTGCCATTGACCCTGTAGCTCCTCACGTTCGCGACACTCGTCGGGGGTTGGCGGACATGTGGAAAAGTATTGCGATAACAAACAGTGGGGCATGGGCATATCGCACTCATAATCGGAGCTCTGGGGCCAATTGTTTGCGTTTGCCACCCAAGACCCAAACTTCATTTCGCATTCGAAACAGCGCCTAATGCCAGACATTTAATGGTTTTTGAAAAGTTCGTTTCGGTGATTTCGAATTCCTACACTCAACAAAAAGCCCCATTATCTTTTCTTATAGGTAATAAAATAAAAATAAAAAATAAAAAAAATGTATATTAAGATTCAGACCCTCAGGGTTCTAGAAGTAGGTTCAATTGAAATAAGAAAATAATTTGTATTGTAGTGAGTTTGCGAACCAAATCTCCCTATTAAAGATTCTTTATTTATTATAGAAATCTTTTCGAATTGAAAGTTATTCATTTCGAGTTTTTTTTTGTAAACTGCAAACGTATACAACCTTCGGTTTTTTTAAGTTAACTTTCTTTTTAGTTTTCTGTGTAAAAAGACATGTAGCTTTATTTATCAAAACAAAAACTATTAATAGATAGCTGTATCTATTTAAAAATTAATATTGGAGGCTGATGCTATTTTTTTATAAATTGTGGTAAGTTGTAAACTAATTGAGTAACCCCTGTGTTTTATAGCCGATAAGACTGAAATATGTGTGTGGGCGTCCCCAAAAAAGAAATGTATTTATGCAAGTATACGTATAAACATACACACAAGGCCCTTTGAGCGAATATATCATGTTGAAACATAATTTTAACACGTTTCTCGTAGTCAGCTAGAAATTGCCTAACATTTGTCAAAGGGGTACACAGACTCCTCTCCTGCGTGTAAGTATGGAGAATACTTATAATAAATTGGATAAATATATGCATAGATAGCCCGGAGCACACACTGATGAATGCCGGCAAATAGGTGTTCCTCAGCACGTGAATGAATTGATGGACATTCTTAAGAGAAAGCTTCCCTGACAGAGAGGCAGAAAGCGGTAGAGAGAGAGAGGAACTCCAGTCCAGACTCTCGACTCTCTTGGCCAATTAGAGAAGTGGTGCTAAAAATGATTTAACCATTTTGGCCAAAGCCACTGCCATTTCGGCTGGGAGAAATGTGAGCGAGAGCGACGCTGGTCAAAAGCCCAACGAAATCAAGGTTAGGCAAATTAGCACGGAGCACGGAGCACAGAGCACTCGTACTTGTACTCGCACTTATACCCACACCCACTCCCACACCCGTACTCGCATTCGTACTTACCACCATGTGAGTCAATGTATCTGCTTATGCTGTCGATGTATTTCATAATTAAGGCCATTGTGTTGCTGTGTAGTGTTTGCTGTTCGTTCGCGACAGTGGAATCCTTCTATCCTTGCAGGATGCAGTGCTAGTTGCTGATTGTACAATTGGTATTGGTGGTTCAAGTCTTGCCCCTCAGGAGTCGCGGAATGCGTCCGACCTGGTCAGCTCCGGTGTTGGGAATTCGGCGCTAATTCAGGTTATCGAGCTGCAAAAAAAAAAGATAGATAGAAATGGTTAGCAACACACTGGCTAGCATGATATTTAATGACCCATTTCTTGAATGGAATCTCCGCCCTGAACCTGGCGCGTCTGTTTCTCATATTAGCAAAGAGGCTTTAGGTTCGTCTTAAAACACACATATTTTTAAATGTTAATAACCCATTTTATAATAACGCCAGGCACGTGAGGTGATTCGTGTGTAGAAAAAGTAGGCCACTCGCTTGAAACACTCGAACTTGCAGGGCTGTGTTTTTCGATATAAATAAATATTAAGGCCTAGCCAAGGTGGCCCTCCTGCTCTCAGTTTAATTATTGTTGTTGTCGGCTCGTTGTTACCAATTATTTTCCACTGACTATGCGACGTCTGAGCATTGAGTGCCCTTATCGGCCCTATAAGTTGTGCCCATTCGCAGACGGAGACGGAGGCAGGCAGAACCGAAATGAGGTTAATAAACCGAAAGCAAAAGCTGCTCAGTCAGCGTTCGATCGGCACATTTACATCTTGTTTAGAAACGGAACGAAACGTTCCTGTTTCGAGCTCTGTCTTTCTCTTGTTTTGTGCTTCTCATGGGCCAAGCGCGGAATTTGCACCCCCTTATCGTGCTGGCAGTTATCGCGAATCGATAAATTGGCCAAAACACCAAAACAGCGAACGTCAGCGCCGGAGTATGCGGCGTATGAGTAATATTCATACGAAATTGTGCCTGCTTTTTTTTTGCTCCGCAAAAAGTTCAAGGACAACACAGTCCAGCGAGCACTTAGCACTCGGCATCGGTTCACTGGGGCATGTCTTTCTCTATTCATGTATTATTCCCTCTGTCTCTGGCTCCGTCACTGACTCTATTTTCGGAAGCACCACCATTTCAAAGCTGCTGACGACGAGTAAGTGCCTCCGAGTCGAGTCCGTGTTGTCAACTATAATTATGTATGCGACTTTCCCATAGGCAACGATAAAATTCAATTAATTGCCCAGTCTTTGCTGGCTTTGATTACAAAAATCTGTTTCTGTGGATGCTCGCTCCTCTTCTTTGCAAGAGCGTCATGGGGGCAGCACATTACTCATACGCCGCGTGGTACGTCACGCAAGTGTATCGTAAATGTTTAATAATAAGGCCTGCTGATGGCAGCTCCAGTAAAGGGGGCGTCGTGTAGGCGATAATTATGAAAGGGCATCGCCTAATGGCCAGCACTCAGTGCTGGTCGCATATAAGTATAATTAATGGAAGCCAGGAGGAGCCGAGTCCTGTTCCAATCTCAACTGGGTGCGCCCGTCGCTTCTACGAATTATGGAAGTGAAAAGGCTTTTCCACGGAGTCATATGAGAAGACCATAAATCAAATTTAATCGCCGCTTTCCTGGGAATCGGAGCCGCAAGGATACCAGGATACCAAACACCACTGATCATAAAGGGGACAATCGAAGGGCACATTTCAATGGCAGTCGTCCGGCAATGTCAACCGGTCGATGTTTGCCCAGTTTATGGGCTTGGCAAGACAAACAGACGTCCAAACACCTTTGCCAAATAAACACGACAGGGCGGGTCGAGGAACGGGCACGGGAACGGTAATAGCAACAAGAAAGTAAATGAAGCCACTGCCACCGAAAAGCTAAATTTCAACTAATTCAAAGTCAAAACAAGGCAGTGCAAAGAAGACACGGCTTCGGGCGGAAAATGCTGTCAACAGTGGCACGAGCTCGCAGCTCAGAGCGGAGGAGTGGGGGCAGAGGCAGGCAGCAGGTGGCGAGGTCTTGGCTTTGCCTTCGCCTGATTTAAAAGCGCAGTCTTGGTGGGGTCTTGGGTACTGGCCACCCACTACCACCTCTCTTATAGCAGCCAGCTTGCCCAAGAAGCGGGCGCTGAAAAGCGATGCCAGCAGCGACTTAAAGCCGCGCCAAATATTGCCATTTCATTGACCTGATTCCGTTGTTTTTCTGCTGTAAGCCCACACACACACAATGGGCATGAAGCAACAATGCACCTCACACATGGGCTTGCAAGGCAACACCCCCAAGTACCAGCAGCAGCACCAGTCCCAGTCCCGTTCTCCAGCCCAATCTCACCCCCAAAGCCCGCCCAGACAGCAACACGCCGCTAAACCGGCGTCAGCGGAGGCGCCACGTTGTCACACAGTCACCCAATCACCCAACAAACAGAGGGGAGAACATGAAGCCCAGTCACACCACTGCCATCACGTGATGCCGACTCTTTATAGGAGCCTCCACCTAACCAGCGTCTTGCTAGGGTTTCTCTTCGTTCGGCCTTTTTCGCTTTTCCCTTCGCTCGTGCGCAGAGGCGCGCAGTGTGTTTCTTGAATGAAAAACGCGGCCACGAGAGCCGAGCTCGAGCTCGGGATGTGGGGCATGGTGTCTGGTGTCGCGTGACTCACCCGACGCACCCCCGAGCGGGCCAAGAAAGCGGCAGGGCAGCAAAACGGTTGCCCAGAAAAAAAAAGAAACGCGTTTAATGCTCGCCCAACACGCTATGAATGACGCCGAAAAGGCGCGTGGCGCTGGCGTTTTTTATTTTTTTCTGCTTTTCGGGGGGTCGTGTTTGTCTTTGCAGTTGTCATATTTGTTGTTATTTGAGGAGGACCGCCTTGCCAGAAGGTGTCACGTGCTCCTCCTTCGTCTTCGCCTCCTGACAAATACCATTTCCTATTGATTTTCGAATCGAGTATGTGGCTTGGCAGAGAACAAGTCACTTGCCGAGTGTTGACATGCTTGACGCTTTTGGACGACGCCTTTTCGGGGTGATGGAATGGGCGTGCCCAGAAACCCTTGACTTGGCACGAGTGATTGCCCAAGCGGAGGAGGTCCCGAGGTGCTGGTCAAGTGATGGTTGCCACAGCCGTTGCCAACTTTGACATTTGTTTACCAAACATTTGATGGCTTTAGGATGATGATTGCCTCTTTCCCAAGCGCAGAGCTGACTGAATGGGCAATGCATCAATGCAATGAAGGGGCTTAGTCGATTTTCGGATGCCAGCTATACATATGGCTTTGGTAAATTGGGCAAAATCTAGCAAAAAATCTCATTTGTATGCGCGTTCGTTGCCTACAAACAATAATTTGCATTCCAATAAAAAGTTCAATCACTTTCACGCAAAGAAAACGAAAACCTGTTGTCCGAAATTCAGATTTGCATCTAATTAATTCATAATTAATTATCAAAAATGCTATGCAAATGACAAATGTTTGTGAAAACGATTTCTTTGGGTCAAATGCGAGTCTGAGTAGGTAAGTTAATGAGATCTGATCTTGGATCCTTAAGGATTGCAAAGGAATTTATTATTTTAGTCTTATCCGCAAATGGTCAGTACGGATCCAACAACCTTGAAGGTTAAGCCTACATCGAAGCCACTTCCGAAACGGGGGAATGCGAATAGGGCGGCCTTTTACAGTGTTACCTCAATCTCGTTTCAAGTCGGACGAGAATTTACCTTTTAGGCAGTGCCTACAATGGCTGGTTTCCTATATGGCTTTGGGTTTTGGCCAGAATAGTTGGTAACTAACTAACTGCTCGGTCAGTAAGTGAGGCAGTGGTAACTGTTGCAGCTCACTACTGCCTGGTAACACAAGCGGCTCATTGGCGCTTAAACACTGTCGTATCCTTTTCAAAACAGACGCTTTTCTGTAGTTTCAGTTTCTCGAGTGTCTGGAGATTCGCGACGTGTAACCGCGAGGCGGGAACGGATCGGATCGTAGCGACTAAGTGTGGAGCGGATTTGCGCGAGCGGAGCGGGTGAGACTGGCGAACCGTCAGCGGTGACTAGCAGAGCAAGACTAACTGGCTGCCACGGCGACCGACAGACTAAGGCCGCCAGCGGCTGCTGAGCAGAGGCGGAGCTCGGTCGGCGGCGACGTCCACGTCTACGTCTACGTCTTCGTCTCCGTCGACGTCTCTGTTGGCGTTCAAGTTGAGCTTGCGGCGACGCTGACAGAGATTACGAATTAATATAAATTTCTTTGCATACATTCGCTTTGTGGTCGGAGTGGAGTTGGTGGAATGGGATGATGGCTCCCTGGGTCCCAGCTCGATTTGGTCATTTGATGGACGGCGACTTTCGGGGGAAATTGCAATGCGTTGGCTGCAGCACACCACTCCCTTCGTTGGGAAATCTCGCTGGGTCTTTTGGCTAACGAAGAGCGGACAACAGGTGAAATATGCTGGCGACGGCGCTGTCGCAAGCTGACGCCTCTGCTGTTGGCGCTGCCTCTGCTACCGCCTCTGCCGCGAATACCGCCTTTGAATGGTATGGTGTAAGGGCCCCCCGCGTCATGATCATGATCGATTTCAGTGGCAGGTGATGGGCCGCATACCAAATCACAGCTCCGCACTTGTCGATCAATTAATTATTACGTTATTTCACACACACACAGACAGCACAGCCCGGGTTTTTTACGGCTTTCGGGTTTTCATTTCACGTTTCTCTTTCGTTTTTCGTTTTTTGTTGCTGGTTTCTTGCTTCTCGTTTCCTCGCTTTTGGGACTTTTGCATTCAAAATCGAATTCATGGTCAAACTGTTTACGAATGTGTGTCGCCAAAAAGAAGCCACGAACGACCAACAACAGGTTGACCTGATGAAATGGAGGTGGAAATTGAAACGCGGTTTGTATTTTGACGCAATCATCTAATTTGGCCTTTGTTATTTATTGGGTCGCCCAGCGGAGAAGAATGCCACTCTTCCACGATTTCGAAACGCCAGCGTTTCTGTTTTCTAAGGCGGCCCACAGCCCTCAGACCACAGAGCACAGCCCACATACACAACCCGCGAAAATATTTAAATATATTTGCCATATATTATATGTTGTGTCCAATCGAATATTTACAGTCTCACTTCCGCAGTTTATACCAATAATATTTACCTTTTGTAATAACAAAAAGGTTACAACTCAGAGTAGATTAAAGTATTTAATTTTGATTGCATAAGCATTGCGTAACTTTTGGATGGTTGATCTACAATATAGATTCTATATAATTAAGTA